GCCTAAGTTTATATAAAGGTTAATATCTTAGTCGGAGATAACTTATCCTAAGCCTTCTTCTTATCGATACCTATTCTAGAAATACCCTAACTTATAACCTAACTTCTAACCTTTATCTTAATATCTAACTCTTTTAAAAATTTCTTAAGGGCCTTAACTATAGTAGGAGGTTAGTAGGCGGAATATATAAGAAGAGTAATTAACTTATAAGAATAAATATAATCTATAGTACCGGAACGCTTTATGATTTTAACGAAAGTAGCGAAGGGACTATAATAATTTACCGGAATTAGTTTATAAAGATAGCCTTAATTACGATAGTAGGAATACTTTCTTCTAGGCTTCTAAGTATAAATAATATTACCTAGTAAGCTATTAGTAGTATACTAGTAGTCGAAGAAGGATACTAACTATAGTTATTAAATAATTATTAAGCCTTACGGCTATAGAAAGTTTAGATATAACGCTAATAAGTATTAGCCTAAGTAATAGTAGTACCTATAGGTACGAGTAGTACCTAGCTAGCTCCTATAAGGGGTTAGTAGGGTATACGTATATAAGCCGTAGGCCTAAAGTAAGGAAAACCTACTAGTTAAAGTAGTAGAAATATTACTAAGGTTAGGATAAAGGGACTCGGTTTCGGAAAGGGACTTATTATCGGAGTCTACTTAAGAATTACGATATAACTACTACGAGCTATCTCTAAAGAGGCTATCGCTTATAATAGAAGGAGTTAGGGCCTTTTTAAAACGGGGTCTAGTAGGTTCCGTATTAGAATCGCTATTAATAAGTATAGGGGTCGTAGTAGTATTATTTAGAGGAATATCTTTTAGAGGATCTTCTTCTACTTTTAGAATAATAATATCTTTTCTAGTAGTAGACGGATTACTAGACTCTTATAGTTTAACTACTTATTCCTTAGGAATAGATAGAGGAGGTTTCTTAGTGGGCGGAGTAAGGGGATCACTTACGGTTAAGGTACTAGTAGCCTTCAGTTTCGGTTTAACTAGCTTTACTAAAGTTAAAGTTTAAGATTAGATATTACTAGTAAGGAGACGACGCTACTACTAGTTATACTTATAGCGCTAGTTTCGCGATATTTTAGCCGGTTCTATAGGGGGCGCTATCTTATTAAAAGCGAAACGTAGAATAAACGTAAGGTAATAGTAGGAGATCTATAAAATAAGAGAAGGAAGAAAGAACGAAAAAAGCCTAGCGGAGAGCTTCCTAACTAGGAAAAAAGTACGAAAAATAAAAGAAAAGAGAAAATTTTAGCGGGGGAGAAAAGAGATATTTATACCCCTAGGGGGGTAGATATTACGTAACCGCTAATCTAGATATTAAAATAAAGCCGTCATACTATATATATATAAAGCGACGATAAGGTTAATAATAGAAGTATACGGGCTATATTATATAACCTTAGGAACGGTAGTAAGGTCTATAGAATCTTCTAGATTCTATTAGACGACGCTATTACCTAGCGCTAGTCCTAATTAGGGAAGCGGACCGCTAAACTATAGGGCTACTACCTAAACTACGCGACTACTACCTAATTCACGTGATTAAATCTTTTAAACGGAATACGGAGTTAGGTAGGGGATATATAGGACTTAGTCTTTTTAGTAAAGAAACTAAAGGACGACTAGGAAGGATTTCCCTTAATATAAGATTAATATACGAAACGTATACTAACCTACTACTAGTATAGCGAGGCTATACGGGATAGTAAGGTATAGGATAGATATACCTATACTCTAACTATATAGTTAGGTAGCTAGGTATAATACCTAAAGAGGTAGCTTATAAGTTTCGAGGACGAAACTTTTCGAGGGGGGGGGGATAATTATTACGGGGTAGCCCGGACAACCCCGCCCGGCCTAACCCGAGCTAAGACTAGCTAGGGTACTGCTACTTCTATACGTACCGCCTACGAGGAGATAGGGTTTCCTTTTAGTTAACGGTGTTAGAAGTCTATATATTAGTAGACGGCTAGCTACTATCTCTAAGTATTATACGCCTAGTCCTATCGATCTAACCAGCCCTCTTACAATTAGTATCTTAGTACCGCCTTTATTACCTATATTTCTTAACGAATTATTAATAGAAATAAATAAGGTTAATATAGGATATAATACTAGTCCTATAGAAGGTATTATATTATTTTTACGTTATTTTAATATATTTTACGATAGTAGTAGCTTAAGTAAGTTATAGATATATTCTATATAGGATAATTCTCTTCGGGCGCTATTTTAGTTAAATATATAAGACTAAATAGTTACTAGATCTTTTCTTAAATAAAGAAGGTTAACTTAGGAGGTCTCTAAACGCTAATTAAGGTACTATTAGGTATAAAAGTTATCTCTATAAAGAGATATATAGCTATCTCTCTTAGTAAGATAAATATAACTATAGAGTAAGCCCTATTAAGCGGTAAATACGCTAGTATACTTTAGTAGAGGTACTTTAGCGGTAATTTACTTAGAATATACTAGAACTCGCCTTAGCGCGAATTAGCTAATTTACCTATTAATATAGTAGAATACGGGGTCTTTAAGGAGGTCTAAGGCGTATTAGACTACCTCTTTATCTAACTAGTAGTTAATAGTTAAGTAAAGCCTCTCTATATAGTCGTTAAGAGTCTTTACTACCTAGTAAATATACTATTAGTAGCTTAGTAGGCTAGATTTAATCGCTTAATTTATTCCTTTAACTCTTAATATAGTAACGGCGTTAAAGTATATAATTCGGCGAGTCTTTACTACTCTAAACCTTAATATTTAGGAAATCTAAGTATTCCTTAGATAGCTAATAGCTTTATAATTCCTAGCGCTCTATTTAGTATAGAGAGAGGCCTATATAGCCTTATAATTAGTAAATAAAGTAGTATAGATAACCGCCTTCTAATTAGCTAGTAAATTAGCCTATATATTATCTATAAAGCGCTTATACTTAGCGGTAGTAGGCTATTATATTAGTATAGTAAAGTTAATATTATCGATATTAACTAATAAATTATTCAACTTAGGCCTTTACTCTATTTAATACTTCTAAAGTAACTTATAATAGGCCTTAATATCTCTATTAATATACTAGATATAGGTAATAATACTAGATCTATAAAAAGTTATAGAAATAGCGTAGATAAGCGCCTTATAGTTATTAACCGAGATCGATATCGGATTAGGTAGTTATAATTTTATATAGATCTCCTTTAGCTATTTTAGTACGAATTTAAATAATTTAGAGCTCTCTAAAGAGATAAATACCTACGTAATAATATAGGAATTATTATATATTATTATACTAATAATTTAGTAAAGAATAAGGCCGTAGCGATTCGTTTTAAATATATAGTTAATTATTAAATTATAATAAAATAGATAGAGAAGTAATATAGCCGTATAGTATATAAGGAGTAGCGCTATTAATTAATAATATTTATTAAAACCTTTATAATAAGCCTACTAGCTATCTAGGCCTTATAATATCGCCTAGATTACAGGAAGGCCTTTATCTCGCTAAGTAGAGTATTTACGTCTTTAATTATATATTTTTTATATTAAAACTAAGGCGTTAGGGTATTATAAAGTTATTATTTACTATATTCCTTTAGGGCTAGCGTTAATATCTATATTAGTGTTAATTTACTAAATTATAGTAGGGTTAGCGTTATAAGTATTACGGCGATATACTAGGTAGATAGAAAACGCGGCCGTACGGTTATAATTATAATCTATTTCCTTTAAATCGAGTATCTATCGATTCCGCCGAGTCTCCTATTTAATCTAAACCTAAAATTAGTATAGGAGGTATAATATAAAGCTCGTTAATATCCTTTTTCTATTTAGTATTAATATTTTATATAGAAACTTCCGGCCGCTATAAATATAGAGTACTTTTTAGGCTAATATCTATCTATTAGTCTTTTTACGAGTAGATTTCTTTACTATAAACCTATTATTCTTTATAAACTCTTAAATAGTATTAAAGGCCCTATTAAGGCTAACCTAGTATAGGAATTTATTATAAATATTTTTAATTTTAAAGTATAGAATAGTATATAAAGTTAGCTAATTATCGCTAGTAGGTTCTAGAGTAAGTATATATAGCTATATAATAGGGATAGTTATATCTACTACTATATTATAGGAAATTATCGGTTAAGGCTATAAATATAATAGAGAGGTAGAGGGAGTTAAGGACTTATTATAGCTATAAAAATTATTATTATCCGATAAGTCTATAGCGGGTTCTAGTATTATAAAGTGAGAGGCTACTATTATAGATTATTAATAGAGAATATATATATAGGCGAGGCTTAGGTTACGCGATGTAGTTATTTTATATAGGGATACTAGGTAAATATAGTTATATATTATAATATAGGCGAGCGCGAAAGTATTATATTAATATTAGCCCTAATCCGGGTAAATTTTACTTTATCTCTTAAGAACTCTACTATTTCTTATATAAATCTCACAAAATCTATATAAATTAGTCGAGTATATTATCGAATAGATATCTACTTATTTAAAAAACGCGATAATTACCTCGTTGTTGTATAAGATCAATATAAATAGTCCTAGTACGTAGAATAAGTATCTAGTGTTTAGCGCGGTGCGTTGATTATCGGGTTATGTAACTGCTAAGCCTGGTGCGTTTCCTAAGGATCGTGGTGCGTTGGATAATAGTTGCCGGCGGGGAGTGCTGCAAGGCCGGATCCGGTCATGCAGCAACTTCGATCTTCACCTGAACATTCTCCACTTGCTTGGTGCAAAGCACGCATTGCCATCGAAACCATGAGCCTGGCATCTATTATTGTGGCTCTCGAGGAGGAATCCCCTCTTCAGCGGAAGGCCTAGATTAATAAGCTATCGATGGCTAATGAAAATACAGTACTACAAGACAAAGTATGCACTCAATCTATGCACATTGTGTAATTTGTTTTGTAAGCGTCGAGTAGACCAATTTCTATATCATTACGTCTCCCTTCTGTCCTGTCGAATGAGCCTAACCATTACTGCCCCTTCTGTCCGTACGCAAAATGTTGCCAACCAAGGTTGCCCTGGCTGGCGCCACTGGGAATCTAGGAATCGTGGTTCTCGAAGCTGTGCTCTCCGCAGATCTACCTCTGACGGTCCTTACACGAATTGGGGGGAATTCGGCCAAATTGGCCAAGTATCGAAATCTCGAGATCAAAGAGGTGGATTTCAGCGACATTGACTCCATGAGACAAGCACTGGATGGGATCACGGTGGTCGTTTCATGTCTTGCGACCCTGGCTATTGGCTCGCAAAACGCGCTCATTGATGCATCCTCCGCCGCTGGGGTGAGGCGCTTTATACCCGCTGAGTTTGGAATGGATTCTCTCAACCAATTGTGTAGAGAGTTGCCAGTGTGTCAGCCAAAGGCTGCGACGCAGAAATACCTTGAAGAGAAATCTCAAAAGAACCCGACGTTCACGTGGACCGGGATTGCTAACGGGTTGTTCCTCGACTGGGGTTTGCGAGAAGACTTCATTCTCAATCTCTCGAAACACAATGCAACATTGTTCAACGGTGGGGATGTTCCGTTCAGTGCCACAAATCTGGAGGATGTCGCAACGGCAGTATTAGGTGTCATCAAAAACCAGGAGCAAACCGCAAATCGGTTGATCTACATCCAATCAACCGTCACAACACAAAATCAATTACTTCGATATGCTAAAGACATAGACGGCCAGGAATGGTCTTGCAACTATCGAGACACCAGGGATATCATGCAGGAGAGCTTGCACAAACTTGCCAACGGCGAGGAGCAAGCGGCAATGGATGGTTTCTGTGTCGTAGCCATGTTTGATCCTTGTTATGGAGGAGACTTTTCAGGTCATCTGGACAATGCGCTGGTGGGCCTTGGAAGTCTTGATGAGGCTGGTGTAAGGGCAGTAGTAGCCGGAATCCTATCAGAAGCATAGAAGACTCGGAGACGGATATATGTATATGTTGAGTAAGATCAAAGTGAGAGACGAAAAGAGATTAAAGCCGACAGTTACAACGTTGATTGTTCAATGGTACCTACGTAAGATGGAAGTAACCGGCTTCGCCCACGAGCCGTTAAACGCCGCTCATTCCAGGGCCTAGGGGCTTCCCTGCATACCCGAACACTGTCCACGGGCCACAATCTGAGGTACTGCGGGGATCCCATTTAACCCCCCTGTCTTGGTACCCCAGAGTAAAAGCGAGAGACTCCCTCTCTATTTCAATCGACCATGGCCAGTTCCTTGACTTTTCCACTCTCCAAATTCTTCACATTCCGACGCTATCGCATATATCAATTACATCTTGATTGAACTCCGTGCCATGGCTTCACTCAATTGGAGTCATGGCAATCCCGTCTCGCGCAGAACACAATTCTCTAGCTGCGATGGATGTCGCCAGGCTAGGGTTGCCTGTGATGCCTCCAAATTTGGGCACCAGCCAGGAGGGGAGTCATTCTGGAATGCATCATGTTCACGGTGTGCACTGCGGAGACGGAGGTGTACATTCGAAGTAAGTACTTAATCTACAGAAGCACCTTTCTACGCCGTATCATTCGTGATTGACCGCTGTTGATGGCGTAGTGGATGAAAAAAATACCACGGAATCATCGTCGCACTTCCAAGGACAAACCCTCGTCGGTATCGAACCATGGAGATTCTCATGACTCGTCGAATCTGGCAGAGGATAACCCAAGTTTGGATCGACAAGAATACTCTGTTATCAGCTCTTACCTTTACGAAACCTCCCAAGTTGCGCCTTCAAGGTATGCATTGTATTTTTGGGCTCATTTGTGGTGGAATTGCTGACCGTAGTGTCTTTCAGCGTGCCACCTTCGGAAACATTTATTCACGAATCTGATGCATCTTTGGCCGACAGCTCCAGTTCGGGAACCCAGTTGGTCGATATTTTGCTCACACGATGCGCGGATACCATATTCTCTCAGGGGTTTGGAGTCATCTTCGCCCGCTGGGTTGGCAGGAATGGATGTCCTCTAGTGTGCGTATCCTCCTACTTGACTCTGACTCAAGTCCAAGTGTCTGAATCAGTACAGCAATGAGCCAATGAGCGACATCAGTATTCCGCCACTGAAGCTGTTCCACGATCTCGATCTCTATATGGAGCAGCAACTATCATTCAATCCCAACGACACGGTTGCAACAGCTATACATAGATCGGAGCGTCACAAGGAGATCGACCAATGTCTTCGCAGCGCACTGCAGGCGTACACCTCCCGATGGTTCCCACTGATCCTTCAGAGAGAAAGCCATGGGCAGTCACTGCCTTATGATGAGATCAGCCGGGCGTGCTGGCGCACGGCAAGGAGAGACATGCTCAAAGTCCTTAATAGGCCCTCGTATCGGTCCGTCTTGGCCTTGTATCTTTTTGGTCAAAGCCCTGTACCCTTGGGTATTTCCCAAGAAGAAGAACTTGACGGTATCAGTGGGGTGTTGTGCAACCAAACGGCATTTCTGCAAGTTCAACAACTCCGGGAGCGGTTGAGAAGTTGTCAGTTCAATGGCTCAGAAGTGTCGGCTTGGTCGGACACGTCCACCGTCAATGATGTATCTAGTTCCAGTCCCCACCTTACGGAAGAATTTGTGAACCTTGAAAGCCGAGCGTACTGGGCCACAGTTACCTGGGATACGTCAGACTCGATGACTCTGAACTTCCGATCGACGCTGTGCTCCGGCTTGAAAGGAGCGTGTGGCGAACCGGTGTGGCAGCTGACCAAGGCATTTTTGACGAGTTCCTTCCACAATCAAAGCGAAGAGTGGCGCAAGAAGGGGTTTAAAGTGTCCGGGGGTCTCGCTCCTCAAATCATATCGGCGACCTCGATCTGCGCCATCTACACGTGGAGGACGATTGCAAGCCTGAAAGAAGCACTGAGAGAGGGTGTTGGAGAGGCGACGGTCGACTTCGCGTGGGTAGCGCTGCTCGATGCCATCGATATATTCCAGACGACGATCCAGCCTCTGCTCAGCAACTGCGAAAGGCAGTTACATTTTCTGAGCCAGGTTGATCGGTTCAACTGGTACGTGGTGGTGCTGCTGTACTACCTGGGGATTCTGATACTGGTCGATGCCCTGGAAGCTGCCAAGCGGCCTGACCTGTTGCAGCAGCTGTCTGAAACAAGCCTCGGAGCGGAACATGAATGCTTCAATGTGTTGAAGTTTGGTCTCGAAAGCACGTATACAATTGCCACTAACCAGATTGAATCGAGTCAAGCATTCAATTCGAGCTTGTCGACGTCGTCCCTGATGATCAGCTTTGTCGCCATTGATCCTTATCCTCATCATGTCATTGCAGCCATTCGACTGATGAATAAGGCTTTCCTCCGACAGTGTCTGCAGGGCACGATCGAAGATGAGGCCTACGTTCAAGTGGCGTCGACATTGTGCAAAGCACTGGACCAGCTTCCTCAGAACTCCAAAGCGGTGCAGTCGGCGCGGGAGAACATGCAAGAATCGATGCACAGCTACGGTCACTCGTTGTGATTACTTGATTGACACTAATGAGGATGATGTTTCGTTTGCAATGTGTCAGAACCTTTGCCTTTGTGAACAGATACTCTCCTTCCTATGGATGGTGATCCCTGGTGGAATCAGAGTATGGCGCTACTGTCTGAATTGGGTGTAACCTGACATTGAAACTAAGTAGTCCAGTTATGGGCGCACAATAAAGCAGCGCTAACAGCGGATGGCAACTGGCACAGTACCTACCCTCGGTACCCGTATCTGCGCTTCCCCCTACTTAGCTGGAGCAAAAGCAGCGGACAATAGAGCGTCCCCTAAAATTGGGGGCGTCATTAATACTCCCTAGGTACCTGTCCTCACGTGGGCGAAGTCCCCTCGTCCCCCTGACTGCTCTTGCACAGCGGAATCATCATGGCATGATCCATGGCGTGACACGGAGAATAATAATTTGTGCGGTGGTCGGTGGTCGTATGAAGTAATCGAATGTGGCTTGAGGATATTTCGACTGGTACTACGGAGTAAATAGGAGAACCATGAAGCGACTTTGATTGGTGATACAGAACCTGATTTTCTATGGTCTTTGTGGTTGTCTACACAGTGTCATCATGACTTTCAGGCGTGCAATCTGAGGTGACGTGGTCATTATCAGTGCATGGGAAGCTACGAGGAGGTCAAATGTGTGTACCTTCCGGGAGACAAAGTATAAACATCACATCGCCTGGCAGGTACGGTCAAGGAACTGATCAGCCACTTGCAAGTCAACCAAGAAGCCACGGTACATCAGATAGGTATTGAGCATCATGGCATTCTAATAATAAAAATACCGAGGGGTTTAGAGAGTGCCAAGGAGGCAGAAAGAAGGTCGAGGGGGTGCATAACACTAAAATTCACCCCAAAATCTCATGGCAATCACGTTTCGAGATGCCACGAGGCACACCTGACAGACCATGTTTTGTGCGAACCGTATGTACTCCATAAATCTTGGAACTCTGTTCTCTCTCCAAACTGTGCCTGCGCGTTAAGGATGGTAGACTAACTAAAAAATATGCTTGTACATGCTGATATTATCATTATTTACAAATTATTATTATTGTGAAAGGGGTCAGGTCAGGCGGGGCAGATGGCGGCTGAGGCTGGATAGAGTTGCCAGTCTGCCAGTCTGCCAGTGCGCCCCGGGTCCCCCTCGCCCAAACACTTGTTTATGCTAATAAAAGCCAACCACACCACCCAATGACCACCACCCTCGCACCCCCTGTAGCCCCCCGAACCCCCACTATCACCGCCTACGCCCAGGCCAATCGACGCCTCCGTGGCCCGAGGGGCTTCCGTCTCTCTACCAACCTGAGCCACGCGAAGCTTGGCCAATCAAACCCACCTTGTTCAACGTCGTATCATCTCACGCATCTTTGTCTCTCCGTTTAATTTGCACGTTCTGCCCCTGACATATCCTGTGAATCTTGTTGCAACCTCCATCGTCGTCGCTTTTCGCCCTTTTGTTTGGTTTCTCGTAACGTGTGCTTTGCTACCGTTCATCAACGTTGTAACCTGCCATCTTCTCGTCCCCGTCTCTCATGGCTTCCACCGAATCCCCCGCGGGCGGCCTGAAGGTCGGTATTGTTGGGGCTGGCGTTGCTGGTCTCGCTGCCGCCATCGCATTGAGACGTATCGGCCACGAGGTAGAGGTATAAACCACCTCCTCGTCGACATCATGGAATCTTTCGCCCGTTAACTTTATTATTTCTCTAGATCTTTGAGCGTTCCGAATTCAAAAATGAGAATGGCGCTGCCGTCTCAATTCCCCCCAACGGTGGCCGCATCTTGAAGCGCTGGGGGTTTGATCCTGTAGCATCGGGAGGTATTGAAAACATCCAGGTATGTGATATACCGCCTCCCTCGCCGGCACTCTCGGGCCCCAACAAAATTCAAAACGCAATCCAAGTTGTTTGATCGTATCAGTCCAGTCAACTGATAGCCCCACAGGTTCGTCGACCAAAGGGTGACTCTTTGGAGCCAATGGCACCGACCCTGTCGTTCTCGAATGTGGAGGAGCTATATGGCGACAAATGGTTCTTCTACCATAGAGTCGACATGCACAGACACCTGAGAGAAATGGCCGAGGCTGCTGGTGCTGTCATCCAACTCGGTAAGCGAGTGGACGATGTCGATATCGACAGCGGTGAGATCACTCTAAAGGACGGCACAAAAGTCCAAAAGGATCTCGTCATCATTGCTGATGGCCAACATGTGAGCTTGACCCTCCAGCGCAAAACCCCTTAAGTCTACTGACCCTCTTAGGATCGCATCAACGCCAAAGTGACCGGTGTCGAAATCCCCATGAAGCGAAGTGGTCAAACAGCCTATCGATGCTTGATCCCCATGGACGACATTCTTGCCGATGAGGAGACCAGCTTCTTCTTCAAAAACCAGCCTCCGGGTTTCTGGGCCCCAGCTCTACCCGCCAAGGGCGTCATGGCCGTCACATATCCTTGCCGAAACAACACCATCTTGAACGTCCTAGCTGTTCATCGAAAACTCGGCCAGCATGCCTCCAGCGAGGAGGATATTGTCATTGATGATTGGAATTTCCCCGCCACCCACGAAGATCTCGAGCGCGTTCTTGACGGCTTCCATCCTGCCGTTAAGAAGATGTTCCTCAAGTCTCCTGAGGTCAAGGTTTACACTCAAATGAAGCGAGATCCTCTCAGCAAAATGACAAAGGGCAAAGTCGTCTTGATTGGTGATGCCTCCCATCCCATGCTTCTAACCCACGCACAGGGTGTCTCTTCCTCCATCGAAGACGCAGCCGCTCTTGAAGTTTTCCTTAAAGATGTCCCTGCCTCCGAAGGTGGTGTTTCCGCCGCCCCTTCTGAGAAGCTGCTTCAACGTCTGCAGGAGTTTGAGGCTTTCCGTCTCCCACGACTATCTGCCACACAGATCCTGACCGATCCTGTGGTCCCTGGACCTCAGGCGGCTGCCAACTACGCCAAACAAGAAGCAGAGATTCGAAAGTATTACTCTGGGCCCCTGCCCCCAACCGGCTCTATGCCCCACAGCCCACCCATCTGTCAATTTTTCTTCGCCTATGATGTTCGAAAAGATGCCTTGGAGTTTCTAGAAACAGGAGCTCCAAATTACAAGCCAACAGAGACACAGCCAGAGGCCTCTGCGCCAGCCAAAGCGCCCACGGAACCAACCCCTGAGAAGCCTGCACCCTCGAGCAGTACGCCAATCAAAGATACAGCCGCGGCTGCTGCTAGTTCGGTCCAAAGCAAGATTGCTGCTTTGGAGAAGAGAGTCGCGGGTCTGTGAGGGTAGTGACTCGATGTGTGGACACTCGACTTTTGATATAAGAGAGGGAGAGACATGTTGAGGATTATTGCTGTCTGCATAGATTCGAATGAAACTCTGGAAATCTACGAACCTAGTCTGAATAATTTTCAACGATTAGACACTCATCACTTTCGGATCTGCGTAGGCTTGCCGGTACAATATTGATGTCTTGACAACACCCTGACCCTCACCACGTGGCTTTGACAGGTTGAACGACGCTAATCCGTATATGCTCCACAGAACTTTTGGAGCAAAAAACCTTGTCACGTCACTGATTGGCTCACGACGCGTCTGCGGGGTACCCAATCCTGGAGTAGTGCCACTAATGTTGGAAGTTGCGGATTTTTGTTTCATTCATCACGCAGGCAGGTGCGACCCAGTTACCAACGTCCGCCTCGGCCGCCTTTGGTCGATGAAGAATATTTGATGCACCCCAGAAATCACAACTGAATGCCCGTGCGTCCTTTCATCTCCAGACCCTCCTCCATGCGGTAATATCCCTCCTTGACAGGCGGCCAAGCTGTCAGCTCGCAAACAGTTGACGTGCAAAAAGACTGCCAGTCGTCATTGATTCGACAAACCTCTCGACCCTCCATCCTCCATCCTCAGTCGCACCCTCAGTCGCACCCTCAGTCATGCGGCTTCAACTCCAAGTCCACCGTCACTCTTTCCCTCCTGTTCATATCATCCATTCCACTGGCACTGGGCCTGCCTCCCGCACGGCAGCCCGCAACAGCACCATCGCCGATCTCCTTCTAGACATCAACGATATCGTCCCTCTCGAATCCGCCGACGGCGAGTGGGGACTAGAGGATTATGTTGTCGAGGTTGCTGCCACCGTCGACCAGGACGCCACCTACGAATGCCTTCATTACCAGCCGTGCTCTGCTGTCCTGAGAGACGACGATGAAGTCATTATTCGGCCACTTAGCAACGAAGATCTTCGCATTCGCAGGCTCGGCGGAAGACATCAAATCACAGCGGATGGAAGACACTTAATTGACGGAGTCACTTTTGGCAAGCAATGGTTGAGGGAAATCTCCAGACCCGGCATTGTCATTCCTCCCAGAAAGAAGAGAATGCTAGAGATTGATCAACCAGGTCTTAATGAAAGTCCTGAGATAAGGCGAATTCTTCCGCTGGAACAACATGATTATTCAACGTCCTTGGTGGTCATTCCAAGCGACGATGATGACGAGAGCGACGATGAAGATTTTGTTGACGAAGATGACAACGACAACGATCGCCAGGTCGCTTTGAGGGAACACTTCGATGACGCAGACACACAATCAGACGAATCTTTGGAAGATTCCGCCGCTTTTGGAGAGAGTGTAGACGACATGTCCAATGAAGTTCAACTACTCCTCCAGGATGCAGCAGAGCTTGCAAATTCTCCCAACTCAAAAACCACATTTCGCACACTGAGAAAACAGCTCAAGAGAAAACGCGACATCTCGGATGATGGTGAGGATGACATAGATGAAGTCTTTGATGGATTTTCAACGCCTGTCAAATCCTACAGGATTGAGTATTCGCCTGTGGTTGAACCTGAGGACGATACCTCTTCGGATGAAGATGATGAATCAGAATCTGACTCGGCTTCATCATCCGGTGGAGAGTCTGACTCGTCAGGCTCATCCTCAGCCTCCACTGGCAGCCAGTCTGATTCTGATTCTGATTCTGATTCTGGCTCCGATTCCGGCTCCGATTCCGATTCCGAGCCTGAGACAGACAGCGATAGTCAAACTGATGCTCTGCACCAAGCCAAGCAACGTGCTCTGAACCACATCACATTGTCGCGAGCAGACCAGATGTCTGAGTCAGACTCCAGTGAGACATCAGACGAGGCAGCGTCAAGATCAGATGGTCGGCGATCTCCTGCAAACGAGGATCAAGATTCAACCTCGGAATCTGAGTCAACGTCTGACTCGGATGAGACGTCCTCCTCAGAGGAAACTTCCGCCTCAGAGTCTGAGAGCGAAACGGAACCTTCGGGGAAAAAACAAGCTCCAGCGGCTCCTTCTAAGACTGCTTTGGAAGCCTCTGAAGAGTCTCCAAAAACTGATAAACTCACTGTGGCACCAGTCTCCGCTCCCGGTGAAGGATCTTCTAGAACACATCAGAACAACGCCAGAGTGAAAAAGAGAAAAAGACTGGCCCTCCTCAAAAGCCAAGGGATTCTGCCCGAAAACGCTGATTTTCAGACATTGCACGAGTATGAGCAACAACTCCAAGCGAACTCTACAGGGACTGATGAAGCTGTCGCACGGCAACAGGAAACCGCAAATAGCAAAGAAGGACTTGCCGATTTAGGCGAGGAACCTGAAGCCCCAGTCGCCCCAAGTCAAGAGCCTCTATCAGAAGGTGTTGCCCAACCTGTTGAGCTATCCGACTCACAAGTTTCCGGGGGAGTTCCTGTGGCTGCACCCGAGTCAGAAACGCCTGCTCCAAGACGCGCACGACTTGATCTAGCTAGCTCTCGACGGATGCTCTTCTCCTCACTAGGCCTGAGAACTCCAAAAGACAAAGCAGCCGAACAAGCATTGAGAGAAAAGCTGTCTGCCCTGAGTCAGCCTAGGAAGGCAGTGGATGCTCCTCCAAACCCAACAAGATCGTTTCAGGCTGCGGCATCTGAAGAATATGATGATTCTTGGAAGAACAGTTTATCGCTCTCAGCAGTTGAGTGTGAGCGTGAGGGAATGACGTTGAGCACGCCCCCTTTTCCTTTTCAGCAAGGGTGGTGGAAAGGAAAAAAGCCCGATGCTACCAATAGCAAATCACGCGGCCGCGATGAGAGTCGGATGAACCATGATGATGATCATAACCAAAGCTTTGCTCCGGATGTTTCAACATTAGGCTACGCCAATGACGAAGGACTGACCTCTTCCATGGCCAATCCCAGCCAATCACACTCCGACGCTGTTGACAACATTCAGGTTCCAGTAACATTTAACAATCTTCCAGATCTTCTACCAAGTCAGCTTCGGCCAGGTGCGGTCGTTGCTTACAAACAACTCCAGCTGGACGAGTCTACAAACTACCAACCAGAAGTATCTGCCTACGTAGTTGGAAGGATCACAGCAGTTGACGCAGACGAACTGGAAATCTGCCTTGCCAAACAATTCTGGAAAGATGCTTCGAGTATCAAGTTTGACCCGGAGACGGGGAAGAGAGTCCTGGGCAAATTCGAAATGGAACTCGACGATGGCAAGGACGAGTCAGACGACGGGCTGCGCAGAGTTGACTTCTCTGCAATGATCACACCAAAACTGATTGAGAGTTCACCCATCGAAGTTCCCGATAGCGGACACAACCAGCAAATCCTCAATGAACAAGATCACAGTCGGCCAACGGAAAGCGAATTCATTTGCGTCCCAGAAAGTGAAGGGCATGAGGATCGCGACTCAATCGCTGTCAATCCGACGGCTGGTGAAGGAGACTTGGTTGTCAACACACCTCGCCGGACCGAGATTACTGCGATAATCAAAGAAGCAGGGTTTGATTCTGCATTGGATGATGACCTGTTAGAGCCGATTGTCGACCCGTCCGCTGAACGCAAAGGATCCCACAGCTCTGTCGACGCTCCTCCAAGTAAGCAAGGCAATGCTGCCCCAAACCTTGGATCCGCCTCTTCCCCAGCTCACACCACGAATGACCCGTCGTCCCCACCGGAAAATGACGGTAAAGGATCGCTCAATCTACATCACCGCGATGATCAACCGCTACTAGCATCAGATGACGTGTCCTCGCCATATGTACATACACAAGAAACTGTCGATTATCCCCACATCTCACAGATTGAGCTGGACTCTTTTGAAGCCACTAAGAACAACAGTAGTTCTCATCAAGATGCGCAAAGAACCTCTGCTGAGCCTCCTGTCGATTTGTCCTTCTCCTCGGAGTACGGCTCACGTGGAAGTAGACCAGTCGCTATTGAAGCGTCAGAACCGAGTCAGGAGTATCAAGGGCTATATTCCCTTCGTTCGGACTTGCCGCAGTCATCCTCACCGAGTCATGGCCATCTCAATGGTGATAATGAAGCCGCATCACGCAACAGGTCTTTTTTAGGGGGGCGTGGGTACGATGGTCAAGATTCCTCGTACCTTGATGATGACGATGATAGGAGCAGTAGTGAACGATCACTACCTTCAGTGCGAGCATTAACCTCCAGCCAATTGAATGGCAGGCCAACCAGGCTATCGATCAAAGGCGAACACAAACAGCCAGTTTCACCACCTCCTATTAGGAAAAGCCTGCGAAGTTCTCAAGCAAAACTTAAACAGGCGTCTCAAAGCAGTCCCGAACTACCAGATGCACCCTCTAGTCAACCAGATCTAAAGTTGTCTCAGAGCCAGCAACAGCCAGGGCTATCTCAGATCCCTGCTGGGTCTCAGATGATTGATCTGACTCTCTCAAGTGACGCTTCGAGCCCAGTCAAACGTAGCACAAAGAAGGGAGCAGCAAAATCGAATAAAGATGCGCAAGCTAACGGCAATCGTGCATCGATTTCAAGCCTTCCTAATCCAGGCGCCGGGATCGGAACGAGGAGATTGCTCACAAAGAAGAGGAGCTATGTGTGAAGAACGGAAGACTAAGCCAGGCAATGATGGATGGCGATCTGAGTCAACGTAGCAACGATGAGGCGTCATTTTGATGCAGATAGATGGGATGGATGGCAGGACTCGTGTATTAATAGGGCTTAACGACGTTCATATGTAGATAAATGGAGATGGACGCGCAGTATCGTGAGAGTTCCTGGTCTTGATTGAAAGTGCTTGATCGTGGGTGCAGAAAGCTCAAGGCACGTGTTGAGGGTTTGCCATTTCTAAGGGGTTCGCAAGGCTGTGCATGCAAGGCGTGACAAGGCTGCAGTCACAAGGCTGTCATCGGACGTCATTTCTCCAACGCTCCGGATCTGGACACTTCTTGACTTCGTGACTTCTTGCATCTACATATACAGCATCAACATCATAGCCAATTGATGCCGCACTATTCTGTGTGAGAAGGCTACACGACTGTCTGGCGTTGTCTTTACTTCCCTCCCTTTCCTCTAAAGATGGCATGACAGCTCTCGACCAAAATCACCGATTATGCCGATATGGCCTACAGACCTTCCTTTAGCATCTCGCTCGTTCTCCGTGAGTTTCATGCCAACTCTATAAACAAGTTGAATCTATCGCTAACAACCATATTAGCTCTCCTCCTGTCCCTTTCTCTGTTTTCCTCCTTCCAATCTCAGACTGCCCTTGCCATCAACCCAATATCAGAGTCCGATGGTCCCCTCCCTCCGAATTTCACTCCAGACGAACGACAACGACAGAACTACTGGAAAGAAGGAGGAAATGACGTTGTACACGAGATATGGTCAATCCTACGCGACTACGAGCCAACATGGAAGGACAGTGTGTCTTCATCCCACCCGACCGGGTTTCTACACACCACCTGGTATTATATCAAGGTCATCTTCCGGGTATTGTTCATGAATACGCCCACTCGACATGATGAAGACACCGACCGTACACCAGTCATCACGGGAGATTTGGCCAAAGGCGTTGAAACGCTAGAGACCGCAGCTGCTTTCGATGATCCAGATGCATTTTATCTGCTGGCTGAGATGAACTTCTATGGCAACTTTTCGATCCCAAGAAACTTGCGGAAAGCCCAACAATGGTATCAGAAATTGGCCGACCTTGATGGAAACAGTACTGCTCAGCACATGCTTGGTTTGATGTATGCCACGGGTGTTGGTGGCGTCGAAAGAGATCAGGCCAAGTCTCTACTCTACCATACTTTCGCAGCGGAGCAAGGAGACACGCGCGCGGAAATGACCCTCGCCTTTCGACACCATGCTGGAATTGCCACCTCAAAAGACTGCAACACGGCCGTCTCGTATTATAAGCGAGTTGCAGACAAGGCCATGGACTACTGGATGGCTGGCCCTCCTGGTGGAGCTATGCTCCCTCGAAATGCTTACCGCTGGGTGGAAATCGATGGTGGGTCATACGGCGAAGGCGCCAGTGTGAGCAGCTCTGGACAAAATGCTCCTGGTCGAGACAGCGTCACCGCAGCACATGTAGACTACGTCTTGGACTATCTGGATATGAAGGAACGACAGGGTGATTACAATGCCATTTTCACCCTGGGAACCCATTACTACGACGCCCCACGGGGATACAAGCGCAACTTTCGAAAAGCACAGCGCCAATTCATGAAGGTGGCTCGCGCTTACTGGACAAAAGATGGCAAAGTCAATCCCAAGGCCCCCAAAGGAGTCGAGCGCATCGCTGGCAAAGCTGCTGCCTACATTGGCCGAATGTTCCTGCGTGGCGAGGGCACAGAGCAGAATTTTGAAAAGGCGCAGACCTGGCTGAAGCGAGGTGTTGCGAATGGCGATTCCTTTGCTCAATATCACATGGGCTTGATGTACAGAGATGGACTTGGGGTACCCAAAGATGGACCTCACGCTGGTAGCTATCTGAAGGCAGCAGCCGAGCAATCCCTCCCTCTCGCCCAATCTGCTCTAGGGGTTCTCTTCCTCGACCAAGGAGACATTGATACGGCGGGTCGCTATTTCGAGCTAGCCGCCTCAGCCGGCATCATGGAAGCCTATTACTATTTGGCAGAGTTAACAAACCAAGGCGTGGGCAGAGAGCGTAATTGTGGCCTGGCCAGTGTCTACTACAAAGTAGTAGCTGAGCGGGCCGAGATTCTCCACTCGTCGTTTCACGAAGCCAACGTCGCATTTGAACGTGGCGATTACGAGCGGGCTTTCATCCCCATGCTGATGGCAGCGGAGCAGGGTTACGAAAAGGCCCAAGCCAACGTCGCATATCTTCTTGACAAGAAGACATCCGTGTTACCCCGTCTACTGAATCTAGGTATCCCACTCCTATCTCCAAGTCGACCATCCACTTCTCGCAGCAAACTTCTCACAGACGCACATCTGGCTCTCACCTACTTTACACGATCTGCCAAACAAGACAACGTTGACTCTCTCTTGAAAATGGGCGATTACTATCTCTCCTCAGGCACAGCAGCAGCTGCCCTATCCTCGCCATCACCAACAGCAAGTAACGACAAATCTGACTCAGAATCCGGCCCCGCTTTGTCGCCAAATGCCAATTCCAACCTCGAGAAAGCAGCTCAATGCTATACGACCGCTGCGGAAACCCATCATTCAGCACAAGCTCTCTGGAATTTAGGCTGGATGCACGAAAACGGTATTGGAACGGTGACACAAGACTACCATATGGCGAAACGGTACTATGACCTAGCACTGGAGATGAACAAAGAAGCCACCTTCCCCGTCACTTTGGCACTGTGGAAATTACGCGCCCGGTCTTGGTGGAACGGCGTCAGTGGCGGCAAAGTCAATCCGATCCGAGAAGACGAAGATGAAATCGGTAAGCGGCCCAAGACCTGGTCCGAATGGATTAATCGCTTCTTGGACGCCGCGGATGAAATGGATATGAGAGAAATGGAAGCTCAGGCCAGAGAGGCCGCTGAAGAGGATGAATTATTAGGATTTAAGGATCCAGGCATGCCTGGTGGTGATGCCGAGTATCGTGGTCAAGGCCACAGACATGCAGCCGGTGGAGGCGGTGGCGCCAACGGCCAAGGCAGGATTGAAGGCGATGTCTACGGTGCAGATGAATGGGATGAATTCGATGATGGTCTTCTCGAGAGTCTGATCATCATCGGCCTAGCCGGTGCGTTGGCAATGTTGGTTTATGCCAGGCAGGCAAGGCAGAGAGAGGGACAGAATGAGAGACAGGGCAGGGGTCAACAGCCTCAACCTCCCCAGATACAGCATCCAGGAGGTCAGCAGGATGGCCAGAACCAAGATGCACAGCATGAGCAGGATCGACAGAACAATGGCTTGTTCCCTCAACCGGGACAGCCAGAGTTCAATAATTGGGTCGCAGGTGGCATTGGGCATTGAAGCGTTTCTTAAAGGCTTGTCTTGATAACTAGAGCAGCTATCTTGAGTCATGTATAACAATACCTATTGTATGCATTATACACGGAGAACGCATAGTACATCGACCCGATTTTAACCAAATTATTGCCACATGTTTTGCCATGTAGCAGTATGATGTTGTTGGTTGAGTCTCAAATTCAATATTGATCACCGATTCCAACCACATCTGCATAATCTTGAGTGGGGATGGCCATACCTTGCCGAAATGTTTTAGCTCTGATGCTCAGGCCATATATGGTGTCTCCGTCAGGTTGGGAGACAGGATCAACGTCAAGGCAAGCTTGCAGCATATCTCAACAGGCTAAGTTATTCGTACATTCCACCGAGGCGGGCGAATGAGCAGCCTCAGGGTCCTTCTCTTGCGGGATCCTCAGACTGATGGCATCTGTGCGAGGGGACTCGACGCCCTTTGGCTGATGTCTGAGTTGAGATTTGTTTTAGTTCATCCTCTTGAGGCCGCCTGGCCTTTTCATAGTCTTCGGCGGGATGATGTGTTTGTAGCACGAAGTATGTCCGCTGCCTTAGTGAGGTGTTGCATCTTTCGCAGCGATCACAGGCAGTGGCCGTTGGTCGTTGTTTCCAAAGCAACTCGATTCGAGTCATGGTATCAGCCTGCTTTGTGGCATAGTCGACTTCCATCGAAGTGGTTCCCATAGACAGGTGCTAACCTTCTCAAGCGCCATTTGTACTGTCATGCACCGTCTGTGTCTTTTTATACTCGATCTCGAGCTGTTTCTGCATATCAAAATCGGCCTGTCGCTCCCGCTTGATCCGCTGTTGCTCCATGTCTCGGACGACCCCGGCGTGCATGGCCTGTGGAAAGTGGTTAGCTAGGAGCTAGTGGGTGCCGTGTGGAAAGTCGACTAAGTACTCACTGCTTGCTCAGCTGTCTGAGCCCAATGGACGAATGCAATGATGCCAGCGGTGCCGAGTAGGGTCGTCGCAAAGGTCAATTTGGATGCTGTCGACATGATTCGTGTAACAAAGGGAGGCTAGCAGGTGGTTGAGTGACTCTATGACTGTGACGAGAAGATCAATAGAAATCAAGAAAGTCAGAAGTCTCCTGATACAAATTCTTGGGGAAAGTGCCTTCTCCAAAAGTTTGGCCTGGCTGCACCTGCATCATTTATTTTGTTCTCCGCGTACAAAACGCAGGGGCGGTCCGAAAGCTCTACGATCACGTGCTCAGAGGAACCATTACCGGTACGGAGTATTACTCAGTACCTCTGCTAGCGCTTATAAGAGGCCCCATCTACCGCAAGGACATACATAAAAGAATTCAGAGACTTTGGGAACTTGGAGATCCTTTTATCGTTGGAGCGTTCATCATGGAAATTTCACGGCTATTCTAGACTTGCTCTCGCAGTTTACCATGTTTCCACACCTATCACATCTGCGCCCATGCCACAGCGCGTGCGCTTACCACGACGTGGCTCTGTCCACGCTCCCATGCTAGTAAACATACCTGAACTGAGGGTTCTGCGTTCCTGAGTCAGCAAACACATTGATAAAATCGACAGCCAAGTCTCGAGGACGTACCTTCTTGTCAGTAACATCGTCTTCGTAAGCATGCTCGAATGACTCCACAATACCCGCCGCATCGCGCCTCTTGTTTTGAAAGATACAGAGGTAGCGGTAAATGATGGCCAAAGCAATTGTCGCAACGGCTGTGTACACTACTACCTGGAATCCCGGTCCATAAGCTGGCGCATCTTGTGGCTTGAAAACCTGCGGGCCGGTGAATTGACCTGTTCCAGGATGAGCATGTGTCGTGATATTGGCGCAAACAAAAGGACGTCTCCAACTCACCTAAGCAATATCCAATGTAGATTCCAGATGAGCTGACCTGTCTCTTCGTATAGCCTGCGGCATTGCCAATTGACAGGCCCATGAGGACTCCAAATCCACCTGTAAACCCCGCCAGAGTGTATACGGCATAAAGGAGTCCACCGAGAGCGCTTCGAGGCAGTTGCCAGAGCAATAAGGCGGAGAGAAGTGTGATCATCTCTGAAACAACGACAATCCAAATTCTCGAGCGCGGTAGCTTGTAGGAAGCATATGTCGATGCAAGAATGATAGACCCAGCAACAAATCCTGCAGGCATGATCAAGAGGAGGGATTCTAGTGTACCAAATCCGAACCCAGCTATGATGATGGGGATGAAGGCATTGACTGGTCCGGCAGCAATCATGCATAGAAAACACATAGAAAAGACGAGCCAGAACTTCTCGTCTAAGAACAATTCAAGCACCTGTTGTTTCTTGAAGTGTGTGTTGCGCACCCCTGCATTGTTAACTCGCAGCCTGGAGACGGCGATGAATCTCTCACGCTCAGAGAAACCTTTAGCACGTATTGGGTCAGGAGGCATATAGAAATAAATAACAAGCGACCATAGTATAGTGATGATGCCGCCAACGATGAACATATAGCGCCATGGGGAAAGTGATCCGGTAATATGCCCGAGCCCGTAGTTGATAAGGGGCGAGACGACTGTGATATATCCAGACGCGGAGTACCACACCCTAGAAATGATCAGTGGATACCTCGAAACTGACATAAGTCAAGGATATTCAGCAGAAGGGCCTTACCCCATCATGAGCGACTGCTCATCTTTTTTGTAGAATTGCCCCACAATTAGCATAAAAATTGGCGATACACCTGCTTCCAGGAATCCCAGGAAGAAGCGTTGCGCGTATAACGACTGCCAGGTATTGCAAGCAGCTGTAGTGATAAAGCAGATGCCCCAGAGCAGGACCAAGCCGGAAGCCACTCGCTCTACTGGATATCGTTGAGCCAACTGCGACGCAGGGTAAGCTCCCCCGATAAAGCCAAGAAAGAAGATGGCTGAGGACATCGAATAACGATTTCCGGTCAACTCAAGGTCTTCACGAAGGCCAAATATTGCCTATAAAATTCAGTTATTACCTAGCACCTTTGCCATAGACAGGGAGACTTGCGGCTTGGGAGATCATGCCTAATCATGTTTGAGACAAAGTCAGTGGCCGGGTTATATCAGTCAACAAGAGAATGGCATGACAGGAAGAACTGAGCACCAAGATCACTCTGCAAAACTCACCCTTGTCATAGTATTGCAGTGCATAGGTTAAACACAGGATAGGTAGTAATTTTTTGTCAATCTTCCTCCTGACTATCTTTTCTTCCTCCGCAGTCCATTCTTGTTCGCCGTCATAATTGGCTAACACTTTCATGGCTTCGTCATTGTGTACGGTGTCGACCTTGATTTCCTTTTTGATCTCAGGCTCTGATGTGGGACTCGCAGCACGCTCCTGCTGAATGTCTTGGGCTTTGTCTGTGTCGGCCATGTTGTTCAAGATGACTTTGAGAATACCTGTCTTCTGGAGCAGACTTTTCGTGCTCGTCGACTCTTATGCGGGGGATTATACAGGGGGTCGTAATGATCTCATCTTTAATACCTTGGAACGGCTATACAATGGTCCAGGATACCGGTTATAGAATGCTGGAGACCTCGGGGTAGACCAGGTTTAAGAGCCCGCTATTCTTTTCTTGGAGTGGCCGATGCCTGTTGAGTGGTGGAAAATGACTGTTTGGTCCAGACTTTGCTCCACAGTCTCCACGACAGGCGCCCCAGAATATCTTACCCCATGGGTTGGACTTGTTATCAGTCTTAATCACTCCACCTCACTAAAAGAAACATCTGTGGGGAGCATGTCATGCCAAGTTGCCCTCGTATTGCTGGAACCATTGCCCCTTGGGTGAGATTACGTGCTGTTGTCAGTGAGCTCCTCCAGAATATAAATCTTCTGGGCCCATTTCAGGGCAATCAGGGTCTTGGTGGCTTCTTTGAGAATGTGTGTTGGCTTCTAGCTTCAAGTGGTGTGGCAGGAACAACCTACGTGGTGTCTGTATGGCTGTCTAGAGTGACTGGTCTAGATGCAAAGTACAAGGGTTTTCAATCACATCGCCTGGGCAAAATTTCTAAGCTGATGATCTTGACATGTTAGGAGCTGCAGATGCTTATGCGGCAACACAAGGCCACCTCAACCAGAACGCCTGCTTCCACTGTCCCATGAGCGAAAGCGGGCCGATTTTGAGCATTATTCATAATCTCGGTTATAGTAGATGCATAAAGGATGTATGGAGAAAGTGTCTCCGTATGTCCAATTTTGCATGAAGCCAGTTGTGTTGCATGAACTCGGCTATACATAGTGGCTGTATCCGGCTATACAAAATCAGAGAGGCTTCGGGACCACCTGACCATCTGTATGAGGATTTTGGTTGAAATAACCCTCTATTCTAGTCGAGAGATATAGAAAGGTTATTTACGGGCTACCTGAATTAGACATCGCCTTACAACACTATTGCATAACTTTCACTTATTCTCAAGGACATTCTGAATCACCTGCCGAAAAAATGACACAGCAATCTCCAAAGCCCAGCCCAGCATATGTGCTGGGCGTGGGTATGACAAAGTTCATCAAGCCCAGGGGACTTGTCGATTATCCAGAGCTAGGCTACGAAGCAGGCATCAAAGCTCTTCTAGACGCACAAATCACCTACGCAGACGTCGACGCAGGGGTTGCTTGTCATGTGTACGGTGACTCTACATCCGGCCAACGCGTCTTCTATCAGCTAGGAATGACTGGAGTGCCAATCTGGAATGTCAACAGCAACTGCTCCACCGGGTCTTCTGGCCTTGTGCTGGCCAAAGGTATGGTTGGCGCCGATGTATTTGGTGGCAAGAAGATGGACTGTGTTATGGTGATTGGGTTTGAGAAAATGTTCCCTGGTTCACTCAAGAATTTTTGGGATGACCGAGCATCGCCGATGGGTCTCTCCGTGAGCGCAATGGAGAAGGCACATGGAAAGAGAAAAGCACCAATGGCAGCTCTCATGTTTGGTGATGCTGGAAGAGAATATGCTGATAAGTGAGACTTCTCTTACTTCCAGATGGATGGACCAGCTAACAAGATATCAAGATATGGGGCACTGCCGACCGACTTTGCTGAGATTGCTCGTGTCAACCACGAACACTCTAGCAGGAACCCGTACTCTCAATTCCAGGACGTCTACACCTTGGATCAAATCATGGCATCTCCTCTCATTCATGATTACGTGACTAAACTCCAATGCTGTCCCACATCCGATGGGGGAGCAGCTGCCGTCATTGTATCTCAGTCATTCCTCGACGCACGCCCACATCTCAAAAGCCAGGCTGTCTTGATATCTGGCCAAGCCATGGCAACAGACACTCCAGACTTGTATTCTGGCAGCGCAATGGATATGGTGGGCTATCAAATGACTAAGATGGCCGCTCAGCAGGCTGTACAGCAAGCTGGTATTGATTTGAAGGACGTGAAGTTATGCGAGCTACACGATTGCTTCGCGCCAAATGAAATGATCACTATTGACAGTCTAGGTTTTTGCGAACCTGGAAAGGCCCATGAAATGGTGAGGAAGGGCGACATCACTTATGGTGGCAAGATGGTCATCAACCCATCCGGAGGCCTCATTTCGAAAGGCCACCCTCTGGGTAAGTTAGATGTTCATTAATGGCTATGTTTGACTGACACTTTTGTTCAGGAGCCACTGGACTCGCTCAGTGCGCCGAACTTGTATGGCACTTGAGAGGTTGGGCGAACAACAGACTGGTCAAAACCAAGGTTGCACTCCAGCACAACCTTGGGCTTGGTGGAGCCGCTGTTGTGACAATATACCAGCGAGCAGATGGAAAGGAGAACAATGCAATGACAGATGAGGAGATTGGGCGCATGAATGGACTTGGATACAACCCTGCCGTTACGGCTGGAGGTTTCACCAGAGCGCAGGCAGATAGTGTAAGAAGATCGACGAGTGAGATTGCTTTGGGCGACACGGAAAAGAACTTAAGGGCCAAGATGTAGCTGAAACTTAGAAATACTAAGTAGCAGTTAGAGTTCGTTGTATAGGTCGATGCATACAGATTTTGCGGCGTATGGAAACTCAGTCCTCATGTCGTTTTGCCTTCGCCATCCAAGCAGTAATAGAATGAGCCTTCACCACAATGGCTTTTCCTCGCTCAGAAGACTCCACCATAGTCTACCTGACATTCTACATGAGTCCGAGATCCGATGAAAGTCGGCTAGTTTACATCCAAACAATGTACAGCCTAACTATCTCGGCATCAACGCGCGGGGCCGAGCACTAGCCCCTCGGTGTCAATGCCTCGGCCTTTATGGTTATATAACGGCGAATTAAATCAACAAGCATCGAACGCCTAAGAAACCGGTGGGTTATATACCTTCTGAAGTACATGATTTCGTTCACGGAGAAATACAAGCCCATTGTTCAAGATCACGATGGCTCAGCTTCGTTTCGATAACCAGGTCGTAGTTGTGACTGGGGCAGGTGGTGGCCTTGGTAAAGCATATGCCGTCTTTTTCGCTTCACGAGGTGCAAAGGTGGTTGTCAATGATCTTGGAGGGTCAGGTCATGGCGAAGGTCGTGGAAATACCGTGAGTGGCTGAATTCCAATCGACTTGGTTCCTCAATTAACGGCAGCAAAACACAGCTTGCTGATCAAGTAGTGGCCGAGATCAAATCTGCCGGGGGAGTAGCAGTCGCCGATTACAACAGTGTTGTTGATGGTCAAAAGATCATTGAAACGGCAATTCAAGCCTATGGCCGTATCGATGTTCTCATCAACAATGCAGGCATTCTGCGTGACATCAGCTTCAAGAACATGAAGGATCATGACTGGGACCTGATCATGGCTGTTCATGTCGAAGGCGCCTACAAGTGCAGCAGGGCCGCATGGCCACATTTCCGAAAGCAGAGATATGGCAGAATCGTCAATACTTCCTCAGCTGCAGGTTTATTCGGAAACTTTGGTCAAGCAAATTACTCGGGTGAGAGCCATACAGCACGTCTCATGGAATAGCAATACTAATCAACACCTACCAGCGGCCAAACTTGCCCTCGTGGGCTTCACAGAGACACTAGCTCTTGAGGGAAAGAAATACAACATCAACGCCAATGTTATTGCTCCCACCGGTACGTTACCATCATACAGCAATGAGAGCAAACGAGCTGACTTGGATTAGCTGCAAGCCGCCTGACCGCGACTATCATGACCGATGAATTACTTGCGGCACTGGATCCTGCCTTTGTAGTTCCTGTGGTGGCTGTCTTAGTCGACAAGAACAGCCAGGAGACTGGAAGTATTTTCGAGATTGGCGGCGGACGAGTGGCAAAGTATCGATGGGAACGATCCAAAGGAGCGGTTTTCAAGTGTGACGAAAACTTCACAGCTGGCGCTGTTCTCCAAAAGTGGTCTCAAGTAAACGACTTCACTGATGCGGAACACCCAACTGGCCCAATGGACTTATACGATACTTCATCCCGATCGCAAGCAGCCCAGCCTAACCCAAAGACTGCCAACCTTGACTTCACGGGTAAGGTTGTACTGGTTACAGGAGGAGCCGCAGGGTACGCATCAGACATGAAGCTTGACCTTGAACATGTTACTAACAAGATACCAACAGACTTGGACGAAGCTACTCTCTAGCTTTTGCTAAGCTGGGCGCTTCAGTGGCAGTCAATGATCTCACGAGCCCAGCTCCCGTGGTTGAAGAAATAACAAAAGCTGGCGGCAAAGCGATAGGCATTCAGGCTTCGGTCTTGGAAGGTCCTCTTTTGGTCAAGAAGACTGTCGAAGCCTTTGGTCGCATCGATATCGTCATTAACAATGCAGGCATCATCCGAGACAAGGCATTTGTCAACATGGACGATCGATCCTGGAAAGAGATCCAAGACATCCACTTGCGAGCAACGTACAAAGTCACACAGGCAGCGTGGCCATTTTTTCTGAAACAGAAGTCTGGCAAAGTCATCAACACCACCTCGACCACGGGTATATACGGAAACTTCGGCCAAGCCAATTATGCTGCTGCGGTATGTGCTCATATTGCAATGTTTGTGCAACTGGTGCTAATCACTCCATTCTAGAAAGCTGGCGTTATCGGTTTGGCCCGCACTTTGGGTTACGAAGGGGCCAAGTACAATATTCATGTCAATACGATTGCACCGGCAGCTGGGACGAACATGAGCCGATCGGTCATGCCAGAGGAGGCAGTTCAGCTTTTCCAACCCGACTACGTGACGCCACTTGTCCTACTCCTATGCAGTGACAAGCTACCCAATCCAACAGGAAACTTGTACGAAGTGGGAGGCGGACGAGTAGCTAGGACACGATGGCAACGAAGTGCCGGACATAATTTTCCCATCACAACCAAAATGACAGCGGAAGATGTCTTGAGCAACTGGACTGCCATTACAAGGTTTGATCAGAACGCAGATCATCCTTGGACCACCGAGGAAGGAAGTAGCAAGATCATGGCCAATATCAATATGAAGAGCACGGTGAGTTTGGAAATCTTTGGCAATCATCAACCCGATGCATCGTCCATACTGACTTGCCGGCAGAATAAGGCTCGAGACAAGGGCAAATCTGGAAAGAAGGATGTCCTGGGAGGCATCAAATCCACCATTGAAGGTCCTCCAATTATGTCTGAGTTTAGCTATACGAAGCGAGACTCTATACTCTACAACCTAGGTATCGGAGCTCGATATGACCAGCTTCCATTGGTGTTGTAAGTTGCCCCCATCAAACGCCATGTCAGATGAGACTCTATGCTGATAAGTCGAACCAGTGAGGATGATCCAAACTTCCAAGTTCTTCCGACCTTTGGATCGACACTGACTTATTACTCAAAGTCCTCAGACCTCCTGCCAGACCTTGTGCCAAATTTCTCGATGACAAGGGTTCTACATGGAGAACAGTATCTCGAGATCAGAAAATTCCCTATCCCCACCTCTGCAAACCTTGTTTCAGAAACCCGGATTGTTGAAGTGGTTGACAAAGGCGCTGCAGCGGTAATTAGAACCTCCATGACCACTTATGATAAAGACACCAAGGAAGAAGTCTTCTACAATGAGGGGGCTATATTCGCTCGAGGCAGTGGTGGTTTTGGTGGCGCCAAAAAGGGCGCTGATAGAGGCGCTGCCACTGCACCAAACAATCCGCCAGCAAGAAAACCCGATCATGTCACCGAGGAACACGTTCCAATCGGCCAGGCTGCCATATACCGAATGAGTGGAGATTACAAGTAAGTAACGCTCCTTACCTACATGGTTCTGTGCCTGTTGGTCCTGCAAAGTCCAAATACAGTGCCAGGTGTGGTGAATCTTGAATCTATACTGACTTTCGGTACAGTCCACTCCATATTGATCCCAAGTTCGCCGCCGCAGGTGGATTTCCTGGGCCCATCTTGCACGGTCTCTGCTTCTTTGGCATGGCTGGAAAAGCGGTATTCGAGAGGTAAGTTGACTGCCAGTATTTGCTGTAGTACGATTTGGAAACATCACAAGCTAATTCAAAACCAAACATCAGATATGGGGCATTCAAATCTATCAAAGTCCGTTTTGCAGGAACGGTCGACCCTGGCCAGACGCTGGTCACCGAAATGTGGAAAGAAGGCAACAAAATCATCTTCCAGACTAAGGTCAAAGAGACAGGCAAGCTGGCTCTAGCAGCTGCTGGGGTGGAGCTACTGAATACTGCTCCGGTGTCAAAATTGTGAAAGGACATATCTAGTAGTGAATAGTTTCGAGACAGGTTTCATAAAATTGGTATCCAACAGCCCGACGTTGCAATTGTCACTGACCTATGAACCTCGGAGCTTCGAGAGAACAGTTATATGAACCACTTCATCTTTCCTCAACGCGTCTGTAATTCAAGCCCCGCAATTACTGGGGTCCAGCTGAATCTGCTCGTAGTGCGAGATACAGGCCATCTCTCCATGTGGACTGGACAGACCCTGATGACATGATCCAAAAAGCCGACCGTCATGCCGACCGGGGTCCAGAGTATCCAAATCAGGCAGGGAGGATTCTACATTTTCCCCAGCTACGCCAACCTTGACCCCAGGCTCTTCGGCGCGGGAATACAGACCTCGGAGTGGAGTGTCCGGCTATACAAAAAAGGACCCACTCCCCACACCAACCCCACTCTTATCACAAGCTAATTTTGGTCACTCAACCGTACTGTCATATCTTGGGTAAACTTCGTCAATTTTCACCTGAGAGAATGCAGTGGGCACGCGTGTCTTAAAGTGCCGCCAACTTATAAAGCCGGTGTTGAATGCAGCCGAGGTCGTGTTATGTGTAGATTGCCAGTCTCGATCTCGAAATAAATGGTGTCAAAGGGGTAATATCGTAGAGTGCAGCCCTTTTTTCAACGATCGTTCATTTGATATTCAACTTCAACATCGGGCCGAACTGTGCATCTAGTCGTGTATTGATCTGTCTACCGACTTCACGTTGTCTTGTTTGCCCAATACGCTGCTCTCGATTGTTTCGTTTCTTCAAGCAGAGTAAACTATCGGTGTTTCGAGACACCTCCTCTGCTAGCCAACATGCCCTTTCTCGCCCAGCAACATGTTCCCATCCCTAATAAAGACATCCTATCGTGGATCTTTGATGACCAGAAATATGGTGCAGACAAACCGGTGTGTACACATGCACGACTAACTAGCCTTGCGTGACCAGTGGCAGGGTTTTCCTCAGGTTTCGGAACGTCTGACTAATGAAACGGTCGTCTCTTGAACGACATAGGTCTATATCGATGCGGTGAAACCATCACGGTCGCTCTCATCACGACAAGCGCACAGCATTATTCGAAAACTAGTCGCTGGGTTCCGTGCTGCCGGGTTCAGGAAGGGAGATTGTGTCTGCATCCATTCTTTCAATGATGTAAGATCAAAAAGCCCATTGTTTGGCTTATAGTAACATCATCTAACGTGTGTGCTAGCTCTACTACCCCATTCTAGTTCTCGGAATCATAGCCGCCGGGGGCGTTTACACAGGAACCAATCCGTCATACACGCCGTTCGAGCTATCCCACCATCTCAAAACAGCAAAAGCGAAATTCATCGTCATCGAGCCTGAACTGTTGGACAACATCACGGTCGCTGCTAAGGAGCGTGGTATTCCGGACTCTAATCTCTGGATCTTCGACGTTCATGGCCAGTCTATCCCACAAGGTTTCCGATCTTGGACAGAACTCATGAATCATGGAGAGCAAGACTGGGTACGATTTGACGACAAGACTACATCTATGCAAACAACCGCCGCACTGTTGTTCAGCTCCGGAACCACTGGCCTTCCCAAGGCAGCAGTGATATCTCATTACAACTTGGTGGCTCAACACACTGTTGCAATCGAACCTGCAAATGTTCCTTATGAGGTGAGTTAAAACCACATGGCGACGTGGTGGATGCAGAGGATTCAACGGGGGATGTTAATTGGTCGCCACAGGTCTCACGAATGATTTATCTACCCATGTTCCATGCAGCCGTCGTCCCACTTGGACATACATCTGCTCTGAAAGACGGCTCAAAAACGTACATTATGCGGCGTTTTGACATAGAAATCTTCCTCCAGTCGGTCTCGAGATACAAAATCACCGAATTGGTAGTCGTGCCGCCCATTGTCCTTGCAGTTCTCGCCTCTCCTTTGACGAAAAAATATGATTTGACCTCGGTCATGTCGACACTGTGCGGAGCTGCAGCATTGGGAAAGACTCATCAGAGGCAGTTCGAATTACTGCTCAATGAGAAGGCTTCTTTCAATCAAGTCTGGGGTATGACTGAGACCACTTGTGTTGCCTCTCGATTTTGGTATCCTGAAGATGATCAGACTGGAAGTATCGGCCGTTTCGTTGCGAATTTGGATGTCAAGTATGGTGTATCCAGTGAAACCAACCGTGTTGCTCGATGCTGACGATTGATATCAACAGGCTCGTGGACGACGATGACAACGATATCACCGCACTCGGAGGCAAAGGAGAGATCTTGGTGCGTGGCCCAACCGTCATCTCAGGCTACTACGAAAATTCAGCGGCAAATGCTGCTTCATTCGACTCAGAGGGTTACTTCCGCACTGGCGACATCGTGGTCTGTGAAGATGGCCCCGGACTGACACCAAGTACGGCGAAATGGTATATCGTGGATCGTAAGAAGGAGTTGATCAAAGTTCGAGGATTCCAGGTCTCTCCCGCAGAGCTGGAGGCCGTGATCCTGCAACATCCTCAGATTGTTGATGCCGCCGTGATTGGCGTCAGGGATCCCAATTCCAAGGACGGCGAGCAGCCTCGAGGATATGTTGTCCGGGGAAGTGCCAACCCAGATGAGAAGCTGACAGTCACAGAGGCAGAAGTTAGGGATTGGTGTGCGCAGCGTCTAGCCAAATACAAGGCTCTAAGCGGTGGGATCGTCTTCGTCGATGCCGTCCCACGAAATGCAGGCGGCAAGCTGTTGAAGAGGATACTGCGAGAACAGGCCGAGGCGGAAGCAGCGTCCACGTCTTCACGAGCGAAGCTTTGAGGAGCAGAGTGTCGATAGACCAAGAGTCAGGGTGTCATCACAAACCGTACAGACATACAGAGAAGTATGTAATATGAAGCCAAGCCAAAATTCAATAGATACATTTTAGATTGTAGGCAAGTGTTACTATTCTAAAATGTAATCACTGTGTCTTCCACCTCATGAGACGGGAGGCAATTGCCCCAATTCTGGCCGAGGTTTTCCCAAGGGGTGGCATCAATGCTTCCGTTTGTAACCGGGGAAACAAACGTGTTTGTATCCCAAGACTCGACTAATTGACTCCCTTCAAAAGCCGTAAAATTGAGCATACTATGCCACGTGGCTCCGTCTTCTGCAACGTGCTCCTCAATCGTTGTGTGACCGAAAAGTTGACTATTTGAACACGAGTCCATAATGGGAACTGTAGGGGACCTGCTGAGGTAAGCCTGGGATGGAGGACTGACATCAAAGACCGCAAGGTCATGTTGATTGTCCTTATCATTGGTAACCGGTGTGATGCTATCAGGAACCATATCAGGCCCATTTCCCGAGCTGTGATTGCTGTGATCAGGGTCGATATCCAGTTCGAAAATTCTGGGGCAATTCTCCTGGGCGGTTTTCTGAGATGCATCTCGACGGCAGACAAGGATCAGTCCGGCGCGGCGCAAGAACGCGCTGACGAACTGGGAGAAGAAACTACCACCAACGTAGATGGAACGCAGAACGGTGAGACAAACAAAGAGCTCGCTGAGATTGTCTCTAGCTTCCTTCATCTCGGAGCCCTCACTTTTCTTCCCTTGACCAGGAGATGCTCCTCGAAGGAATGACTTGATAAACAAGGAGTGCCAAACTAGGCTTGGAACCAACATTGGAATGACATTGACGGGGAGATATTTGGCAAGACCTCTAGCATTCAGTGCACTGCAGACTCGAGCACTTTGCCGAGCAGACTCTGCGATTCTTGTCTTGGAGGCAGGGGCTTCATTTCGGGGGCGGTGCAGAGCCGAAACTGAGGCATGATAACCTAGGTGCAGAACGGCAACCTGGATGGTGACACTTGCTGGTTGGCTGCATGACCTATCGCAGCAGCGACTTTGACCTTGGTCATGGAGAAGAGACTTCCATGCAGCCTGGCCTTGTTGTGATTGCTGGTCGTTGTGTAAAGTACAGCAATGGGCATAGGAGGGAAGATCTTTGTACCATGCAATGAGATCCTGATCAAGCATGGTGAATATCGAGTGAGTGAGTTCCTTCAGATCTTGGCCGGGGAAACGATGGGAAATGGGTCGCAATGTCACCGCGGCGGGAGACTCTCCAATTTTGTTCTGCATTTCGTACTCGTGAGCGTGTGAGAAGTACTGCGAGGAAAGAATTGAACCTATGATGGTGCACAGCTTTATACTGGAGATGAATGATTCGGCTAAACGAACCCTTGTGAGTTTGTCGCACAGGCTTGTTCGCATGAAAGGGCTGCATCGACAATTTCCATTAGCCGAGGATGAGCAGCTGTAACTATTTTCGAAATCTTCGACCTCAAGTAGTGGGACATCAAAATCCTCGTGGCGAATGCGGGTTGGACGGCTGAGGCCGATGGAAATTAGTCGGTCGCGAGCGAAACAACACCACCACAATCGCTTTCGCAAACTCTTCTCCCTTGGCGATAAGGGCAAATTGTCTGGGCAAAGACCGAGACCAAAGCCTTGGGCGAAGGAGACAGCGTTTCCTATCCAGTGCCAGCCTTGTTTTCGAGCATCGAGGTTGGCGGACCAGAAACTCATCAAGATGAGGGATTGGATAAGAGTGAGAACGTTACACTCAAAGTCGATGTCATACAGAAGCTGTCAAGATTAGCTTAGTGGCGGCACAACGAGCCTTTATATACGTACACGAGCTCTCTCGTAGATGAGCTTACGGGCGGCTTTGATATTAGGGTGCCCAAAACGTTTGACAAGTGCCTCATCGACACAGGCAATCCCTGCCAGGAGGACGGTTTGGTAGAGTAACAAGCTGAATCTAGGTATGGTAGTAGGGTCGCGGTGAGGATCAATGAGGCAGAGAAGCTTGTCAACGTCCATCAAAGGCATGTAGGGATGCATATATTCGACGTAACAACGAACAATTTCGTTGCGTAGATCCAAGGGAGGGATCTCGAACGCGCCCTTCTTCCGAAGATAATCAATGTCCACTGCACTAAGATGGGAAGGCAGTGGCAGGAAATAGGCGGGCAGTTCATCGCTGCCGGAGTCTTCTGGCGAAGAGACTTCGGGTGTCAGGGGAATGCGAAGTAGCTTAAGGCTGGGAGGGACATCACCCAGGAAGCTGATGGAACTTAGCAGTTCTGTTGCGCTGTCGGTGAGTGGTAGGCTAGTTGTGGGCTCATGGCGGATGGAGTTCGAGTCGTTGGAGCTTTGGTCCATGTTAGAGTCGGGGGTGTTATATTTGTAACCAAACAAGTCCCCGACCGGTACTTGGGTTTGAGCAGGAGGATCTCGCTTTGACTCGCTGAGTTTCTTGTACCAGTCTTTCTGTTTCCTGGTGGCATGATTAGAAAGGGCGAGACTCGTTGAATAGGGATGAAGTACCTTCCGCGTCGACATTGGGCAACCACGCAAGGGACATCACTGACGCGGCAGTTCTTGCATGGAGCTCCATGGCTGATAACATCACATTTCACCTTCTTTGTCCGGCAACTTTGGCATGCTTTGCCGGCCCTCCGTTGAGCACCGGCTTCAGTAGCAGGTTTGTGGTGTTTCAGACTCGGCTCCATGTGAATAAGAACAGATGTTGAGCACTGGTAGATATTAAGACGCAGATTAGGAATGACGAAAAGGAGAAAATGTGAAGAGGAGTCGACAGGACAAAATCCGGGGTTCTGAAAACGTGGGGCAAAGCTGAAAGAAGCCGTGTCCTGTCCACAAGGCTATTAACCGCGTTAGGGGGGGGGGCGTAAGTTGCAAGACAGCCCTCTTTAGTATGGAAGGCCTGTGTCTAGGCTTTGACAAGTTCCTCAGGCATTCAGTGTGTGACTCGACGCGCCTGATCAGGGACTGTCAGAAGATACTGGTGGGCCTAGAAGTTTTGTATAGCCGAAAAGCCGGCAGCGAACCAATAAGAAGCCGAGCGGCCTTATGTAGGCCGAATGCTTGGGTTGGTGACTTTGTGCATAAAACAAACAGCAGGGAGGATTTCAGAGATGATGATTGGATTCAAAGGGATGTCATATCGAGTTCGGGCCGCACACGGTCAGCAAAAGAGTCGTGATCAGAAGTGGTAGATAAGTGGGAGAGAAGTGGAAGAAGTGAGAGAGACGTTGGAATTGAATTGACGTGGGAATCATGTTTGTTCAACGGAAGGAGCGACTGCTGATATTTCAATGTCTACCTCGAGGAAGGCAGGCAATTGCCAACTCAAACAATTACCAAGTCTGCGCTGGATGCAAGACCTTCCCATACTGCCCCAGGACTGTGGGAGTAGGGCACTTCATCAATAAGCCTGAGGATGATTTGTATACCTACTAACTACTGGTAGGGTCTGTAGAATGGTTTCCTGGGGCCGAGAGACCGAGGCGACTAAAGAAAGTAGCCGCAAGACCCCGTGGGATTTCCATGGGGAAGTGGCACGAGTGGAAGTCAGGAGGACATATGCTCCACTGTAGACACTTCCGACGACAACACAGTGCTCCACCCAAATAACTAGTCCGGGGTAGAGTGACATCAAAGTGCAGTGATTGCTTCTGGTCTCGGCGGTTTGTTCTTCCGGACAGGTCAGGTACCATGCAAGTAGGACGTTAGATATCCATCCTCGAGCGATCCGTCGTTGACCATCCCTCACCAAGTCGTCCATTGATTGTCTGTGCTGGTGGGTTCTTCTTGTGCATAGCAGTCTCTCAAGATGGTATGATTCAATGTGACCTACTCGACCACCTCCTCACTGACTCACTCTCTAGTCTGCTCAAAACTCCGCGGGCATTCAAACCCTACTTGATGTGAGCTCGACCTCAACTGGCGACTGCTGCGCATTAGATCACTAACTCTTGCTGCAGGCCGAAAAAGAAGCTCAGAAGATTGTTCAGAAAGGTAAAAGTCATTCTGACCCTGTGCATCGCATATCACTGACACCTTGATAGCTCGAGAATGTACGTCCAAACCAATCGATATCAGTACCCTTGTTGAGCCACTCCCTCTGACATTCCACCCCTCCTTATAGACCGAACCAAGAGAGTAAAAGACGCCAAAACAGAAGCCCAGAAGGAGATTGATGAGTACCGAACCAAGAAGGAGGACGAGTTCAAGAAATTCGAGGCAGAGGTCCGCCCGACCCATAAAGACCATCTTGGTATCCCCGCAAACTGACCCCTCCAACAGCAAAGCAGCGGCAATCAGAAAGCTCAAGATGATGCCAGCAAAGACGCCGATGCCAAAGTCAAGGAAATCGAAGCTGCAGGCAAGAAGTCGGGCTCCAAAGTCGTGGACAACCTGATCAAAGCAGTCACAACCCCTACACCTGAAGTTCCCGATAAGGTCTCACACGAGCAATGAGACGATAGAGAGACTGTGACCACCCACTACAATAACTCTGAAAGAATTGCCAGGTCTCATTGGCCCGGGGTCTTGAATCCTTGGATGGTTCAGGTGGCTGTGGCGGGGAATTGTTGGGCGTAAGGGACTACTTGTACAGGTTGAATATAGATCAATTAGTGGATTACATTATGACGATGAAGCTTTGGGGGACCAGGACCAGAACCAGAGTCAATGGCACAAAGACAAAGTTCTGCCCTGCATGAACTCCCAGGGTAGCTGAGTAAACTGATCCATGGCCTCGATTCTTGCTTCCTGATAATGATGCTCCAGGCGCATTGACGAGGCTGAGCCACAGCCTTGCAATTGTTGCCGCAACTGACACATGACGTACGCATATATCGTGACATACAAAAATATCCCAACCCAGAACAACATTTGTTCCTCGCCACATCTCTCGACCAGCTTCTAACCGAGCCAACTACAAGATCAAGCAATTTGGAAGCTCGAGTGACTCCGCTGGGCGGGGGGTAGCATGCCATGGAGTGCCAGAGGGCTCCATGCTTTTCGAAATGGAGCCCAAGTCATGAAACCAACATGGCCATGCAAAGCATCTTACCGATTTCGCTACGATTCTCGACCACAGTATAGGTTCTCATCGAGCTCGTCTGATCAGCCACCTCGGAAAGAACCTCATGCAGAAGAGAGTGCAGCGAGCGGGCAACCCCGCCAAACATCCCCGTCTCAAGACGACTTGTCCAGCCAAAGCATCAGATGCGACGACCACACAGTCTCCCCACTCAACACGATCCAGCTCCTTTCCAAAGACACACAGGAGGACCTAAGCCCTCTACTCACAACATCTTTCTCCCACTTGCAGAAAAGCTACCAATCACCAGCTCACCCTATTGTCCTGGCGCATGGGCTTCTTGGGTTTGATGAACTTCGACTAGGCGTGGCGGGCCGCTATCTCCCACCAGTGCACTACTGGCGAGGGATCAAATCGGCATTTGCCAGCCACGGCATCGAATCCATTAGCACGGCAGTACCATCAACAGGGTCGATCCCCGTGCGCGCTGAAGCACTATACTCACAGATCGCGGATCAACTACGTGGACGGACAGTCAACATTGTCGCGCACAGTATGGGCGGCTTAGACGCTCGATGGCTCATCTCGCGTCTCTGCCCGCCAGCATCAGACTTTACCGTGGCATCATTGACCACTATTGCCACACCGCACCGCGGCAGCTCGACCGCCGACATGGTGTTTCGCGATATTGGACCTGACCTACTCCCACGCCTGTATTCCATTCTCGACAAGCTTGGCCTGACCACCGATGCCTTTTCGCAGCTGACCACTTCTCATGTGACTCAACATTTCAATCCAGTGGTCCCCAATTCAGCGTCGGTCCGCTACTTTAGCTACGGCGCTTCCGCCACGCCTCATCTATTCTCCGTTTTCCGCGTCTCTCACGATCTCATGAACGAAATTGAGGGTCCCAATGATGGGTTGGTCAGTGTCCGTAGTGCCAAATGGGGTGAGTACAAGGGCACCTTGGTTGGAGTGACTCATTTGGATCTCATCAATTGGACAAACCGCATCAAGCACGCTGCCGCCAAAATGGGTCTGGTCGAGCAAAAGTTTAATGCCCAGGCGTTTTATCTCGGCGTGGCCGATATGTTGGCCAAGGAAGGTTTATGAGTTGGGACGAGTTTTCTTTTGGAAGAGACGCTTGAACGGCGATTCGCTAGCAAGAGCAATATTGATACGACCAATCTTGTGCGATGAGAACTACGTAATATTGTTTTATGTACAACAAGACTTGAATGTGTATATTACCAATCTTATATATATGCCATCTAACTAGAAATGCTTGATGATGAATTGATATTACCAACCAGCAGGCCACGCATGATATATACGTGTTTCAACTTGTTGTGTTGTTTATGTCCAATGATGCAGATCATGTACTTCGTCATGTATATTCCCAAAAGTCTTTATAAAGTGGAACAAGAACGGTTCCTTCACAGTTCCTTCCTCCGATCCAAAGGTCCAGACCTCGCAGGACTTGCTTCATGGCCATCAAGGCCGCTCATCGCCGGAATTTGCGAAGACGGGGTCTGAGGCCGGCTGGATTTCTCCGGAGTAGACAATGAGACTGTGGTTCCATTCGTGATATACTGTCCGTTTGTGTTTGTCGAGTCTCGATTCTGTAGTCGACTCATGATCTTTCCCGCCGCATACGTACAGCCGCCATAGGCAAATCGGATCAGAGAGTCGCCGGTCAAACTGCCCACGATGAAGACACTCTCGGCAACTTCCAGGTCCTCGTTTGCCTTCTCCCTCAGACAATGAGCTGAGATGAGCTTACCTTGAGTCTTGTCGGTGTTGGATCCACGGGGTGGAAGGACTTGAGCAACCAGATCAGGGGAAAGATACTCCAGAGTACCTCTCCGTCCAACCACATAAGCAAAATTACCGACTTGTCGCTTGAATGGCTGGCCAGAGCCGATTTGGAAGGTCACTGTAGCCCCACTTTCTTGAGTGCACTGTTCGACGTTGACAATGTGCGCATTTGGTAGTCCCTCGTACGTCGCGCTCCAGTCCCGGCTTGAATCAAAGTCAGAATGTGTGTGACGTACTTTTGATCTCTTCCCAGAGACGCTGGGGTGCGACAATGCGGCGATTTTCATTCTCCGGTAGATTCCCGCATATTCTGGATAGGCTTGCTGATGGCATGCCCGGAGCGGAGAGGGTAATGTGGAAGGGGCCCACTTGAAGACATGGATGATCCTTTGGTGTTCTGAGCTTGATATGATGATATCTGCAGCGCTGAAGCCTGAGCCGATGACTAGAATGGGTAAAGGTTGTTCGCGACTCTCGACGCCCGCCAAGGTCGCCAGAGGCCAAAGAATCGGAGGTGGTTGAATTAATTCGCTGAATATTCCCGAGGCGAGCACCAGATTCTGGCAAGAAATGTTGTGCGAACCGATGTAGAAGGTATTCCCTCTCCGACTGACCTCAGACACGACCTGCGCATTTTGGATCGCCTCAGTGATGCCTACCTTTGTGGGATATGCGGCGAAGTAGTCTGCAACCGATCGCCTCGACGGTCTCAAGTAGACAGGCATTGACCGGCCATAAAGGCAGTGGTAATGCTGTTCAAAGGTGTAGCCTGGAAGAGATAGCATGCCTGCATAACTCAATGTCCCAATGTCCCAGCTGGCATCGACAGGATTATCCTCCCACTGCCCGCCCGCCGTGGAGGTTTTTCCAAAGACCAAGTGTGACACGGCTCTTTGAGGATCATATTTCCATTTGACACAAGTGGTCTTTGGCGCATCTTCTGTTTCTCCATATGGACGGATGAGGGTATCGAGGAGGACATTGATGGGAAGGGCTTGGGTCGAGTAGGAAAATCGCGATGCGGTGAAGTGGTCGGTCAAGAAATCGACGTCCAGACTGAGCAAATCATGATCCCAGCAGTTCAGTTTGTCGTGCAGAAGAGGGTCAGGGTGCGGGTGGTCCCTGTCATACCAGGGAATGTGTCCATGAAGAATGTAGGACAGAATCAATGCAGAGGGTCCATTTCCTGTAAAGGGTTGCAATTGTCAGCACCAATCATGATCAAGAGGTGAGTTCTGGTGGAAGCCTGGTCTGGGGAGCCTGAAAAAGAAATCATTTCTGGGCTTGGAGGCTACGAGCGACCTACCAACAATGACTGTGTTGATGTGTCTAGGCTTGCCATGAGCCATTGGAAACCCGTACATGTACAGGATTGGGTCATAATGTTGAAAAAGGCGTAATCGAGCAGAGGCGAGAATGGACGACTGCTTAGAAAACAGCACCCCGAGGGTGCAGAGGCCAGAGCGGAGTCAAACCACCCGGGAATGGATACTTGGGTCTGGTTCATTGCGGCATGACCCGTGCGAAGATTTTCAATCCGTCATGACTATAACAGAGACTGAATCATCACAAAAGGGCAAAGTCAAAAAGGCTCCACCGAATGGCTGGCGGCAGCGATGGCGTGCTTTGGAGAGGGTAACGTTGGATGAAGCGAGGATGAATTCTACACAACTATAGGTGGTGAGTGAGGTACGGTACATGGTAGTCCCAGGCAAGTCTCGTAATAAGGAGCTCCAGGTGTGGCCAATGCCTAGAGAGGCCCCTATAACGCCTGGGGAAGGAAAATTCTTAGGGCCGAGGTCCCCAAGAGACCCAGACACCCAGGCATCCACGACCCCCGCACGGCCTGGAATATCGAATGAGGGGTCATCAACACTCACGTGATATCAATATGTGTCGTTGGTGGTTCGAGAATCAGAAGAGACGGTGAGGACGGCTCTAGATCTCATCTTAGATTTTAATTTTACTTGCTTGAAGCTCCCATCAAATCATGTCTTCCATGAAGGAGGTCTCTTCTCAAAAAACGACGAGATCCCTTCTTTTGCATCGTCAGCTTTTGCATGCAACGCCATGACGTTCCCTGCCCACGAGACAGCATCTTCGTATCCGTCGCCACCGGATTCCCGACCATTGAGACCCAATTGAGTCCAGTAGGCCCATTTCCCTAATGCCTGAGGCTGACCGGCGGAATTGCTTGCCAGCTGAGACACTATCTCTGCCACTCTTTTCTCCAGGCTAGCTTCGTCCGACACCAATTCGACCGCTCCACCGGGCAATTGATCTGCCCGGTGTAGTTCTGCTAGTGCTAGCATTCGATATGTAAATGCTCCTCCCAGTCTTCTGGAAACTGCCGTAGCGGGTGATGTGCATGGAAGCCCTATTGATGCACCGGGGAGTCGAAACTGGGTCGATGCACAAGTCACCGGCAAATCCGTGGTCAAGGCCAACTGTGCTCCTGCTGCAGTGGCTAGACCCTGAATGACGCCGACAACAGGCGCCGGTGATCTTCTAATCAATGACATGACTTCGGCGCAAAGAGCGAATGTCTCCTTGACCTCGTCGTGGCTGAGGGTCCGTAATTCCTTAAGGTCATGCCCAGATGAAAAGACCGGTCCCTCGCTCCGTAGAACCACAACGTTAGGGAGTCCATGTCGATGCTCTTTCCATTTCTGCGAGTCCACAAGCCACCCGTACTTGTCGCTTGCAGCAGATCCACGATCTCGTTCTGCAACTTTGAGCTCTTCCAGGATCTTTGGCTTAAATGGGGGAAGAATCCGTACTTGTCCATCGGCAGGTGACGTGTTATAAGCATGAAGCTGATCTCGAAGATTCCTCAGCACCGCCAGGGACAGTGCATTGCGGTGGCGTCCGTTCCTCAGAGCAAGATACCCTGCACGAGCAGGTAGCTCTGGCCACGACATGGCTGTCTATTCTGAGGTGAATACGACACTTCCACCAGACGGTTGAGCCTCAGATTTGAATGCTTCCAGGACACGACGCTGAAAGATATGATATAATATCAAGAAGATAATACCAATATCGTCTCTTGAAAGGGGGAGCTCAAGGATTCATTTGAAGGTCGCTATATACCCAGGCACTACTCCGTAAGTCTAGGCACTAAGTCTAGCACTAAGTCTAGGCCGAGGGGCACTAAGTCTAGGCACTAAGTACCTAACCCAAGGTTTAAAATCAACCACACCTGCCCTCCGCATTGTCAGTCCACTCGCTCCTGCCACATTATCAAATATCAAATATCTATATCTGAACTTCACTTAGAAACGCGACAACACAACACAGCATGATATTCCTACATTAACATGGCGATCAGAGCCACTCTTCGTATATAATTGCTTCACTTTGGAGACATGCTATTGTCTCAAAGGCAGACAACTCCAACATCATGGACATGGTCGATTCCCCATACCATCTGCAAACCAACCATCTAGACTCCTGGTCAACTCAGTCACATGACAAGGCTACCATTGCGACGATCCATAAGGTCAGTGCCTCTCCTCCGAGTCCATCTATTTTCCACTGGCTTGTTCTTGTCATTGATGAATGGTTTGCGTGGCCAGCTCTTCGCGATGTCGATACTCGCTCTTGGTGCCCAAATCTCCAGGAAGAGAAAGATGAGAAAGTCGATAATGACACACAGACAAAACAGCTTGCCCGCCCAAATTCCACAACCATAGTACCTTTTCAATCGGTCGATCAAGGCGTGGCTCTGCACCCCCGATCGGCCTCGAGCTGCACTCCAGCTGGCACTACCGACCTGACCATAGAACTCTTGCTCGCTGATCGCCCCCGTTATCCCATCATATACTCGTTCTGTTCGTTGGGCCACATCTGTCCACGAATACATCATCTTGACCTGGTCGTGAAAACGTTCCGTCTTGACTCTGCCCGACCGAAGAGCAGCGATGGCTTTTCCAGTTGCCAGGACCAGATCGTCTTCTTCTGGTTTGGCAAAAGTTGTCATGTGTGCCGGAAGGACTTCAGGAATGCCGCCCACTCGCGTACAGACCACATAAAGTCCGCAGCTTGCAGCCTCCACAATGACAGTGCCAAATGCCTCGGTCAAACTTGGATGTAGGTAAATATGGCCCCTGACCATGACGTCTCGCACTTCTTCATGCCGCACTGGGCCAAGCAGCTCAACTTTGTCTTGCAACATCCGTCTCTCGAGCATTTGTTCCAGGTCTATGGCCTTGGGCCCTGACCCGGCGATGATAAAGCGCACATTCGGATGCGCGGCTAGAATTCTCGGTATCGCCGCAATTAAGAGATCGGTTCCTTTGTTGTAAAACAGCCGGGATATCACCACGATATAGATGGTGTCGTCAGGCCCAACCCTTTGAGGCAAGGGCCGGGGTCGAGCGTATCCGGCACTGTAATCCGCATTATATGTCTGAGGAGTATAAGATAGAGGTTGGAAATTCTCCGCCACCACCGCATTGGGAATAACTGATACCATCAAAGGGTCCAGTGAAGCTCGAAGTACGGTGTTCTCCTTGCAAGTATGACTGACACAAATGGCGTGATCAATGTCACTGAGCGTGAACTTGAGCAACTTGTTGGTCAAGATAGATCCAGCATCCGCAAAGCCAAACAGAGAATGGTCGGTAAAGACGGTCCGCAGGCCCATTGTCCGAGCATGTAGAATCGCTTCATGGCAAAAGCTGCTCAAACTTGCATGTCCATGTACAATCTCGATCCGCTCCCGAATGACAATGTTGCGAAAGACGGGGAAGAAGGAGAAGACTGTTGGAAAGGTTGACTCCCGGAAAATGACCAGAAATGGAACGTGGTAGACTTTAAGTCCGTTGGTGAGATATCGCACTCCAGTCCGCTCTTTGTACGCATGCGTGATGACTACCACCTTGTGCCCACGATCGATTAGCTTTGTTGAGAGTTGATAAATGTGACTTTCGACTCCTCCAGGCTGTGGGAAGAAGAAGTCGCAGACCATGGCAATATTGTAAGCCATCTCGCTGGATACCGTGGACGTACGGCGGCCCTCATGGCAGAGACCAAGGCCTTTGAGCGCGTACCATAAGTTGAGGCCTGTGATTGTCGATAGGAGATTGCGACTGAAGGGACCGTCTGGTTTCTTGAAGTCGCAAAGGAACTTGGCGTCATGTGGCACTCTTGCTCCGCCCAAGACTATTGAAGGCGGTGAGCAATTAGGCGGTGAGTCTCTCAATGAATTCTACCGGCCAAATCCCTTCAACTTTTTTGGTTCCTCCATCATTTCCACATCTTGCGACTCTCATCATTCTTGTCAAATTCCTCGTTGTCGTGCCCGATGCACTTTCAGTTAGCAATTCCACATGTCTCAGTTTTATACTCGCTACGTACCTACTGCCTCCAAAAAAGCTGCCCCCCGTCCTCAGTCTCCACAAGAGAAACGCAAGCGAGATGATCAACCTCAGCAAGGAAGAAAACACAAGAAACCGCGGGTTGATGTCGCAGAAGACGACGGCACTATTGTCGATGATGAACATCCACCTCTAGATACAGACCCCCGGAGTCCTCAGCCTCCTCCTGTCAGAAGCATCTTGAACAAATATCGAGTTACCCAGACGCCGCGACAAGGGGGCTCTGCAAGTGTCCCGCAAAATCTAGACACAAACGCATCTGCGCCGGAAGGGGTCAAGGAGTCAACACCAGACCTGAAGACTAGAAAGCCAAAGAAGCAAAAAACAAAATCCTCCTCCATTGTCCGGGAACAGGCCAGTGATGGGGGAGATGAACCAGACGAACAAGACAAACGGCATGCCTCAATCTTGTCCAAGTTTGAAAAGGCACGAGCATCAGAACGAACTCCTAAAGGGCCACAGGATTCTTCAGACACATCCCCACCTCCTCAGCTACACGGCCTAGAACCCATCCCTCAGCCTGACCAACCAGACATTCTCCCCGAAAAACCAAGCTATTCAGTTCTTCCACAATGGCAGGAGCATGCCTTGCGACCTTCTCCCCAAGAAAAGAAAGATTTTGAGTCGTTGGGTCTTTCCGGCACAATTTTGCAAAATCTGTCAAAGAATGGCTTCCGTGACGCCTTCCCCATTCAAACCGCAATGCTACCCTTACTCCTTCCTGGTCCCAATAGATACCCTGGTGATGTCTGTGTATCGGCCGCAACCGGATCAGGCAAAACCCTTGCCTACGTTCTCCCACTGGTCGCAAGCCTGCAAGATTTGGCTTGCACGAAGCTGAGGGCCGTCATTGTGGTTCCCACTCGTGAACTCGTCAAGCAAGTCCGCGAGCTTTGTGAGATGTGTGCTGCCGGTACCTCACTAAAGATTGCCACGGCCGTGGGTAGTAAATCACTCAAAGAAGAACAAGACATGTTGGTGGAAGAGAAAAGAATATACAACCCTTCTCTTTTCCGGGAACAGCAAAGCAGTCTCGTTGACTGGCATTCATTTTCTCTAGAGAAGCTAGCAGAAAGTACTCGACGCATTGATCTTCTTGAGGACTTGGGCTTCATCGTCCAGCACCGGTCCAAGGTGGATATTCTGATCACCACTCCAGGACGACTTGTCGATCACCTCCGGTCCACCCCGGGCTTCTCCCTCGAGCATGTGGAATGGCTCGTTGTAGACGAAGCAGATCGCCTGCTCAATGAGAGCTACCAGGAATGGATCGAAGTGGTTGCTCCAGCATTAAGATCTCGAGCTGCGAGCAAAACTCGGGATGACCTCCTTACCAAAATGAGTATGTCTCTCCCGCCCCGAAAAGTCACAAAGATCTTGTTGTCCGCCACAATGACTAGAGACATATCCAAGCTCAATGCCATCGGTCTACATGCGCCAAAGTTGGTTATTTTAGGAGGTGTGGATTCAGGACATTCTCAAGCTGAGGGGCTGAGTACATCACTCACAAGGGTCGCAGAGGACAAAGTCGATCAGAGTATCGCCTTCCACCTTCCTGCTTCCTTGGAAGAAATTGTGGTCCCAGTTCCAGATGGATCTGAAAAGCCACTTTACCTGTTGGCCCTCCTCGATCGAATCTCGAGAATCCCCGTTGTTTCAAACGATTCCCAAACACCAAATGGTAGAGCTTCGCATGGTTCGAGCTCAGGGTCTGAGTCTGAATCAGAGACCGAAACCGACTCTTCCTCTGATGCCTCAGATAGTGTTACTGACTCAAGCGACGACACCTCCTCAGACGAAGAAGATACGTCGACTACTGAAAGTTCATCCCCGCCTGCGCACAAGATGCAGAATAAATCCCAGTCCCGCTCCAGTGTCCAGTCTGAGACAAACTCGTCTCAAAGAATGAGCCGTCAGCCACGTACCCTGATTTTTGCCAGGTCAACAGCTTCAGCAACACGGCTTGCAAGACTTCTATCCCTGGTGAGGCCATCACTTTCGAACCAGCTATCAACTTTGACTCGAAGTACAACCTCGTCAGCTTCTTCGCGTCAAGCACTATCCGCGTTCCGCAGTTCCAAGATCTCCATTCTCATCGCGACCGATCGGGCTTCTCGCGGCCTGGATGTTCCTGGCTTGGAGCATGTGGTGTCCTACGATATACCCAATAGTGCACTCACTTACATTCATCGGGCTGGGCGCACCGCGCGAGCTGGTCAAGGAGGCTATGCATGGTCTCTGCTGGAGCACCGTGAGGCTGCTTGGTTCTGGCGTGAGATAGGTGGAAAAGGCGACAAAGCTACTGCTCTCAAAGGCTTAGATTCCAACACACAGTCCATTGACCGACAATCCAACATCAAACGGGTCAATGTGAAGGTGGAGGATGAAAGCTTACGTCAACATTATGAGAAAGCCCTTGAGCAGCTAGGCACAGAGGCCCGTGGCTCCTGACGCTTACCCTCGATCTCCACGTAACAGGTTGCAAGATCACTCTTCCTCGGCTCAGAGTTTTGCATCTCACCCACGGGTATAAACATGTAGCTTACGATCTGTTACTGAAAATGAAGAATCGATAATGTGGATACACCAACATCAGGGCTTGACATTGTATAAACCGGCCAAGGGTGATGATGAAAAGTAATCAAAGTACATGACAAAACTCAGTGGGTGAAGGCGTACTTCCAGCTTCGAAACACCCAATTGAAGTGCATCTGTGTGTTCATCAATCACGTCAATCTTTTTCTTTAGGACAAGAGGTGGCTGCCGACCAGGTGAAGCACTGCATCAGCAGTCATCTGCGATAAGCAGCTCCGCTTTTGCCCATGCAGACGGGCATAATCAGGTCTCATACTATCACGAGTGACAATTGGTGAGAGACGCCAGAGGTCTTCGACTGCACCTGTCATCCAAAGTTGCAGGAATGGTCGACTATAATTGGAAGCTATGGGACGAATGAGTCAAAAAGATGAATTTTCCACGGAAGCGACTTGGAGGACGGATCAGCTACACGATTGACCGCCAGTTTCGCTGCGTTTTAGCTGCTGCTGTCTCGCGATCAAGACATTGTGCAATGCGAGTGAAAGACACCTCTGGCCAATCCGTGGTGCAGAAACGCCAAATCGGCTGATTATCAATATCTTCGTCATGACGCTCCCATCCCCGATATGGCCTTGTCTAGTAGATCTCATAGGAGTGGCGTCTCAATTCCACGTTGCAAGGATCGCCCAGAAATTATAGCTTCATACATCGGTGACCGAGAACACCGTGGGCAAAAGCAAACCAAAGCAGTTCCTTTGTTCGGCTCACAGACTGAGTATGTTCACCACAGGATCACCCCTGAAGTTGAGGTCGGGTCGAGCAACCCAGAGAATTGTCAAGAGATGTCTCATGCCCCTAAACTCCGGGGAGAGAGCTAAGTGGGACTCGCTCGAGGTCACGGAAAGCTTTGGAGCTGATTTTGAATCCATTAACCAGGTGCCTGGTATCTGCGTGCGCTTTTTGTTGAAGGAGGTGGGCCTGGTCACAGGCTCGGAGCCACCGGACACTTTGCATGGTCCGAAGTTTCGTCACCCTAACTTGATGCTGGGTCAGAAAAGAATCCATAAATGGGTCTGCATCTACTCAAAATGATGGGCCCACAGTGTTCAGGGAATGTGTTGGTGATCACAAGGACTACTTCTCTATAAGCTGTGAAAGCTGCACCGATCTGTCGGCTTGTTACCACCGATCGATCATCGGTAAGCACTCGGCCTCGTAAAAGGCTCAGTGGAGTCTACATTTTCAATAATACGAAGCAATACATACTTGGGATCTACTCTTCCAGTGACATTACCAATGGCGTCTTGGTTTCTTGTTGTTCCTTGATCCATTCGATAGACGAGGTGGAAGAAATCCTTGTTTGACCAGATCGGCCTTGGAGGGCTCGTAAAGCACTCCAGAAGACGAGTAGTTTCTGAGAAAGACGAATTTCTGTTACCATCTCACAACCCTTTAAATCAACGAGGGTGAAAGATTTACCTCGTCCAATCGGTGGTTTAGTGTCTCAGATTGGATGACCGATCACCTGTGGATCCCCCCATTTCCAAAGGACTATGGTGACTATCCACTCTACCGTCGCAAAATTCATTCATCTTTTTCCAATCCCGGGGCAGATACATGCACCCATGCTCAATCCACAACCGCGGGGGAAGAGTCGAGAGTTTATTGCCTACCCCGGAAATATGTGATGTATCCTGGTTGGGTTTTGCAAGGAAGACCCAGTACATTTTGTACACACGTACTTACGTCCTGGCATATGGTCCAATCTAATAGAAATCATGGGTACAAAACTTGAACACCCTCACTCCACGATACACGAACAAAGGCAAGGTCCAGCATGAATGCACGAGCCACCCGATCAGTCATCGTCAGGTCAGGCAAGCTCTTTGAGTCAAGCTGACGCCCCTGAACTGAGGATACTGACCATAAGCAGGAGGCATCTCGAACAAGAAGAAGAAAAGTCTCCCAAGAGAATAATGACATAATTTGACCGAGAAGCTACGACATATGCAGATTTAAATACGATCTAGAATCGGTGTAAGGAGTCTATTCAAGGCCCACCAAGGTGTGATAGGAAGTTGCCAATTCAATCGCGATTTCATCAAAAGTATGTAAATCAATAGCCAATCCGACTGGTCGTCGACCCAGCCTGATGTCTTGATTGTCTCGGTCGGGAGACTACGGCAAAACCCCATCACAAAGAAGCAAATAGAGTAAACCAAACCACCAGACCATACTCGTAGTGCCAGTCCCAAATGCACCGACTCCACTCTATACGGGGTTGTACGCATATCCCATCAGCGTGGAACATGGCCCCACCCACATTCCCCCTCTTACGGAGTACTCTCTCGTCCGGACCATCGACAGAAATTCCAATGTGGATGTGGATGTGGATGTGGATGCTGGACATTCAAGCTTTCTGCTTCCCACCTCAGCATTCTCAGCACAGGTGTAGTCAGCGCTGACCAATGAGTCAATTGCTCCGCTTCCAGAATCCGACCACATCCGAAGAGGGTCGGGTGACTGAAAATGATGGTATTAAGTTTTGGGGGGGAGTAGGCATAACGACAATGATTTGATTTCCCATATTGGGATATCTTTGAGTTTCCCAAGGTGGAAGACAAGTTGTCGTTGCACCCAGCTTGGGTTCCATTGTAAGGGTAACCCCCATGTGTCTCTTGCATCTCGGCGTTGAACGTGGTTTCAACCGGGGAGGCGCCGGGTGGTGGAGGCGAGTATAACGAGTACTTACGGAGTACAGTGATAAGTGTATGTATGGGTCGGCAGACAATTCAACGCAACACACCGTTGGCCGTTGGCCGTGCCCACCGCCACAAGAAAATCCACAATTGGTATCGCCATGGCCATGGCTATGCGCATTGCGCGCCCTGGTCCTGGCCCCCCCCCCCGGGAAGCTCCACCACCACCATACCCAACCCATACCATACCATGTCTTCCTTCTGCATCATGGATCCTCGCTTGCTCTTAGTTCTCATGCGTGTCGCCTGGAGCTGCAAATGTTAATGGCTACTCTATGGTTTCTATGGTGGTTTGGAGCTGCAAGAGCCCCAACTATGGAGTACAGCTCCCCCCCTTGGTGTATGAGTAAAACTCCCAAAGCACATACCAAATATGACTCGAGGTTGGCTGAGTGCCAATCTTAGGTTTTAGGTACTCATGACGGCAACCTCAATGATGCCACCGATTAGGTTTTGATACAAAGCCACTACTCAAACAAGCCAATGTCGCCAAAATCTCCTTTCTCAGGTTGTTATGATCATCAAATCAAATGGTGAAAATGACCCTCTTTCTGAGTTCGGGTCACGATTACTATAACTTACTTGACTGACTGACACTGACATTGGTATGTGTATGTTGAGATTGACGACTTGGAATAAGGCTGGCATTTTGGCGTTGTTTGACCATGTTGTGTACCTCAGCCTCGAGCTTACTTACAGTATGTATCTCTTCCCCGGTCCCTTTACAATTGGGTACAGCTCTAGAAGTAAAAAATATAAAATTCATGGAAAGAAACATCCTGACATCGACAGACCTTCGTGTAGATGAAACAACAACGGCATCATCACACTGGTTCTCGATTTGGAATCTCATAACCAAAGGGATGAATGATACCAGATCAAGACTGAACGAGGCAAATTACATGACTTGAGCGAGGGTCGACTCAATTGGAAGTACATAAGTAGAGTACTTGTACAAGTTATGGTCTCTACCGAGTTCAGTTCTCCAACACAGACTGTCTCTCGTGAGTTGCTGCTGAATTGATTCAAAAAGAGCCTGATTGACGCCACAAACTGTGACAGCCACGAAGCCTCATTCACTCTACACCGTCACCCCTGACGAGTGACGACGTCGGTGTGGTGGAATATGCGAGGAACCCTTCCAATCTTCGTTTATGATAAGCCAAACCAACATTGGAAACAACCCGATGTCTTTGTTGTTTTCCCACGTCATCCAATCGCTGCTGACCTGACCCACCCCGCCACTTGTTTGACCAAAAAGGTAATCTGTTCATCCAGCGAGAGCCTCTGGCTCATTTTCCTGTTCCTGTTTTCCAAAGTGTCTTTACTGTCTTTGCCTATCACGTCGCAGTAGCATTGGCTTTCTGTCAAACTTCTAGTCGCCCATTCGTGAATTGCCATCTTGAACTAGACGTTGGACCAGATCTCGGCGTGCCAACCAAACCCAGCCAGCCTTAGACTCTCTCCCCACACCGCTTATCATGATGATGCCGTTGTGGCGCCGAGGAGTTCCTCCATTTCACTATGAACCAGCCCTGTATTGGTGGTGGCCATTCGGGATAATTCTCCCAGTTGCGGCACGCATGCTCTTTGCGTGTTAATACGTGCACACTTATTGCCATTCCAGCAGCATTTGTGACTCTGTAATTCATGTATAGGCCTATTCGCGGTGTAACACTGTGGCTGCTTAATCGACAGGCGCAAGCCTGTCCTATCGGCGGCTTCAAATGCTGGTGCCGACGACCCTGTAGTTCGTTTGCTTTTTGGTTGTCGTTCTGGCCTATTCTTTCCGGACGACACTTCCCCCTTCCAGACAATGCGGTCCGGCTGTGGGCCTATCACCGTGACACAAGTCCCTGGGCTTTGCTGCCACGGTGCCACCTCATCACAGGCCAAAACCTTTTCTTCCCTAGGCTAGAAACAACACTCAAGGGAACGACGTCACCTCGCCCCTTCCCCCTAGATACAAAGGTGATCAATCTTTCGCGTCACCATTTGCCTTGGTCCACTGCCCTCCATTTTTGGGTGTTCGCCTGACCCAATGCGGTGATAGGACTGAAAGAAGGAAAAAAGACCGGTCGACTGGGCTGGACGGGCAATCACGTAAAATTAGCCGGCCACCACAAATTCAAGAGAGAGGACCAGCGCTTGCTTCCAATGCAATACTCCAAAAGACTCGGATTGCGCCAAGAAATGAGTAGCAAAGACAATGTTCTTTTGACTGTGAAGATGAGAGGGAAAAAGTATGGTAAGCGCATGGAATGGTACAGCTTCGGCGTGTTGCTAAAGATGGTCTTTTCGACCGTTGCGAAATTCAACGCGCACAGGTGTGTCATTCGCCCAGATAGCGGGTGGTTGCAGGATCCATTGCCCTGGAGTGCGCAATGAGTCTTCCACTGTCCGTTCGGATTTGCAATAGGTCGTTGCTTTCGCCGCAAGTCTCAGAATGCAATCGACTAACTATTTGCTTGTGCTCGAGAGTCAATCTCGGTACTCTAACCCCGAAGCCAGCCCCACGTGCAACATAAGTCTGGGGTCAGGGGATCTTGTGTCCGGACACAGTGGAGTGAGAGGGCAATTTCCTTGGTTGTCATCCCCGTGCAACAACCAGTAGTGGCTCGAGAAACTGGAAATCATGTGTAATGCCTGACATGGGAAGAGCACTGATGATGCGCAGCCATGGAGCCTAGCAATGGGCAGTCCATTGGTGGCAAACACGCAGTGCGATCGCTTATTTATCGGCTCATTGATGGGTAACGCTTTTTCCCGATTCGTTGTCCGTACATCTAGTGGGCACTCCAACTCCTTTAGTTCTGTATCCAATCCTCATGGATCACTAGGCCGGTTATGTGCCGTCTGCGCGAGCAAAAGACAGCGCTTCCCAGCATGCAGGGCTTTCAACGCGTCACCATTTCCAAGCAATGCCCAATGCAGGGAGACGAATGGTTGTGTTACCGATATCAGTATCGTTGGGCGATCAGCTGAGAAAAGGCCTTCGCGCATTTCTAGCTCTTTCGCTCGAATAAGCATCGATCTTGACCCCCACGAAGATGATTTCGTAACCACCACGTATGGGGTCTTGCGTGTTGGGTTGCACTCGAAGCCGCCACTGACCCGTGCGTATGGTCCACTCGCCTAGATCACTCTGGCTGCTTTGCCTCTTCCTTTTCTTGGTCGATGGCGCCGATGACAATCGACTCGTCTGAATAGGCGGTACAGGTAAACTTGCTCGTGATGTGGTCGAAGATGATGCTGTCGACTGGGTCGAGGGGCCTGCTGGTCCTTGGCGAGTCTGAGGCCGTCTTTGATGAGTGACCACTTGGGCCCGCGTAGCTCTGGCGCCAGTATCTTCACTCATCACATCCGATTCGGATTCGGATTCACTTGGGTTCACCGAAGGACCGTTCAACATGCATTGGCCAAGCGGACTTTCCCATTCCACCTCGTATGATTCGCCGTCGAGCGTGATCTCCGTGGCTTCTTCGAACCGTACTTTGACACGATCTTCACTTAGGGGGGTGTGGCCAGGACTGGCAGACTGGGATGAGCGTCCCCCTGAGAGCATCAGTAAGCCCAGCGGTGCGTTAGTGGGAAGATTCATCTTGTTAGCCACCACCTGAAACAGAGACGAGATCCGTGCCTTTGTCAGGTTGTGAAAGTCCGCTCTCATATCAGTCAAGTCGAGTACCGTATTCTCACCTCCCACTTGGAGCACCATCTCGTACGATGTATCGTCTACGAATGGTCTCGCATAATACACCCAGCCGCTGTTATTGGGCTTGTCACCTTGGATCACGTCGTCGTTCGTGACGGACACGCCCGAAGGCTTGACGTCTTCGAGGCGGAGGCAAATTTCAGACCTTTGCCTCAACACATTGAAAGTGATCTCGTGAGCAATGATCTTCTGCTCCAAGCCACGGAGATGGAAGTAACGGCAGTCGCGTAGCAATTCTGCTCGGTGTGAATCATTCTTGATGTGTAGAGGGTAGCCCCTTAGCAGATGGAGGAGCTCTGCAAAGATCTCAGCAGACCGTCCCGGTACATATGGTGGAGTGATTGATGGGGGTCTGAGAAGGCCTCGGCGATCGAGCCCCGGGAAGACCTCGCCAGGTGTTGAGAAGAAGACGGCAAAGCCCAGAGAGAAAAAGTTGGGGGAATTTCCCGGCTCTGAAAAGATGTCTTTGGGTATTTGAAAATGTTTTTCTCCAATTTGAATGAAGATCTCTGACTCGAACAACTGGTCGATGAGGCGTGGCACTGCAGCAACCGTCAGCATGAAACAAAGGCCAGAAGATGAGCCGAACCTTACAGCTGTAGAACTGAGCGTCGGCAAAGAGCTTGACAAAGTGGCTGCCATCCAATGGCTTCACATAGTATCCTTGAAGGCGAGTCAATGATGCGTCAATGAATGCATGGACGCAACCCACCTTGAAGGTGACGTGCAACATCACGAAAGGTAGCAGGATCTCGATCAATGTACAGTGTTCTCACGCCACCAGATTCCTCATTTTGTCTGATCTGCTCCTCAAAGAATTGCGTAAAGTACGAAGGAGCTAGTCGAGGTCAGCGCAAAGCGTTGCAGTAGAGTCAAATTCGGGCCTTACCATCGGATGAAATAGATGCACCCGACAACCTGAATAAATCGGAGCCTATCTGGATGGGAAATACCTTTTCTGGGGGAAGAATCGACGGAGGATGGCCTGACGAGGTCCTGGTGCCTCTGCCTCTGGCAGAGGCTTGTGACGAGGCGGCGGGAAGGGGTTGGGCTTGACGTGGCGTGGAACCTGACGGCTGACGGACTCTCCTGGTGCCTCCTGAAGGGCCAGTATTCTGGTGAGCCCGAGAAGTGCTAGGGAGTTCTGAAGAGTTTGATCCTTCGTCAGGCGAGGTAGGGCCGATGCCTGACATCCGCTCAAAGGTTACGGAACGAGGATTTGAGTTGATAGAGTCGAACTCGGAACCAGACAAGGTACCAAGTTGGAGAGATGGTTGGTTAACTGAGGCCTCGCTAGGCGGTGACACTATAGACTCGGCCTTGCGTTTCAAGGCAGATCTCGGGTGCAAAGGCTGAGCAAACTTGTTCACCGAAACATTAGCATTACCATCACTAGCAGGGGCCGAGCCGGCCAGGGATTTTGGCGATGACGTTGGGTTGGTGGGAGATGTCGACAAGGTGTCAGTGAAGCGACGCGTGGGAGGAGTGTCGATATCGAGGAGAATCTGGATGTTTTCGTTGACCAACTCTCCAGTAGGGACATATAATGGGGATTTCGGGGTATAGAGGTGCGGTCTAGACGAGGTATTCAACGGCTGAGCGCCAAAGCTTGGGGTAACTAGGTTATAGCCGGTGCCATGGGCTACAGTAGTAGGAGAATGGACTAAAAATTGCTGAGAGTCTATGGTACGAGCAGTGGTGGCGGGATTCTTTGGGCTCCCGAGGAGCAGTGAAGGTCGCGTGTCCGGGGAGGGATTAGCGGTGTCAGCAGTCTGGGCATCAGGGTAAGAGATGACGCAGGGAGGATAGGTGATGGACGTGGGGACTTTCGGCGCCTCTTTGGTGATTAGTAGCTCTAGGACGGGAAGCTGGGTGGGCCACAGGGCCAGGAGCATGTACGTGAGCACTGGTGTTGGAGTTGGAGCTTTGGTGTCGAGGTTGCGCTGAGAAAATGGGGATGGCTGGGGACTTGGGCTCGGTGTCAGACATACCCCAATAGGTAACATTGCTTTCAAACTCTGAAAGGAGCTGTGGGTCCGACATTACTCAAAACGAGAGCTGGGTGAGCCTGTTGGACTTGTGCTGTGAGGTCTAAACAGGGTCTGCCGACCACGGTGTGCCGACCACGGTGTGCCAACTGTCAGTGGACAGTACGGAGTAGTGACTGTACCACGCAGACAGATAGCGTGTCGAGCGAGGATGGAGCAATAATCCGTGCCCGGGCTGATAGCCCTGAGTTACTTCTGGGGTCTTTGTTACGCGGCAGCCTCTCGAATCGCAGCCGCCACAAGTCAAGTGTAATGCGGCCAGGTCCACCCTTTGACCGGCAGACGGGAGAGGAGCATTAAGCCAAAGGCTACTATGCCACCAGCGAGGGATCGGTGTGGGCCGATACCTTTGTCACACCCTTTCGTTTTCGTGGGATTTTGGTTGCGGGCCTGGGTGCGTGGGTGGAATTATTAGGCTCTGGACTGTTGGCTGGAGGGTACGAGTCGGAGTCAGCAGCAAGTCATCTGTTGGGCTTTGGTCAGTGCCCGTGGGTCCTCAGAGCCTCGGAGCCATACCGGTGAGCTGGTCGAGGCTTTGCCTACGAACTGTAGCGATACAAGGTGCCGATGGTTGAGGATCCGACGGCTCTTGGCCCAACTGTGCGATGAGTAAGCCCTGAGTCATGGCGGGAGGAAGAGCCCATTGGTCATGGTGGCCTGACAAGTTCAAGAGATGAGTCTTGTGACGCATGTCGATTACCAACAAGTTCAAGTTTAGAGTCGGCGCCGGTCGAAGTCAGTCTCGAGGACGGCAGTGGTAGGCGGGAAAGGGGGGACAATAAGGAGGACAATGAGAGTGATGAGATTGGTGATGATTATGATTTGGAGGGAAGAGATTGGGGGGATTGGGGAATGGGGAATTTGGGAAATTTTGGAGGGGAGGGGGTCACTGGCTGTCATAGAACTGGCAGGCACAGGTAATGGGTACGTACCTGCCGGAATAGTATTGTTGCCAACACTTTATTTTACCTGGGGTAGGAACGCGTGCTTCAGGTAGCTTCGCAACCGCCTCGCACCTGCCTTGTCGGTTTCTTGCCTAAAGCACGCGAACTCGTGGACTACGCCTTGGAGCGCCTTGGGCGTTGTTGACTAGCGGTAACCTCGTCCCAACGCGGCCTGCGCTTGATCGATCCGTCAGAGTCAATCTGACAAGATTCCCGTCCTAGACAGAGTCTGAGATTAGGTTGTGTCTGGCTCCCACGGAGTAGGTCATATTCAACGATGATACACGTTTGATCGACCTCAAGTGGATCAATGACGTGCCTGAGCCAAGGGTTGATATCGCCTCGTACCTGAAACGGCACGAACCAGAGTGAGATGAGATGAGGTTGACGACATACGATGGTAGGCGGCATCAGCCGTTGGGACCTGTTGCGATGGCAGAGGCCGCCAATGACAGCTCAGACGACAACCATAGGGCTGTCTCGATAGCGGTTCAGCAATGTTCTGGAACGATGTCGGTGGCGCCGCGGATTTGAGCGAGCCAGGGCCACGACAAGCTGGACAGATCGTCCTCTCGCAGCCTACAATGAATAACGGTCGTCTTGTCTTGGTTCGATGACTTAGTCCAGGTCGGTTCCGAGACCAACGTCAGGTGGGTGGCTTCGACTTGTCCCGCTGTCTCTCCGCTACTCAATCTCAACCGAGCCAATCCTGGGGTAGGTGATATGCAGCTACTCGGCCGTGTCCCAAGTCCTTGCAGAGCCGATGGTGTCAATAGAGGTGTCTATCAAGAAACGAGTTCACCTGCAGGACCCTAGATACCAGTCACGAATCCGGTATTTATCCCTTTTTCAAGAAAAACACAAAGGAGAACTGCTGGAATGGGCCTTACGAACGTCGATGGCGTAGCTATGGACTACATAAGCAGACAAGCGAGCTGGAATCAGCTGGCCCCCAAAAGTGGTTGCTAACATTGATCTATTGGTAAAGAGGTGGTAGAGCATGTGAGATTGGCCCTCATTCCCGATCCCCTCACTGTTGTGGTTGCCTCCCAGACCCCAAGGAAGGCCAGTCGTAACTTCAGATCTTCCACAACGCAAGTCGATCATCCGGTCAGCATCTTGCCATGCTTTGAATGGTGGAAATGTCGACAAAATCGACTGAACCAATGGCAGCTAGAAGCCCGTGGTGAAGGAGCGGTCAATGTCCACGATCTTCTTGGTAGCTCTCTTGTAGGCATCTTGTTGATGAATGCGTTCCACCCATGCCCATATCAACGGGTAGTTTTCTGGGCTCATACCCGACCTCGTTTGTCCGGCTTCGAGGGGAAACGACAACATCATATCTGCTGCTGTCAGATCCTTGCCACAGAAGAATTCACCGTTACCCGGAGAGGTTTTCAGTTGCTGTTCCAGGAAGTCGTAGTGCGTAATTAAACTGGGCGTGACGAAGCCGCTGTCGATTTTGTTGGCAACTCCATTAGTGATTGGCTTGATGAAGAACGGAACCGATGCGTTCCTGATTTCTACTCTGGTCAGGAACAAGTCCAAGGAGCATACATTGGCCTGATCGAGAACTTACTTTGCACGACCAATGCTAGAAGCATTATCGGCATCAAGCTCCCCTCGGCATAATTCATGAGCATTCGAAACCTGATCCAGGATTCTGATTCGCCGCCAATCTGTCCTTCCTTACCATCCACATATCTTGGAGGCGTCAACCACTTGCCGTAATAATCACATAGATACTCGGCGATGGCGGCAGACTCTGCCAACACGATGGGCTCAGTGGCACCATGGGGCAGAATCGTCACCACGGGTGATTTGCCGAGAGGGTGGACTTGTTTCAGCTCAGGGGGAGCAAGACCTGCTGCAGTTCTTTTGTACAGTTTCAATTCATAGGGGATCCCGATCTCTTCGAGAAGCCATAAAATCCGGTGAGAACGAGACACTTCCAGCCTATTCGTGTGAAAAGCTATAGATCAACACCTGTTCACGGGGGAGCCTGGGGGCCTTTGAGCCTGAGGGCCCTCAACCCACTCACCAGTGTAGGACAATCTTGGGCTTAGTGTCCGCACTATCCTTCCCGGATGCCATGATAGCAAGAATGGAGTCTTGGCCCCTGAGTCTGTCTCGGAGGGATAGTCGAGCGAGAGTAGCGAGGTAGCAGCTGGGGGCCTGCCTTTCGTCGAGAATTTCTGACAAAAGACCGTCGATTTGCCTCTAGGGTAACTGGCAGCGTTGGCAGAGCCAGTACTGTAACCCTTTCTGCCTGTCTAAGAAGGTCCAGTTTCGCTCAACGAACTATGTGAGGCATCAGTGTAATCAATATACCTAAGACAGGCACGTCTCGCAGGCGAGTATGACAATATATAAGAGGAAGAAACGATGTGTGATTTGAACTCGAGAATCGGATCTCGGGGAATGTTACTGGATGGAATGAGGCTCTGGGGAGTGCAAACAGCATGTAACAAGGAGAATCAGATCGCTATCGCTGGATATGCGAGCCAAAGGTGGGTGGGTGCAGAGGAGATTGAGGATAACGGGCATCTTAGCTGGATTCGATGACTCGTGACCAAGAATCAAGACCAAGCCTCGTCGCTAGCTTCCTCCTGAAAGCTTCTATGTAGCGCTGTCCGAGGCTAGAAGTACTTGCCCCATGATGCAGCCAATGACCGATGCAAGGGACCTACGAGTAAGGTACCTTAGGCACTGACTAGGTGACCATCTTAAGTATGGCCCCATGCCTGGTTTAAGCATCAATGTAAGGTGTTTAACCATTGAAACAGCCTAGAAGGCAACCCCAAATGCTCCAAGTACCTACTTAGGGCCAGAAAGCTCCCCTCCCCCACCCTCAGCTCTTAAAGATAGTGATGATGGCCCCTCAGCCTTTAATGACAGTTGAAACCACACTAGTTGTCCTCCTTCAGGCCAGGTCTGCAACATCATCTGATTATGCCAGCGCAGCTAGTATTGATGAGATCAGAAGTGGAGAGTCTACTCAATCATGATGCCTGACTCAGCTCACGCTCGTCCAGCCGACGGACCAGAAATCATGGTCCCATAACTCATGCTTCTTGAACAACCTGCGTTCTCGCCAGAACCCAAACCCCCAACAAGCCAGCCCCGAGAGCGAGTGCACCTCTGATATACGTCTGCGAAGCCCACTCTTGCAGCAGTTGCAACACATGTTCACGCCGGACTCCCTGAATCGCACTTCCATCCATTTGACTGACCCTCAGCAGTTTGTTAATCCCCGGCATCATCCACACCCTAGTGTAAATTGGGATCGAAAGTGCCAGAATCGCGGCGACCGTGTACTCCCTCCACGCTTGTGGTACCAGGTATCCTGCGACTCCGTTACACACCGCTGAGGTAATGGTGAGCGGGACCACTAGCTTGCCGCCCGAGTAAAAGAGACTTGCTAGTATACGGCTGGATTCAGATATCGGTAGCGGCAGAATGGGAGGGAAACAAAGGCCAGCAGCACAGAAGCTGATGCCAGAGCTGACCAGGGCCGTGGTCAGACCCAAGGCCTGGGTCGTGCGAATTATGGTAGGATTGTCCATGCTGCTGATCGAGGGCTAAGATGGTGGAAGTCCAGAGCAGATCCACAAGAAAGCAACAATTGAAAACGATGTTGAGAACGGCGTGTATTGTTGCACGAAGCTACATTCGATTTCACAGGATATGCAATGATTGAAGATGGGAGCTTCAATTCCAGCGAGAGGAGGATAAATGGGTCCCTTGGGGTTCTGAGCTTTCTACCAGTGTTGTCTAGACGCCAAAAGCCTCTCTTCGACAAGGTTTGAGCCGTGTGGAAAGGCAATAACACTATCAACAGGCCAGCCAATGTTCTTGGGGTCCGTATGTCAGAGTGCGTTATCGCAATTATTGCACTTGTAATTCAATGGAACAGGTAGATAAGTGCTTCAAGTATCATATATCGTTGTAAATAGTCCAAGACCAACCAAATGTTATTGGAGCTCCGAGGATCTATTGCGGTTGAACACAGCGCAAAGCGAGATGTAACTCCACCGTATTGCCAAGAATCACGTGAACCACCATGCGGCCAAACATTGCACTTATTAGTGCAGAATGGTCGATCAGATTGAACGTCAACCTCGTCGTCGACGCAAGCTATTGTTGAGCTTCCACTACCACAACCACAAACACACGCTGCACGCCTGCACCAGCCATGGCAGGACCTTCCCGTACGCTTCCCAAAATTGATCCCATAGATTCAAAAAGCATGTGTACTGACTCTACTATCTTGCAGCCCTTCGTCTCGATCCTGCCTACGAAAAGTACAACAGTATGTACACTTCTTTCTCCTACGACACAATGCTTGCCCTCCTCCGCGCGCCTTTGACCATACCTGAAGCCTCCTCGTCGCGCAGAGCCTGGACTAATAGCATATTATTACAGCGTTAAACAAGGATCGGTACAAGTATTTCAAGTGGACACCCCGCACAGCATGGATTTCGTTCATGTATGCCATCGTGGTACCAACTGCGGTGGGCTACCTGTTCGCCAAAACAGATGTGAGGAACCCATCACCACATCCCGCTACAACACCCAGGCGTGTCATCTAACCATGAACAGGGCAAATATGACATGCGCGGCAAGTTGAAGGGAGACACCATCCGGGAATGGTAGACTTATACACTACCGGCGTTTCAGGGTTCTAGACGAACTGGTGATTGAAAATGTACATATGGGCAACCTCAATGAAAAATCAGAGACGAAAGAACCACCCTTTGCAACAGACCTTTTCTATCCTGACCGCCGTGCATGGATTTTGGGCCATCTAGCACCAGATATCCACTCAGCAAAGACGTCTCACATCATCGGAAAGCTCGCAAAGGCTGGACAAAAGCCACTTCAATCACGTAAATCACCGTGTCAAGACGACTCAGGTCGATACTTGCAGTTGTCTCATAACGAGGCGTGTCAAACCCGCCAGGAGTTTGGCAACTCAAGAAAGACTTTCCCCTTCCTCTTATATATTCCTTCACGATTTTCCCAGTTCTATCCTCTTCCACATTCCCAGATGCTCAATGCCCACTTCATCCCATCGGCCGAGGTTGGGGTCTGTGACAAAGCCAAGTTTCCGGTACATAGGTTCCACGTCAACTTGGGCATGCGCAAGTAGTAGACCATTCCAGCCGCCGGGTAGATCATGATGCCTTTCAGCAAGCCATCGGCATGCTTCCTCGGTCAACTTTCGACTCAGTCCTTTACCCCGTGCACTGGCCATTGTCGCCACTCGTCCTAGCTTGAAATATGGTTCCTCTTCCGGGTCCTCGTAGCCATTTGGATGGGGTGCATGAGGGAACGGCACAATTCTGATCACGGACAGAGGTACCTCTTGATCTCCCCCATCTGCTCCGTAAGCCACAAAATGCCATGATCTAGCATCATCGTCGTCCAATTCTTCCTCCACCGGACATTTCTGCTCATCGCAGAATACCTTGACCCGGACATGCATGGCGTCGAGAAAGACCTTTGGGCCAGCTTGTGGAAATGGATCCGCGGGGAACCCTTTGGGAGCAATTGAAGGTCCCGGCGGGGGAATCATGAGTATCTTCACCTCGTCCGGCTTCATGTTGCTAGACCGGTCGATTGCCGAAGCCAATTGACGATTGTAAGATTACAATTGGTGAGCTCACCGATAAAGTTTTGGCAACATGAGGACACCAAGAGGGATGTCTGTCTCGTATATGTTTTGATTCTAGGTAAATACCGAACCAGTTGTCAACGTCCTGTGATCAGACATGGCAATATAGAGAAAGTGAAAGATGTGGACATGGCCTTGTCTCTTGTGATTGGATGGCTGCAAGGCTGAGCATGAAATTGTATGATTGGCTGCTCCCATCATTTTCAAGACATCATCCATGCCTTGCGACAACTTTTCTTCTTTTCTCATGGCGCTCTACTATGACGCCGCCACGGTGTTGGGCACGGATTTGCAAGTTGGTTCTCTGAAATCTCGGGTCTACGATGGATCCCTGGGGCTTCAATCAAAACCCGCTCATCTATACGCCTTGATCTCAGAGACGGCCAAATACGACACCTTCCTATCAGAAGTGATCAACAATGCAGGGATCCTTGCCCTGGAACCCAAGGTAAGCGAACCCGATTACAGATCCATCCCACGACACTGCTCACTGACCAAGGTCTTGCGGCCGCTTATTTAGTTAACTCCCATCCTATGCCTCCTTCTTACCCACGACCACCTTTTCTCCAAGGGCGGCATCGCCGCTTCATCTACCCACCATCTCCGTCAAGCCATAGAGCGACACAAGGCAAGACTTCAAGCGGAACTTACAAAGGCACGTCTGCGGAGGAGATGTGCGACGGTTGAGGAACTCAAGACACTCCTTTCCTCGCAAAAACCTCCCGCCTTTCGGTCGCAACCTCGTTGGGTTCGCATCAATACTTTAAAATCAAGTCTCGACCATGAGCTCTCTACAACGTTCAAGGACTATCGCACAGATGCTTCCATTGCCGAAGTCATCGCAAGCCCAAGCTCGGCCAGGGTACTGACCATCGATCCAAATATTCCAAATCTGCTGGCCATTCCACCCGACACTAATCTTACCGGAACGCGTGCCTATGTCGAAGGATCTATCATCCTTCAAGACAAAGCCTCCTGCTTTCCAGCATACTTGTTATCGGGTGAGCATGATGATCAGCAAGATATGGGGCACTGCATAGACGGATGTGCCGCCCCAGGCAACAAGACTTCACACCTCGCCGCCATATGCCTTGAAAATGGCAGACATGACATCAAGGTTTTCGCATGTGAAAGGGACGGAAGGAGGTCGAGAATTCTACAAGACATGATGAAAAAATCGGGTGCCGAAAGGGTGACGGTGCTAGCGAAGCAGGATTTTCTCGCCCTCAACCCGAACGACTCCCGGTTTAGCGACGTCACACATCTCTTGCTTGACCCCAGTTGCTCTGGAAGTGGCATTGTGGGAAGGGAGGATATCCCTTCTCTGACACTACCTACGGCGGGGAAAGTCGAGAAAGCCAAGGTATCACAACTTGCTTCTCCTACATCCAAACCTAAGAAACGAAAGCGAGGCAACCTTCAGGAAGACGTGCCCGTCGTTCCGGCAGAAACAAAAGACGCTGCGCCTGTGGAGGAAGTCCGCGACACATCTCATGACCCTGTCAGATTGCAGAAGCTATCTTCCCTACAGACCAGGATTGTTGAACACGCATTGTCCTTCCCAGCCGCCGTGCGAGTCACTTATTCGACATGCTCTATCCACATCGAGGAAAATGAGCTCGTGGTGGCGAGAATACTTTCTTCAGCGAATGCAAAGGGATGGCGTCTGTTAAGAAGAGAGGAGCAGGTCGAAGGACTAAGATCATGGAAACACAGAGGGGTGGAGCTGACGACGCAAGTTGCAATTGAAGGTCCCAAGTCTTTAGAGATGTTATCAAGGCTCAGCGAGGCTGATCGAAAAGCCTGCATACGATGTCATCCAGAAGGTGAAGAAGGTACCATGGGTTTCTTCGTCTGTTGCTTCGTTCGTGAAGAAGAGGTGGCTCCCACCATGAATGCTCCGGATCCTGAGTCTGCTTCAATCTCAATTCATGATGAGGATAGCTGGGAAGGCTTTGATGAGTAGTAGAGCGCGACTTGACTATGAAAAATTTGATGCAATCCTCGGCACAAGAACATGCAGGTTCCTTCCTTTGATATTCATATGATATACAAGAGTGGAAGGCTCTCCATCGCCCCTTCCTCCTCGTGCTTCTCCAATCACCCACGCCAAGCCCATCTTTCAACTCCAATCGGAAAGCACGACAGCGATAAATCACATATCACGTGATTATAAACCCTTCCGCGGGCTCATTTCACAAGGCCACCAACATCAGTTGTTCTCTGTCCATAATCTAATCATCAACTACCTGATCACTGCAAGAATCGATCACATAGAGCGCACTCACCTTGATCCTTTGCACAAACTGATTCTCCTTCAGGGCACCAATCTGCATTTCCATCCCAACAGCTTTGCTGTGGTTCATTTGTCAGCAACGACTCGATGACATGGCCATGGTCGTGGTTTACGCTTGAGGTCTTGTCAAGGAATCAGACACACGCCGGATAGCTTGAGATCTGTTTATGTGCAGTTACCAAATCGACTAACTCGAGAAACAACGCTCTCTGGCCAATAAATGCCAGAGAAGTGACAGGATCTCAACATGTACCACTTCAATAGTACCCCAGTGGCGACCCCAAGTCTCTCAGGTGCCACTCATCCACATATTCCAGATTCCCACAAGGCCAAATTGGAGAAACGACAAATCACAAGAAATCGCGCTAGCTATAGCTGTGCGACATGTCGCCGGCGCAAGGTCAAATGCGACAAAGTCCACCCAATTTGCGGGGGGTGCGAGAAGGCTGGTGAGCAGTGCGTATATGCATCTGCCGAAGGCGACGCACAAAAGACAGATGCTTCAAAGCAACGTCAATCACATGGAGAAGAGCCGAAGAAGAGAAAAACGGTTTCTGGTGCCACTGCTCTACCTCCTTCTCCCGAAAACTCTCAGCATGAGCAGTCGTCATCTCCAGCGCATATCCATGCTATCGAAGCCCAGCTCAAACGTCTGACTGCCTTGGTCGAGACTCTGAAGCGTGATGCTAATCACGAACCCGGGCACTTCGATGGTCGTCTAACTCCCGCGTCATCCTTGCCTTCCACTTCCGAGGCTGACTCGGATGATTATCATCAGCTATCAAAGTTGGGCCTGGGTATGTTCCAACCAGATGTGACTGGCTTAAGCAAGCCGCTCTCATCTCTGATGATTCACAACGACGGTAGTCCCATCCAAGAGGATCCTTTCTGGACTCATATTTCGGGAGAGGTCAATGAATTGAACCAAATGATGCACCGCCAGAACAATTCTTACTTGGTTGCGGGGGGCGTCAAGAATCAGAGTTGCCCGGCCACAGTGTCGGAGACCTTGGCTGCAATTCATCCCTTTGCCAATAAGGACGATTTGTTTGAGCCCAACGGTTTCCACAATCTAGCGGGTGTCCCGTCGTACTCAGTTCATAACCTCGACAGTAATTGTCCCGAATGTCGCCATTTACCATTCGCCAAGTCGACTCTCCTGCAGGATATCCCCCTCCAGTCGTTACCCAGTACGGCCAAAGGACACTTGTTAGATCATGGCCCGACGCGTGTCCAAAGTAATGTCCTACTCCGCTGCTGGCTTTCAAATGTCCATCCGTTGCTGCCTGTGCTCGTTCCAACAGATATCAAGTCCATTCATGAGCATTTCTGGGACCGTGTTCATCCAGACCCAGATGCATATTCAAATTATCCCGATCTTGGCCCAGCAGCCTTGATATTCGCCATTTGGTACACCGGCGTGCTTAGTATCTCCGAATCAGGCTTGAAGAAATGGTTCCCAAATACATCAAGAGCAAAGTTGAGTGCCATTTTTCACGATAAGGTGATCCTGGCTCTGCATCTATCTTGTTTCTCACGAAACACAAATCTTCAGACCTTGGCAGCCTATCTCATCATCTGCTCGATACCTGTGGCAGAAGAGGATCCCGTCCAGAGCAGTCTCTATATGCAATTACTAGTGCGTCTAGCGCTATCCATGGGTCTGCATCGAGAGCCGAGTTTGTTCAACATGTCTCCAGCAGAAGAGGGCTTGCGTAGGCGGCTTTGGTGGCAGATCATCCAACTCGACATTTCCCATGTTGTTGCGAGTGGATACCCTTCGCTGATTTCGGACGCCTTTTGCGACACTCGAATCAGCTGCGAAGACAACGAGAAATCTTCCACCGAAGATTCCTCTCGCAGATCACAGTCTTCTGATGCTTCAAGCCCGGCTCCCCTGCATCGTAACGAGATCTACAAAATCTTCTCTCTGGTTGCAAAAGGACGGTCGATCATCTCATGCGCTACGAGAACAGTAGCTTCAATGCACATGGTTACAAGACCACTGACCAATGAAGATATGCAGGAGATCAAGACGATCATTGGCGCGGTTCGAGCGCAGGTAGAAAAGATCATCCATCAAATCCCCGCCAAAGGCCTTCCAGAATCAGGCTTTGTTCCGCATGATAGCCATCGCCAACCGGGGCGAAAGCGTGATACAGACGCGTGCATGGGTGTGGCCGTTGACGATGGTGAGCTTGCATTTTACACAAGTCTGGTCGAAAACCCCAATGCACCAACTCCTTTTGAGGCTTATCATCGCCAAAGATTGGCAGCATTTTACAAGTGGGCAAGAATTACCTTGTCGATGGGTTCGGAGAAACTGAACTGCGCTGCATATGTTCCCTTTTTGAAAAACATAAAAAGCAAAGTATGGAATGTTGCCAGGCAGTGTGCACTACGGGTATCTCAGAGCTTTTTGAGAAAATTGGTATCGCTTGCAGAGGATCCAGATTTGGAACAATTCCGCTGGAGTTGGCTCTTGACTCATGGCCCTGTACAACCGGCCATGATTGTGCTTGTCGATGTCTATGAGCGGCCGCACTCTATCGAGGCAGCCAGGTCACGCGAATTGATAGACCAGGTATTCTCATGGTCTAACCCAGAGCGTGGAATCGTTGGCGGGCCCAATGGAGTCACTGTCCAAAGGCCGCTTCGAGAAGGAGGCGTTGAAGCCTGGGACATGCTTCGAGGTCTACGATCTGCTGCGTGGCAAAAGGCAGGCCTTGAGCCGAGAGTCCTCTGGACCGAGGCCGATCAGATCGAGATCGGTGTTGCGAAGCCGTTGACGGAGACCGAGAAGATCGCTCAAAGTATTCGAGAAGACTCTTTCCGCGACTCGGCACATGGTCATGTTCACTTTGAGCCGGCCTCGGCGAGCGCATCCACCCAGGCCACTAATTTGCCGAATCTCCATCCATCGATGAATCCCACCGAGGACGAACCCCTTCACGAGCCTGATTCAGGACAATATGTCAGCTCAAGAGCTCAAAGAAACCATTTCCTCCATCAGATTGAGAACGACCAGACACTGGATCCCAAGCGAGGGCTTGCTAGACTTGCTCATCAACAAAGAATGCCATTCCCGCTGAGTGGGAAGATGGAAGCATGTTCGGGACACGCATCAAACCACGAAGCTGCTGGCGCACACCTGATAGTGCTCAATGAACATGTGCCACGTCCGTCGCGAATACCTGTTGCGCCAGACACGCTTTGGCAGTCCAATCAGCCAGTCCAGAGTGGACATTCGCAGCCAGTTCCCCAAGCCAGCGGACTGTCGAAGCGAGAAGGTGTCCAGACTGAAATTAACTCTACCATTCCCACGAACCATGGCGCCGTCAATCGTTCCACGTCCCTGGATGAACCCATCAAGCCTGTAGTCAACTCTCGGCTAGAATCCAACGCTCCAGCTCCACAGTCGGATGCGTCGATCCTTGATTTAGGCTTTGACTGGGAGAGATGGGATTCGGTCTTTGGACAGTATTCAGGATTTACCGAGATTATGGAAGATGTTCAATGGAATGAATGAATGAGGAAAGCGACTAATCGATGATGAACAGGTGGCTGGCGATTATCGTTGATGTCTGGATTTAGTGATGTCTATCTATCACCGAATCCCCACCAACGAAACTAATGGGGTTCCTGCTTCGGAATCACAACGGACCGAGAAATTCCGCGTCCGCACTCGCAATCTGGACCAACGCAACCATGCTAACACTTGTTGTCCGTCAGTCATGTTGGCTTGTTTCTGTGTCTTGCTTTCGGTTGAAAGGCGGCTGAAAGTAAATTGCGATTTAAATGATCAAGCAATTATGTGACTAAGGTATCTATATCCAAAACATGCACATAACACAAACATATTTGTACACAAGACTAATAGGTATCTATTTAAGTATCGGGACCTCCCTCATGTTACCATTGGGTATCCTCATTTTGTCGTGAATTGAGACTCTGTAGCTAACCATGTCTCAAAGTTCTTCAAGCCTGGATACTGTTTCTTCAGAGCTGGGATATCCACGCCATAGCCATCTGTTTCGAACCACTTATACATATCATGGAGATCCTTGTTCATCCAAAGGATAAACCAGGCAAGGAAGCCAAACGTCGTAGGCAGAGTCTGGCCCGTTTTACGCTCATAGATCTTTTTGAATTGATCAAAAGTCAACTCGTCACCGGCCAGTGAGATACACCGGTTCCGCCATTCTTCAGGGTGAAGAAACGACTGTGCTGCAAAGTGACCGATGTCACTGGTTGCTATCAATTGCAGCGGCTTCCCTTTCAACATGTTGCGTAGTAGTGTCGCAAATACCTTGCCGAACATGCCGGGGACGAAGTTCTCTAGGAAAGCAACGGGTCGTAGAACAGTATAGGTCATATCGCTGTTTCGTGTTTTGTTGAACAAGTGTTGCTCAACGTGGTGTTTGGTGATGAAGTGGCCGACATTGGTGGGGTTCTCGCCGGACAAACGTTCTCCACCTCTGTCTACGGAGCTGTATACAAAATGCTTGATGGAGTTGCGTAGGGAAGCGTCGATGAGTGCTTTTCCTTGACGTTCTTCGGTGTCGTCACCCGCTTTTGTGCTGGCGAGCTGTTGCAATTGTTAGAGGGTTTCTTCAGATGCTGATATTGTGGGGTGTACTCACCTGGACACTAAAGACTCCCCATATCGGCACGGAGGTTGTCTCTTTCGCTGCACGGAAGATCTCGTCTGGATGATCGAGATCGCCACCAACCAGCTTGATATTGGGGGATTTTTGTGCCAGTCTCTGTGCACTGGCTGAGGCGGGGTTGCGTGTCAAAGCCAAGTACTGAAAATCAGCCTTTGCGGAGATCAATGCTTGTAGCACTGAGCTACCTTGCTTTCCGGTGGCTCCAGTCACGAGAATTGCTCTTGACATTGTGGCTTTTCGAAAAGGGATTGCAAGTAGATCGATGGAAACTTTGTAGGAAAGTATTGGCCGATGGGGGATCGATGTGGATCTTGTTGGTTGCGAGGATGATTGGTTTCGTTAAAGCCAATGGGTACGGTGCGAACCTATATACCCTCTTCCTGCGCAAATATCACTCTGTGCCAGTTGTGTCAATTACCAATCCTGAACACAACAAGATTCATGGCTGACAGAAACCGGAATTTGAGGTTCCGAAGTCTCTTGGCATTCCGGTGTAGTTGATTTTTGAGGGTAAATTCAAAGACTTGAAAGAAAAGCAGGCCAGGCTTTGTTCAGTCCTGCTTCGGAATTCAAGCCTCCGAACCCACGTAACCAGCCGGCCTTTTTCGTCATGGACAACTCGGTCAACTATGCGAGTGCTGATCAATCAAGCGGAGAACAATCAATATCGATGCCGTCGGGATCTCCGCGCGCCATTAGAAAAAGGAGCGCATCCACCCTGGGTCATCATCCATCATGAAACTGTCCATTTGGCGCATGGCTTCTTCATCGAGGAAAAAGTCACTCCAATCCGTTTGGGCATAGGTCGATGGGTCATAGACTGACCCCAAATTTGTTGCCGAATCATGACCCCCGCTCATGGTATTCCTGCTCGAGCTAGGAGTTGCAAGTGCACGAGTGCTTGTATCATCATCCGCCCCAGTTAATATTGCAGCATGGTCGGAGCTTCGGCCAATTAACTCGACGATATTTTCACCTGGAGCTGCGTCGCAATCACCTTTGGAATGGAGGCAGATTGCACGTTTCTGAATGGCATACTTTCTCATGTTTCTGAAAGCCCCGGAAAATGACTTGGCTTGCGGCAGGTACCCATTTGCTGCAACGATGTCTATTTTGTCAGCCATGGCCTCAAGCAAGTCGACGATGGAAGGCGGTGGACGTGCTGCATGGTCTGTATGGGTTTGCGCCATTGACTGAGTCAGGTGTCCAGTTTTGATCAAGAGAAAGGCGGCAAACATGGTCCAGATCAAAAACATGTTTGGAAGAGAGCGGCAGATGGAATCTTCGAGGTTCAGGTATAGGTCCAAGGCAGCGCGAGCCGAAGCTAACCCAGACAGGATTGTGTCAAGATGCCAGGGCGTAGCTGATGAGCATAATCCATCCGAGGTGCCATGCTTCAGAGTGGCTGATTTAGTTCGATAGGTAAATGTATTCCAAGAACCCCGGACAACAGTCATATGCAGCATAAAATCTCCAAAAAGCATGGCAAATTTTTGAAGTCCTGTTCGTGGTCAGTCTGGAGGTTCCAAAGGCTGAAAGCTGATAGGTGCGGTCTTACGTGAATCTCCCGAAAAGACAAGTTTGGAATTCAACGTGGACAGACGTTTTTGGAACAAGTCAAACTTGAAGCGGACGTTTGTAGCATCATAAGTAGAGGTAGATCCATTGGAAGGGATTGTCGAAGGGAAGACATTCATGACATCTTCGATTAGCTGTTGGAGTTGAATGAGATAAATGAACCATTCATCGTCGCTGTCCGTTGATGATCGCTCGGAAAGGACAGAGATACTCTGATCTACCCCAAGTTGCCCAAATATCAGACAAGGTTGGTACACTATCGAGGAGCTACTAAATTAGAGGTCAGAAGATTTGGTATGTGAGCGGGCGCAGGAATTCTCACGTAGATGCTGCATGCCAACATGCCAGCCAAGTCCGAGCCTTTCCGTTGGATAGGTCAGGGTCTTGAGAGTCTTGTTGGTTAAGCTCATGGAGACCAAGATCGTAGCTCATTGCAACGGCAGCAGCTATGTACTGAGTTCGGATGGATGAGTGGGTGCCGGGGGTTCGGATATAGTATTGTGAATAAAGAAGCATTGCTTGGACAAGGTCAAGTGATTGAGTTCCAAGAATAAATACATGGCGAACAAGTTGCTCATGCAATTCCAAAACGAGTCGGGGTTCAAAGGACGGTAGAATCGATGCACTAGCAATTGCAAGAATGGCTAGAGTCAGCAACGGCCTCTTGGTCCTGGTCTGTTGGAGGTCGTTCCCTTCTTTGAGACGGACAGTAGGAAAGATTGGACGCTATGTATGGTCCCAGTCAACTCATGTACACACATTGAGGAAAAGACTCTTGCGGTATTGCATAAGAGGCTTACCATTGAGGTATTCCAGTGGTTGAACAGTACTGCAGCTGTAGGTAAGTCGACAATGCCCTGGTCGATCGCGTCGAGATATTTGACACTCGGCGAGGTTGAAGTATTGCCTGATGAGGTTGCATTGGCAGGATGAGGAAGATGAGGTAGACTGGACACGATGGGTGCAGGAGGTATTGAAGCACGGTTTGGCTGTCTCAAATGGGACGAAGGTGACGGTGAAGCTGTCAAATGATCATGTTGAATGTGATCTTGTTGACCTTTGGCCGCAAGAGCATTCGTCAAGGTAGCAATCTTCTGCTCGAGTTCTGAAAACTTTTCGGAAGCTTTTAGGCGCGGCTTGATAGGGCCTGGCATCTATGGCAATAGCTATGAGGATGCCTGACTGGAAAGCAGTGGTTAGGCCAACTCACAACACAATCCCTTGACCGTTTGATGCAAGCCTGACATGATAGTGAATTTGGAGCAGGGAGACACTTTGTCTTGGTGGAGCGACAGGCTATGCATGCCCGTGAGTATTTCTCCCGTTTTGATCGGCGTTCAATGGTCTGTTTGTCATGGGAATTGTCCATTTCGACAACAGGGTCATGGACTCTAGCCATGGCTAGGTCAGGGTGTAGCAGAAGTCTGGGCTAAGCAAAGATGCTTGCGGAGTGTCTGCTTGCCATGACAGACACAGAGATGGATCTGGTGTGGTATGCTTGACAATCAAGGGAACCAAGGGCAGTAAAACACGAGAAGAGTGATAAAATGATGGCCACAGAAGCTGAGGTCGGTGATTAGAAAGAGAATGAATGCAGAGCATCTCTTGATGGACGTTGAGGAAATTAGTCAGACGACCATCTTCGGAGCAATCTTATTCCGATTTCCGACATTCTATAAAAGTGGCAGTTACGACACACATACTACACTTGTGTGTCACTCCTTCCTTCTTGCCTCACCACTTTGATACACGTGGTCATGTGTCGTGTCTTCACGTGGAAGGTGTGAATTAATGTCGTCGGTCATTCTTTCCTGCCATGGAATATGCCACGTCATCAATAATGAACGACCTCAACGACGTCCTTCACGGCGAGGAGAGACATGACAACGAGGTCGAACATTGGACATTCACAGTCTCTACTCTCCAGCCCACAATTTATAGGGATTCAAACACATGATCCCAATCACATGCCCTTCTGGTCTTCATATGCACCAGTGATAGTCTGGCTGTTACGACCAGTATGATCCAAAGCTGGCACAACACTCTATCGACCTACCATGCACAGATTGTGACGACACGAAGGCGAATTCAGTCTGACACAATACCCCATCGACTCACCACGCACATGGTATGATAATCTGGATATAAATATGAGTCACTCCGTCTGCAAAGAATTATCTACAAATATATCTTTCATCTTTCCTGTTCCTCCTTGGTCCACGATCTCGACCTCAACCCAAGCCCTCAAGTGCCTATCAAGATATTGAAAGCTTGCTGGTGAACAATTTCATCATCCTTGTCCTCTATCACACCGCTCAGCTTTCCCACGGTCTCAGATTGACTTCGAACAAGTTCATCATTCTTGTTCTCTATCACACCGCTCAACTTTCCCGCGTTCTCAGATCAACTTGCAAAATGGATTATGTCGATGACCATAGTTACTCCATACCCGAGGTCAGAGTCGGGGTCGATGCCGTCTTGGCTGCGATGCGAAGCTCTCGGTAAGTACAGGAAAAGGAGTCCCAGAGGCTGGAAAACACCTGCTAACCCATCACAGCAATCCGGATCCAACAAAAGTCTTGATCAGTGTCAAGAGCAGACCGCGTGAACGGACCATATACGACGAGCCGAACCAGCTGATTACCTTCCATGTCCCGCGACACCTCCTTACCAAACATTCCAAGTTTTTCCATGCACGACTCAGAACCACTGATGCTCAAGCCCGCGACTTCACCATAGATCTCAACACATATTGTGGCAGTTTCCAGGTGTTCCTTGTCTGGCTCCTGTATCGGGAACGGATCTGTGTCAGGAAATGCCAAAGAGGTTCAACCTACTATGAAGTGGACAAGGAGCTAGGTCCAACTCCAACTGACTATGAAATGAACGGGTGGATGCATGACTTCTACCTGGACGAGCAATATGAGGGGCACCTTCCCGAATTGTGGGCTCTGGTTATGAAGCTTGAGTGCAGGGCTTTCCAAAACCATATCATGACCACCATGTATATCTTCTTGGATCTCGAGCCAAGTGAACCACAACTGCTAGACGTCATAGCAGGCTTTGTCGCACATCCGTTCAACCTAAAGGATTCGCTGGCTTGCAACATGATCATCGACATGCTAGCCTCATGGGGTCCGCGAGGCGGCGACTGGGCAGGATACTTGGCTGCCGAGAATCTTCAGGCAGACTGGATGACGGAGCAACCTGAGGTATTTGACAGGCTTGTACGACGAACCTACTGGGTGCACGCAATTGGCTCCACCATCAAGATTGACCCCAGTTTCTGCCACCGATGGCATTTTCATGATTCTGAGGACGAGATTGAACAATGTGGAACATTCCCTAACAATGGTTACCCTCTCCAGGAGGTAATGGAGGGGATCGAAAAAGCAAAGGCGATACGAGCTATTTTTGAGACATCGGTCCGCGAGATGACTGTTACGTTTTCGTCCAACGCATGATATCAGGTGAGGGTGGCAGGTGCTTTTCTGGAGGACCGCGGGAAGTTCCAATTTAAGCATTTTGGGGCAAATAGGAGCGCTGGACAGAGAGATTTGTTTCAGGACTCTCCTATTACATGGTTACAGACTGCGTTTGCATTAGACTTTGGATGAACATTCACAAAAACAAGTCTTTGATTGTGATGAGAGATCAAGGCCAGCTAGGTTTCAAGTGCCATCATTCACGAGAGAATGACCAATCAATCTCTGATAGATAATCATATCATGTCCTCCATCATCAGCCTTTCCTATCCTTTTTCTTCTTTCCACCAGCCGACGAACCACCACCTCCCAAACCTGGCATTCCACCCATTCCACCCATGCCTCCCATACCTCCCATACCTCCCATCGCACCCATCATACTCTGCAAAGCACTCATATCAGGCATACCACCAGCTCCCGCCCCACCCGCCCCAGGCGGCAACTGACCCGCACTTTGCGCCTGACGAAGTTCCTCCATAGCCTCCTTGAAGAAATCATCCTTGACCCCACCACCACTCACCGCCGGTGAATGAACGGGAAGAATCGAATTCATCTTCCAACCCCGAGGACGCGGCACTTCCGTCGAAGTGAAATTATCCGGAACCGGCAGACCCTGAATCTTCAACTGAAGAGGATCATCCGGTAGGGTAGGATTCTCCTGAAGAGATTTCGCCATCAGGGTATACAAGTGGGATTTATTCTTGATGCGCGGATGGAGTGGTTGGTGGGTTGTTTTGTCAAAGAGTTGAATCCGCACGCGACCTGGATTCGCCCAGTCTTTCGGATGGGTTTTGTCTGGTTCGAATGCCATAGGGAGGTTGCGCTCTCCGAATGCATCTTTGGCGGCGGCGAGGAGGTTATATGCGAGTGGGTTGGCGACAGCGAGTTTTCGACTTACTCGTCGGCCTTGGGCTCGTGTTCGTGTGCTGTCGAAGTAGACGGGGTAGATGGTTTGGTAGGTCTTGACGGCTTCGCGTGCGGCTTGTTGCGACGCTTGTTGGGATGCGCTGGGTTGGGGTGGCGGTTGGAATAATGTAGGGTTGGGTCCTCCTCCTGCTCTAGATGTCGATGAGGTGGTGGATGGTTTGCTCTGCGAGGAGGAGGTGGGTTGTAATGTCGATTGGATGATGGAGTCGTCGTTGTCGGGGAGGAAGTTGGAGGGGTCATCGATTTCAGGATCGGAATCCTCGACTTCTTCTATCCTGGCGTGTGACATGATAGGGGGGATGAGGAGAGGTAGACGAGGAGTGTATTGGTAGGACAATTTGTCGGAGGGTCTGGGGTGAAATGTAAAAGCTGTGTCGCCAGAGGTGTCGTTCTCTGTGAACTTGATCTTTCTTCCACCTCGTGTCAATGAGATAAGTTGAGTCGACCGTGCGGAGTGACGGTCAAATGTGGGGAGGAAATGGCATTGGAAAGAGTCAATGTTTGGCTCTATTACTTGGCATATATTGGAGGGAGAATCATTCGGTGGAGTATTAACGGCGAACAACAATATACACTACACACGTAAGATCATATTTGAAACAACAACTCAAGAGTCTCTATTCCATCTACTCAACATCCCACACTTCATCCTCATTATTCCGAATATACGGAATCGGCAATTCCGAACTCCCCTCATATTTCTCCTCCGTAATTGTCAGACCATTGCCCAGGAAAGCGAAGATATTGCCTGGATCTCGATATTCGATTTGATAATGTTCATACCTTGGCCTCTTCATGAACTTAAGATGATGCAAAAGACTTCCTGGCCAGATATACACCCGACCACCGGGTTTATTATCCTTGTACCATGAACGGCAGTCTTCCGCCCAAACAGATGTCTTTTTATGCCATGCGTCCATGTAGAGGTTGAGTTGAGTAGTGACATCTTGCCTTGGAACCATGGACCGAATCCCATCTTCTTGCATCTTTCGGCAACATTGCACGATATATTCAATTTGGACTTCATGCGACGGGAGGGCACAGCCTTGACCCCAATTACCTCGTGGACCATTTACGACAAAGTAATTAGGAAACCCGGGTGCGGCGATCGAGGCATAGATATTAGGCTCGGTTTGGTCTTGCATGACCTGCCCACCTGCTCCGGTGAGTTTGAAGTGAGGGAGATACTGGACCTTGAATCCGGTGGCGCAAACCAGGATGTCGACATTATGGGTCTCACCGTCGGCGGTAACCAGACCTTGAGGCGTGATTTTGGTGATTTCGCTAAACACACAACGCACATTCTCTTTTCGCAAAGCTTCGAGATATCCTTCTCCGGGAGTCAATCGCCGACATCCAGGACTCCAATCGGGAATGAACCGTTCTTTCAGATCCTCGCGGTCGCCCAGTCGTTCGGACATTTGGTCTTGCATCATCTTCTTTGCTCCGATATTGTATGGGTGGCCGCGGAAAAACATTCGAAACCCTCCCACCACCGACCGCTCAACAGCCTTTCGATACTTTAAATGATAGTCCGGATCATCGCGAAACTTCTGCTTCTCTTTCTCTGTATAATGATGCTTTCCAGCAGCGTGGGGTTCCATGGCTTCTGGATCAGCTTCCTTGTTAGAGACCTGAGCCCCAAATTGAGGGCCAATGTAAGTCTGGTTTCTCATAAACACCGTTAGGTGTTTTGCCGTTTCGGCAAACTTTGGCACCATTTGAATGGAACTCGACCCAGTGCCAATGACGGCAATCGTCTTATTCGACCAATCGAGCGAAGTATCCCACGCTGCCGAATGCGCAAGCACACCTTGAAAATCATGTAACCCCTCAATGGTAGGCCATTTCCATTTATTCACCACCCCAGCACCATTGACCAACACATCGCAAGTATCAACAAAAGTCGACCCATCCTTTCGCTTCAGCTCCACCTTCCACTTCCCTTGACTTTCATCCCAAGTCGCCCCCAGCACTTCAGTATCGATTTGAACATATTTCTCCACGCCGTATTTCTTTGCAAAGGACAGGAAATACTCCTGGATCTCGTCTGAATAACTATAATATCCACTCCAATTGGGATTGGGTTCGAAGGGGAAAGTGTACGTGTGAGCTGGAATGTCACACGCGCATCCGGGATACCGGTTCTCGTACCATGTACCGCCAATGACGGAGTTTTTCTCGTAGCAGACGAGTTCAAAGTTCTTGAGTTGCTTGTCGGCTTTGTGGGCGAAGAGCATGCCGGACGCGCCGAAGCCGACGTGGATGATTCTGACGGGTTGCGGTGTGCATTGTGGATAGTTGGGGATGTCGTCGTCGGTGTATGCGACTTCGGGCGAGGCTATGAGAGGCATGTTTGGGTGATGGAGGGTGGTGGAAGGGGGTGGAGGAAGATGGGGGGAGATATGGTGGGGAGGAGTATAAAAGGACAGTCAAGGGAGGGATAGGTATATATGTATGGGGGGGTTCAAGGTGAGAAAGGAGCTGAAATCACTTGCCAAAAGGGTTCGGTCTTAAGAGGTACATGTGTTGGATTTCATTGATAAAGAGACTCTTAAGTCCGGTCGAAACATGTCTCGCTATCTAACAGAAAAAACAGTTTCGTGAGGTTGACACATTTGTGCCGAGGGATAACAAGAAAGTGAGGAGGTCATGGAGTAGCAAATGAACACCGAATACGAGGTGGATGGGTGATTTGGGGTTGGAGGTGGAGAGACTCAGAATCTGGGGATGATTACATACGTACAGATGACGGACCAGTTCAACCGGGACGGACTAACTAAAACCACTGTAGTGAGTTGAGGACATGTAGCTGTGTTTGGGGGAAGAAGAACTTGGGGTGGGGAGGGGATGAAGGAGGGAACGGAGAGAGGAGGGGGGGAAAGCAAAGGGAATGAAGTCCGATGCTGACTCGGAGGTTATGACTCTATGGGAGACGGAGGGAAGTCAATCACAGCAGGAACAGAGTGTCTAAGAGGCTCTGACTACGCCTACAAGTACTCAAGAATGATATGTATATGTAGATAGGTGGTCGTGGTAGTTATCCCTGATGTGTCAACATACTCATGCTACATTGCATATGTACATCCTTTAAATATTGATCCACCATAGCAGGCAAGATAAGCTCTGGAAATGCCTACTGCAACTGTAGATTGTCATCGCCCCATCAAGGTACTATACTGTATATGCAGGGACTACTACCTAGGCTACAAATCGATCATCGCATCACATCACATTACATCACATTCATAGAATTCAACATTTAACTTTTCTGCATTCCATCCAATTGAATAGGTAGGTATATATCCTACCCAGAGAAGCATCCAATCCTTTCTCCCCAGACCGATCTGTTATATATGCGTGCCATAATATGATCCCATTCCCACTAGCTTCCTCTCGGATATAGCGTAGGTAATTTACAAGACAGCAGCAACGCCAGCGGCGACCATGCCAGCAAACATCATACCCGATGCAGCCAAGTTTGCAGGGGCGACATTTCCAGTCTCGCTTGATCCAGCAGACGTGCCGGTAGCAGTTTCAGAAGCTGTTGACGAAGCGGAGGTGGTGGCCGAGCTGGCGGCCGAGCTGGCGGCCGAGCTGGCGGCCGAGCTGGCGGCGGAGGCGGAGGCAGAGGCAGAGGCGGAGGCAGAGGCGGTGGCCGAGCTGGAGGAATCCGAGGAAGTCGAGTCATCATCCGACGCAGCACCAAAGACACCACCCTGAGGAGTGTCGGGCGCCTCGGAATTGGCATCCGCAGAGGCCGATTGATAAGCATCCAAAGTGCGGCTGGCGTTGGCCCTGTGATTGACGTTAATATCTGTGTTCTGGGTCCGTTGGAGAGCCAGGTAAGACTTACGATGGGGGGTTGACAACCATGGACATGCCACCTTGGCAATGGCCAGGCACGGAGCAGTACAACCAGATGGGATTGGTGTCGTTGACCTGGAATCGCCAGACCTCACCACCACTGGGGAAACCGGAATAGACACCGAGGCCAGAAGCTAGAGGCACACAGGGGCCGTCGAACGACGATTGAACGACATCGTGTCCGGCTCCAAAAGTGAATTCGACCCAATCGCCCTCATCGGCAGTCACGGTGTCTGGAGTGTAGCTCAATCCAGGGCCGACCTGCACCGAGTGGACAGCTGCAAGGGCGGATGTGGCCAGCACAGAGAGAAGGATGGAGCCCGAGACGGTGGAATACATTTTGAAGGTGTTGAAAAGAATTCGGATCACAGATCTCGGATTCTAGCAAGGGTTGAATGAAAATGAAACCTTGGGTGGTTACAGGAGAAGAGAAAAGGGAAGATGAGGATTGGGGATAAGAGACAGAATGGGACAGGAATGACCTGTACAACGACCACAAAGGTAGACTTTATATGTCTCTGGAATGGATTGTGAAGAAAAGTTGAGAGCTGAGACAGGGGAGAAGGAGAAACACGAGGAAAACGAGAAACAGGGTTGTCCAGATTATGTAGTCTAGTTGAAGAAGGTGGCACCCGTGGGCACAGCTGGCAGGTACGGGAACCTTAGCAAACGCGTATGCACCAATTTAGATAGACACAGAAGGTACGCGTAAGAATAGTAACGAGGGATGTGCTTGCCGACTTCGCAGGGGCTACCAAGGCACTCAGCTGTCACAAATCCAAGGGGCACGAACCATCCATACGTAGGTACGGGTAGACAGTAGCCATGGCACTCTTGGTCATGACATGGGCCGTGAGCGTGACTGATCCGATCATAGTAAGCATATTGGCACCCCGGAGTGCCCAGGTCCAAACATCAATTGTCACAGATCGTATCTTGCTTCTCCCGCGAGAACGGAAAGTCCAGTCGATGATCTTTGAAGCGGCCCTCTACCCTTGGCTCTAACCAGGGAAACCCGTCTACTCCGTAGAAGACCAGTCCAAAGGAGCCCAAGACTCCAGAGCCTCACCATGTTAGAGCGAACTATGGTACGAGTACCTGTGGGGTTGACGGTTTGAGATTTGACACTACCGGCGTTTGAAAGCTGTTCGCTTGGATGTCGCTTGAGGGTCGGCACGCCGGGTTGGACTTCTAAGGCCAGGGCATTCCTTGGGTCCCCATACATACACTGAAGTTCTTTAGTCTATAGGTACTGACAATAGGCCCTCGGGCATTTTGTTAGGCTTAGCCACCCCTGCCCAGTTGTCTGGGCGGTTACTTGAAACATTTGACCTGGCCCCGGAACCCCGGATAATCCAGCATCAGATGAAACAATCTGGAAACATTTGTATCTTCTGGGTTAGCAGTCTAGTTGCCAATCATTACTCAAAGCCTCGAGGTATGCCTGAGTGCATCATCTCCTATACTTCTATAGCCGCTTATACTGTAGGTCAGTCGGTGCTTCAATACTGGATGATCATCTGCCAGGACGCATAGGTAGAAACCTGACCTATGAGTACGGCCGCCTCGGGCGTGTATGCTACGCGCTCCTTAACAAACACACAGTGCCACATCCCCTCAACGGTTTGGTCACTCTTGTGTCCGTGTCTACGAGACTCCTCTACGGCACCCTTCTCTATGCGTACAACTCCTCACAATTCACGATTCCACATCCCATTCCCTTCCATTCTCCATCCCCCCCTTTAAACTGCCCTAAACCGGAAACCGTGACGTGGCAATCCAACCCAACATATAAGCACTAGCGAATTTCAAATTTTTTAGTGAATGTATATTCACCACCAGACCACCTTTTCCCGCTTCAAGACTAAAATTATATCTATGTACAAGTACGTACTCCAGATCCATCTCACTGCTCCTTATCAACCTTATCGCCTCGCCAAATCAAACATCATCTGCCATTATGCATACTCTAACACCTCCGATCACGGAGGGTAATCTAGACAGATGGGATATGCTTTCACGTTCATCTCCATCTTACACTGGACCATCCGACCCTATCTTCTGACGTGTTATCATCCTTTCGCGGCAGGTGACTGATCCTTTAACGAACCCAGCAGCCATGGCGAGCATCCGAATTGAACATCACAGGTCAGATTCAGACAACCGAGAAACATGGCACGCATGGCACGCATAGTCAGCCTGCAGGATGCACTCCGCCTGATAAACCCCGGTCGCCCTCGCCATGCTGGGGTTCTCCAAAATAATTCAGCACATCTTGAGGCAAGTACTCCAACCACGGGATCATATCTCCCCCGGAGAAGTTGAGGTTCAGATTCTGATCCCCCATGTTGATGTCTTGGGTCTCGACAAACATGCTGTCAAAGTCGTGATCATTAAACTGAAATAAGTTTTGCTGCTGTTGCTGCACGTGTCCCGGTTGTGGCACCGATTGTGGCGTCGAGTAATCAAACCCTGTTCCCGCTTGAACCTGGGAATTCCCTGGTGGCATCACCACCGATGGATGTGATGACGACGTCCCATATGGCGAATGCAGCCCTAGTAATAAATCGGCTTCAGCAGTGGACACGGGGTCATACGGCAACGATGACATTCGTCTGCGTTGGGGCATGGCTTGCTGATAAGCCAGCGCATCCATCGGCGCAGCAATGTGGCCCTGAGTAGGAACTGAATCCTGTGATGGCAATCTGGTTGAATCCACTCGGAACTGTCGTCTGTGGTTACTTGCAAATTCATTCGTTGCTTTTTCCACACCGTCTACCCCCGAGTTGGGATACAACACGCTGAGATTTGGGGCCGGTGAATTGGCTGTCCCGGTCAGTGACCAGCCTATAGCCTGACTGAGGTCCATCTTTGGGGAGAACGATACTCCCTCTTCGAACGACTTAAACGCAGGGAACCGATTGGGGCTGGGTCCATACGCCCCCATCGACGCCGCCAGCGATGTCCCGCGCCGCCATCCCGGTGTTGTGAATGATGGTTCGGTTGAAGGCATTTCCCCGTCCAAGTCTTCCGCGGTAAACAGGATAGGATCCATCAGGCCTTTCGCTTTTTGGTCCAAGGCCGTCAGGATATATCTGCACCCAGCCCAGTACGAGTCCAACGTCTTGAGTGCCTTGTAGCATCGTTGGTAATTCTGATTGGCCGCTGTGGCGAGCAATGTATGACGTGCTGAAGCTGCCCGTTGCTCCGATCTGGCATTCTCTGAAAGCTGCTTTTGCTTGACGTGCGCATCATTCCCATTGCCCGGTGGAGACGTCGCCCGCGACGACGGTTGAGATGTGTGAAGCGCTGCTTCGGCGAGGAAGGCGCACGCTGCCACGTACATGGGTTGACTCGTAAAAGGATTGCCGATGAAGCTGTTAACATCGATTAATTCGGCAAATGCCAGGATGTCGGCAATCGTTTTTGCCGACGACATGGACAATTCTCGACTATCCGGAAAAAGTTGTTGGATTCGACCTTCGAAAGAATGAAGCAGCGTCGGTTGGTGGACCAGCATGATTAACGTATGGAACCAGAAGTGAAGGAGAATAAAGTTGGTTCCGTGTCCTGCCTTGACATAATGTTGATAGTTGGTGGCGTTGAAATGCAGCTTTGGTGATAGTCGCTGGTATATTCCTGCACGGATTAGCCCAATCGCAAAGTAGTGGACCAGACAAACTACGCATACTTACCTGTAAGATCCTTCTCCATACTCGCCAGCCTCTTCAGGACTCCAGGAGTGACTTGAGTGACTTCTTTAATGTTGTTGATCACATCGGCCACACGTCCATACATGTGCACAATCTTGATCATTTCAGGAAATGGATCGGGGTATCCACTGATGGCGGTGTTATCGGGTCGGTAGGGAAACGAGATTTCAATGTCCTTATCTCGCAGCGTTACTGGTCGACCGACGCCAGATGACACAGCACGATCGAGAAAGAAAATGGTCCAGAAGGTGTCGATTCTTTCACGCTCGCTGGCTTTGCGGTCTTCAAGGGTGACGCCGTCGTCGTCCGTAGTGATCAAGGACAACTTTCGTTGTTGTTCAGCCCTTCTGGATTCTTCTGCCTTGCCTTCTGCCCCATTCTTTGCCGTTTTTGGAGTCGGCCCAATCCGACCTTCGACCTGCATTCCTTCAAGCTTCTGAATGCCGAGGTCCTGAGCCATACGGATGGCAGTGCCCAAATACATCCACAGTCCGCTGTCGTGATCGGTTCCAAACTCGTCATAAGCCAGTAGCGTACATGCCTGAGCAACTGCGATGGTGGGGCAGGAGAAAGTGTCAATGACTGCCGACATGGCTCGGTGGGCAAAGGGGGCGCCCCGGAAGGCCCTCTTAACATTCTGATCCCGATCGAGGGGCGTCGAGCTGTCGTTGGATTTGCACAGCGTCGGATCAGACGAAAATCGTGCAGCCACGGCGCAGACGGCATCGACCAGAATGGCGTCAACGCATTTCTCCTCGAGATCTTTGAGAAAGCGCTCTCTTTGCAGAAAGGGATAGTTGCATCCGAGATGGGTGAAGAAGGTCTCACAAAGATGTGTCACCAGTGGTGAATTAGGCCCGGGGTCAGTCGCATCGTAGAAGGATATCTCCACCGGGCCACGATCACGATCCAAGGCCGAGTTGTTTTCATAAGGTAGACCAGAAGCAGGAGAGTCGTCGGTGGGAGAGGCTAAGCTTCTCCGATGATCCTTGAGCTGGACCACCATTTGTTTGAAGCCCGGAACAATGGCGGTAGGTCCAAAATAGCGAAAATAAGGCACACGAAAGTTTCGTGCTGAACCGGTACTGTAGTTGCTGCCAGGACTTTTGGCCGGGCTCTTAATGCCTTGTCTCTCATCGCCATCGCCTCGACGCGCCGTGGGAGACGACGTTGCGGGAACTGGGTTCTCGACTGCGAGTTGCATGGGGTTGGTGGAATTGAACTCGTGGCTGGGTTGCCGCGGAGGCGTGGGAGGTCCAGGACTCTCCTCCTCTTCCAAATCATCCTCGCCTTTCTCATTGTCTCTTCGCGAGGACCGTTCTGCGTAGCCGGAGCAAACATGGCTGTTATCCGTGCAGGTCTTGCATTCTGGGCGTTCACCTGAACAACGGGTTTTTCTCTTCCGACAGGTCAGACAAGCCGAGTTGATGCGACGTCTCTTGGTATATGGTTGCCCATCGGTAGACACAAAACGGATTTGACGGGGTGGGGGAAGAAAAGTTGCGGATGTGGAGTCGACGTTGGACATGCTACACGAGCTCAAGAGGGCTCGCCCAACCCATGGTACACCAGGATCGGCGCGAAGAGGCGGTGAGGGGAGAAAGGGGAGGGGAGAATCGTAGGTTACAAAAGTTGTATGAATGGCGACTGATTGTGAGGAAGTGCACGTGAAGACGATCTCAAGCTCGAGAGCGGCCTGGTTTGGCAAAAGGCGTCAGGCTGTGGCAGATGGACCTGGCGCGGTAGGAATGCTCGTGTGTATGGGTTACGACTGATCGAGGACGAGGAGGATGGGGATTTGGGGGGGGTCGGTGACGAGGTCAAGGAGAGGAGATGATGGGAAAAAGGATGTTGGCAGTATTGATAGTCGAGACAAGGTTACAAGTACAAGATCCAAGCAGTTGGCTCATCTGGGCCCCCACCAGGAACACTTTTGATCATCGTGGTTGGTAAAGAAAAAGGTATCCAAATCTCAGAGTTTGCGGGGATGTAGAGGAAACCCTGCATGGAGAATAAATGCCTGGTCAGTGCCTCGTGAGAAGTTGAAAGAGCCTCGGCCATTCCTCCACTCTAGCGCTCTATCGATCTACCATTCTGTATACGAATAATACCACCGCGTTGGTCTCTAGAGTAAAAAGATTTGCAGGGTGGGACATTTCGTCTCACTAATAATATGTGCGCCAAGGTGCCCAGATTAATGGGGGAGGATAAGTGCCAGGAGGGTGTACTTCGTACATACTACCTTAGGTACCTAGGTACCTACCTATGCATGTGAATAATCATGGGAGACGTCAAGCTTGTCCCTTGGGCTGCACTATAGGCAAAGTCACGGGTAGACATACCTACTATAGGTAGTCTCACTAGTTAAGGCGATGCCTGGAACGCTGTCCCCGCGTGGCTGGGCGAGGCGATTCTTGGCCTAGAAACCTACTCTGAATAGGCATGGCGGCACCCAGGGTTTGGTAGCAGAGCAAAAGAACCCTTCAGTCTCGCAGCAGAAGGTCTGTGAGGTTCGACTAGAGTTGAAGCTCGAACTAATTTGCATTTTCCACACGTGGTGACCACGATAGCATTGCAGGGTCTGATGTTCCCCTAACCGCATCTAAATTGGCTGTCCAGATTGGTTGCTGTGTGGCTGATTGTTGGAATGTGACCGTGGACTTGACTTGAGTCCGGCATTGCCTAATACGGACATCCGGAGGAGGGATGTGGCATCTAGGCGAAGAGATACACCGAGTATAATTCCATGAATATATAGCATGAAACATCTATGCATAAAGTCTCACCGGCTTGTGGCGTAGAGGAATTCGCTCTAGACCGCTTGATCATGCTCCTACTTGTTACATCCTTGGACTCTCCGCCAGTACTCTTGACCACTCACCAAGGAGCCTTCACAGACACCACCCATCCATTCAAGTCTCAAATCTATAGAAATCATCAGCCATGCTCTTTATGCAAAGCATGGGGTCTATTGCCCATCTACCTTTGGCCGGAGCAAGTCATCCCCGATCTTACCCGCGTCCCGTTCTTTCTGCAACACTGGGCGAAGAATCTCCACTCCATCCGTGACCCTTGCGTACGTGATACCGCCCAGTCTAGCAATGGGTCTGAGCACCGCAGGATCGATCAGATTACGGTCTTCATTGATCGCATCCTCCCGAACCCAGAAATGAAGGCCCTCAATCACTGCCAGAACCCCTGTTTTCTTGCCAGGATTGACACGCGACTCAAATTCCTGCGTGTTGAGCAACTTTCCTTCGATGCTGAAGATTGCTTCCTTGACACGTGATGGCGACACAACTTTGGTTTCTCCTGGTGTGAGACCAGAGGTCGCCCACTCCGACTGTCCGTAGGGTAGATCAATCGACGTCGAATTCATAGCTTCTAGGTAGTGATCCCCCACCATGTTGATAACCACTTCACCCGTTTCCAGCAGGTTCTTCAGACTGTCCTTGGCGTTGTCAATACCGCCACTGAATCCGACCCCAAAGATAGGAGGATCGTGGTTGAACATCTGAGTGTAAGAAAATGGAGCAAGATTGGTGGATGAGCCATCCTTGGATCTCGTCGACAAAAACCCAATTGGTCGAGGGACAATCCCTGAAATCATAAGCTTATAGTTGAACACTGGTGGTCTCCCTTCTTCATAGGGGTCGATCGCCACGTGTGATTTTGATTCTCCAGATTTATCCGTTGCGCCAGAGCCATAAGTCCAAGAGGGATCTCGTGTTTTTGAGAAGCTCCACTTCTTTGATTCGTCCCAATCTGGCCGTGAAGCTTGTACTTTATTGAAATCTGGGTGCGGGTTTCTCCTAATGGTCGCCTCGGCGTCATGTTTCTCTTGTGCCTTTGGAGGCTCTGAAGAAGGTGGTGGCATGATGCAAAGTCAACGTCTTGTAGACCTTGATGGTCAGTCTGTGTTTGTTTGATGAAAGTAATATGTCTAGATGTCTTGCGAATTCCTAGGTTCCAGCCGCCAACTATTTAGTTTGCTGGGTGGATCGTACCAGGAGTGGGGGATTTATAATCTGCTTTTAGATCAAGCGAATTTGTGACAAGTACCCTAGGCAAAGTACCTCGTCTGGTAAGTGCACACCTGAAATAGTACCGTCCAATGTCAGAATGTCCAACTCTTACCAATAAAGGTAGTAGTTAATCGAAACAATTTCGAAATCGGGTCGAACCGAGTTGACGTCACCCAAGTTGGTGGGACAACATCGATCAGATTCAAAAGGCCTGCTTCTCATTAGTCGTCTTACCTTGTTCTTGCTAGTGAATTATGCCAAGTTGGAGCGACGGAGGTGCTTCTCGATTTCTCATTGCATTGGACTTACTGTCTCTAGATGGTTGAGCAGAAAGCACCCTGTTCGAGATGGTGAAGAAAAGAGTACGAGATGGTCGGAATCGAGGTCGAATGCAGTCCTTGAGTTGCGCCGTAGAAGATGGTACGGTAGAGTTCTCTTTCTTACGTGGCAGATCTTCAACCTGGTGTTCTATGCCTTGTCCTCTGCGACTGCAAGTATCGTGACGATGTCATAAATAGACTACACGAATCTAAATATTGATGATCAAAGGCATATTATTCCAATTATGGGAATTAAAAAGACTGAGTGCATTCTGTCCTGGGGAAGCACGCTTTGTGCTGCGTCCCTCACCTCTTCCTCTGAACTGTCTGGACATCATCTCAGGGGAAGTGTCGCGAAGACCTTGCTCTCTGCTCCGAGTTCAGGGGCTTCTGCCAGGAGCTTGGAAAGTCGCTCATCCAGCCATTTGACGTCTTCCATGTTTCCCGGCGGCCCGCCAGCCCAATGTCCCCAGATGCTGGGATAAACATCCAAGGTACCAACGCCAGGAGACATGTGCTCGACTTCGTACTCGGAGTCTTCAGGTCTAGAGGAATTGTCTATTAGCATTCCTGTCGGATTGCACCATTGGCAAATTGACTCACGGAAAGTACAAGTCGGTCTTGCTGGGTAGGACGAGAGTCTTTGCTTTGATGCTTGCCAAAGCCTTTTCAAAGTCACCATTAAATGGTTCTTGCAAGCTGATGTCACCCGCCTGCCAGGTATGAAGCATGACCAGGAGATTTTCTGGATCTTTGCTCAATGCCCACTTTTCCCAGAAGTTGACCATGAAATCTTCGAGGTCTTTAGCACCATAGCATTTCTCATGCAATTTTTGCCTGTAGAACGTCTGACTGAAGCCCCAACCAGCGTATCCTCTGCCAAAGGCTTTGAGACCGACGGTTTTCTGTTCGTCAGTCCACACACGTTTTTGCTCACCCTTAGCTTCGAGTCTACCAAAAGTACTTCCCGCAGAAGAAACTCCGTTTGCCGCCAACAAGGCCGACTTGACGCCCTCAAGAAAGACCTGGTTATGGATGGAGGTCTTGGCCGATCCACAGAATGGAACGGCGATGTCCAAGAAATCTGGATATTGACTGGCCCATTGAAAGGTCTGACCGGCGCCCATGGACCAGCCTGTCACCATTCGAAGGTGCTTGATGTTCAATTTTTTGGTGAGCAACTCGTGTTGGGCACGGACGTTGTCGTAGAAGGTCACATCGGGAAAGGGGGAGATGTTCGAGTTTGAGGGTGATATGGATTGGCCATTACCGAAGAGGGCGGTGATGATGATGAAGTACTTGTCTGGGTTCAAGGCTTTATCATGGCCGACGAGCCACTCATTGTCGGAGATGAGGCCAGAGTACCACGAGGGATAGAGTATGGCCGGGGAAGTGGAGTTGCCAAAAGTCTTGTATGCGATCCAGGCTCCTGGCAGAGATTCTCCGCCTTGGAGCAAGAAGTCGCCCAGATCGTACGTCTCGTAATCTGGCATTTCTGTGAGAGAAGGAATGGTGTGTGTGAAGAAGAACGGTGTGTCAAACTACACAGATGCATCAGCTATCCATTCATTCATTGATATTGAACTACGAAGGCTGTTACGAAGGCTGGCATCTCCTTGATAGTTAGTAGTCCTCAACCCCGCAAGACGGGGATCTCCTTTGCGAGAGATTATGCTGTGCTGAGAGAGGGGGGAGTTCACTTGCAGACACGTCTAAGCATAGAACCTTGATTCGATGCCATCGAGGCGAGAACGAGCCCATGGACGCCGCCGAGTCGATAAGAACATGTAGTATGATGTTGGCATAATGTGAAAATTGCTACAGAGGTATGCACCAGTAGTCAGCGGCTCGCACTTGCCCGCGATTCCCTCTCAAATCCCCTGGTGACTTCCTCTTCTCGAAAACTGCCACTTTGGGTCAAGCGTCCACATTCAACAGAAGGCAGGGATAGGCAGGAGCGACAGGGCCGAGGGGCCAGAGAAGGCACGACGTTGTCCGAGTGCTAGTAGGCGACAGATTTGAGTTCTAGGCACCAGCAGAGTCTAATATTTGACTATTTGGATGAATCTTTGGTTAACTCCGCGCCTAAAAGTACCTAAGTGAACAGATCTACGAGTAGGTACCTAGGTATGTACCTTAAGTTGGTACCTAAGTCTGGCCCGGAGAATCACTGTTGTTTATCAAGGTTCTTATGGAGATGGTGTCTGCTGGTTGTCCATAGATTCTGCTCAGATTCGTTCTATCCCACTCCTTAGCCTCATGAATAGGCCTTGTCATACAAGGTCAATTATTTATTATTATGGTAGACAGTCGGCGCTGTGGCTCACTGTCCGGTACTTTGAGGTGGATTCTCGCTAGTCAGCTCCGTAGTCAACTCCGTGCCTCCAGGTTCTGGTCCGGTTCTGGCCCACTTGAAGCCAACTCCAACTCGCTTGAACTGCGCCCTCAGCCTTTGAACCAGACAGACATCAACGTCAACCTTTCCGCATCGTCGTGTGGCCTCATTAATTCACTCCCTTTGTTGTCATTCATCCTCAACCCATCCTCCTCTCGCAAATAAAAAAGTGGCACACTCTTTTGCCCTTTTCGCTTTTCCCTTTTCTTTGTGTCATTGTCATCTATTTACCATTTCCCGCGTCCATCCGTTGGTTTCTTCTTGGAGTTTGCGGTTCATGTCTTTTCTCATTTTCAACCCTTTCACAACTTTCTAATCCTCTTTCCGATCGCTCTCCCTCTTCCTTGCGACAGACTCCCCCTTCTTCGCCATGTCGACCGTCCCTACCAAACAATGGGGCATCAGCGCACCCATATCAACCGCCCTCCCCGAGCCCAGAGACAACGAAAAGACGGCTGAATTGGTGGAAGAGTTGAAGCGGGAGAACAACTATGAGACTCAAGAGGAAACCAAGAAGAGGATGGCCACCCTGAGTCTCCTCAGCAGAGTCACTCAAGAGTTTGTACGTGAGGTCAGTCGAAGACAGCGTCTGCCTGCTGCCCAGATTGAACAATTCGGCGGCAAGATTGTTCCCTACGGCAGTTACAGACTAGGTGTCTTTGGACCAGGTGAGTAACCTCCTCCACGTACAGGCTATCCAAGTGCTGACCCTTTAGGCTCGGATATCGATACCCTCGCCATCGCCCCACGACACATCACTCGCGATGACTTTTTCGAATATTATCCCTCCATCTTGCAGCGCATGGCTGGTCCTGGCGCCGTCACCTCTCTGACCGCCGTGCCGACCTCGTTCGTTCCCATCATCAAGTTAGTATTGAACGGTATCGAAATCGACTTGATCTTTGCGTCTATTCCCAGCCTGGCCACCATCCCCAAAGATCTCAGTCTCAGCGAAAACTCGTTGCTGACCGGCATGGACAATCAGACGGTCAAGTCCATCACCGGCCCACGTGTCACCGACGAGATTCTTTCCCTGGTCCCTGAGCCAAAGACATTCCGCACTGCATTGCGAGCAATCAAGTTGTGGGCACAAAGACGGGCGATCTATGCCAATATCGTGGGATATCCTGGTGGTGTGGCTTGGGCCATGCTGGTGGCTCGCGTCTGTCAACTCTATCCCCACGCGGTCGGCGCGACAATTGTGGACAAGTTCTTCTTGGTGATCAAGGATTGGAGATGGCCTGCCCCGGTCATGCTCAAGGATATTGAGCCGGTCAAAAACCCGGAACAGAACAAGCATTTGAAGGTGTGGAACCCGACTCTGTACCCGGGCGATCGACACAACATCATGCCCATCATCACACCCGCCTTCCCGAGCATGTGTGCGACGTACAACATTTCCAAGTCGGGAAAGACAGTCATTCTGAAAGAATTGGAGAGAGGAAGCGTCATCACCACAAAGATCTTTGCAGGCAAGGCACAGTGGAGCGATTTGTTCCAGAAACACAGCTTCTTCACGTCCGACCACAAATACTATCTTGCTGTGACAGCCAGCGCCCGTAATGCAGACGAGGCCAAATCGTGGGCAGGCCTGGTAGAGTCCAAGGTTCGAATCTTCATCCAACGACTTGAAGGAGTGCCCAATATCACCCTAGCGAGACCATTTACCAAGGGTTTTAAAAGAGTCCATTCGTGCGAGAATGAAGCCCAGATTCGCGAGGCGCAGAAGGGCAGCATCAAGTACAAGGCGGAAGAAACCAAGGCTGTGGAAACCACCGACCCGGAGCTGGTGACCAACGGGGCTGGCTCAGCAGTGCCTAATTCTCAAAATGGTTCAGGCAGCGTGGTACAGGAATTGCATACCGTCTACACCTACACATTCTACATTGGGATTGATGCTGTGCCAAAGGCAAGCCTCAACCTGGTGCCGGCGTTTACGAGTTTCAAGAACATTTGCGAAGAGTCGGACTTGTTTCGCAAGGATGTTCACTTTCTGACGCTGGCATCGTTCAAAAAGTAAGTCGAGCCCCTATGGTCTTAGTCCTGATGTGTGATGCTGACCTGACTAGTTGGGATCTCCCGGAAGACTTGTTTGATACGAAGTCTGGCGAAACGAGACCTTCGAAACCAGTCAAAAAGACCGTCAAGCAGGATCAAAGCGACTCCAAGGTGGCACGAAGCATCAGTGAGGTTGAGGTATGTGCAAAAACTGGTGCTTGCGGATATGATGATATTGACTTTTGCAGGGCTCGCAGGAGAACGGCAATACTGCCAAGCGACAACGCTTGATGAACGGATCTGCCACCCCTACCCCAACAGCGACAGCGACAGCAACTCCCGCGTAAGACCTTGCGTGAGAGACTGCAGATTGACTAGAATCATGATTGGGCGGAGAGTCGTCCCCAACATATCACCTTGATGAACCAACTCGGTCGTTTATGGTTTCGGATATAAAATGCAGGAAATTGTCAAAAAAGGCGAAAAACACAAAACATAAAACCCACGGGCCCCAATCAGAGATTTGCCATTACAGATGGAGCACTTTTCAAAGGGAATAATGGTGGTGCGCAGACACTACTCTGATTGAGTACAGACCCAGAACCAGCACAAATGGCATCAGAGCCAACCGTGCATGAATCGGACAGAGGTCGACGCAGTGTCAAGGGCCAAGCACGACGATGAATCGAGACATGACTAGTTGCAGCGAGAGGGGAACGCAGTTCAGCCAGAAGCGGTGAATTTCTGTCACAAGCACCAGCCTCGGTGACTGGTCGTGATAGAGGTGCAGATTGGCCTGTCCTATTGCTGGGAGTACTGGCTTGGTGTACATTGATGAAGAAGCAAGGGAGAAAGTGTGGAGGGGATGCAGAAAAGAGACAGTCCGGGTCAAGATTGACAACCCTTGTGAAAGAAAGGGTGGGGTGGCATTAGTTTTCGGTAGTGTCAATATGTGGACAGATTGTGACACGAAATAAAAACATATTCAGCTAAGCCGTCGTGAGCCAAAGGGGAAAAGAAGGTGTATTACAGTAGTGGTTGGTCAATTGTTCAGCCATGAATGCGAACATGGACGAGTCAGCGGACATTGCGTGTTCAATCGTACAGGAACTTAGGCTAGAGAGGACTGTGGATTCTGGTGGATTATGTTCCCTATGGCTTACATTGTCGATGAGGCAATCGATGGGAAGGCCACAGAGATCGCTTCACAAAACTCCGATTAGTAAGATAACATCATAAGTACCGACATGAGTAAGTCAGCAAGTTGAAGCACTGAAGCAAAAGCACCGTGACACACCGTGCAATACGGTGCAGATCACCAGTGTAGATCCGGGGCAGTTTATGGCTAAGTTTAGGTGTTGACCATGCGTCTTCAAGGCGCCCAGTGACCCTTAGAGCCCCCTCCGCCCCTCTCTAATGCCCCCCAGCCCCGCCCCTCTTCTCCTTCGCCTGCTCAACTTCGAGGGTCTCAGTCCGCCCAGAGCCTCCAGGCCTCTTCCTGCGGCCCGCACCTTTCATCCGCGACGCCAGATGCCAACTGTATGTCAATCCATATCCTTGTGATTCTAATTGTCGTATATCGAGTCTTGAATGTCTGTGAAGCCTTACACACACGTGGCTGACCTCCAAATCATTGTGACACAGTCATTCGTCAGCCACGATGCTAATATCGACATGCCACATGACACTTTTACGCTGACATCTTAGAGGACACGAGGCTGCCTTAGGCTTCTCAATGGTCGGTCAGATGGCAGTGGAAGACAATGATTGTCGTCACTTTTGCTTCTGCTGACCCTTAGTTCTGCCACCAATGGACAGCCAAGACATGGAAGCCCACGCCTAATTACGAGGAGATGCTTAAGGCATCTTCGCCCCTCTCGCCCCCCAGCTTCGCCTGACTCGGAAGGCTGGGAGCCTAACGATCCAGGCGAACATCTCCCCAGAATCATTGGCGATGATCCTTGTTGCCCAGGGACTACCATGCTTACTGCCACCATCAAGGCTTCAGCTGAAGGAAGACGCAGCAAATGACAGGCCATCTCATTAATGTTGTTGATCCCCCTTTCGACACTGGAATTTAATCCGTCGTGTCCCTCCATCCATGACTAAACGCCTCAAATTCAGGTAGGTCAGCACCACTACTGTGTCTTTTCTTCCTTTGTTTCATCATCTCGATCGTTTAACAAACTACTTGGGTCATCTGCTTGCTATTTGTAATGGGCTTGTAGCATACAAAAGGGCTCTCTTGGAACAACAACATCTTCTTATGATTTGAAAGCTGCAAACTTCAACATCTCCATCCTCTGCCCGCCTAAGGCTTACCCACCATGGCTACCTCTCCAAGTACTACACCAGCTCCCAAAAAACGACTCATTGTCTGTTGCGATGGAACCTGGATGGACAGCGACGGCAACTACCAGACTCCATCAAACGTCACTCGCATAGCTCGTGCCATACCACCCACTGGCCTGGACAATTCCGTCCATCCTCCACAGCCCATTACTCAGATTGTCTTCTATCAGAATGGCATTGGCACCGGATCAAAGTCTCTTTACACGAAATACGTCGGAGGCATCACCGGTGAAGGTCTCGCTGAACACATTCGGGAGGCCTACAGCTCCATTTGTCTCAACTACAACCCTGGGGACGACATCATTCTAATCGGCTTCTCCCGGGGCGCTTTTACCGCCAGAAGCATTTCATCCCTCATCAAGGCCGTCGGCCTCTTGACCGCCAACGGTCTGGCCTTTTTCAACCAGATCTTTGAAGACTGGGAATACCAACAGAATCCTGACTTCAGAACAAAATGGCCTGATATCCCATTCCCGAACCACAAACCTCCCGTCACTGATCCCACTTACCAGAAGGAACTCCTCAAAAGGAGACTCGTCAGGCCTGGTATCAAGATCAAGTGTGTCGCCGTCTGGGATACTGTCGGTGGATTGGGCATTCCCCTCGTTGGCCTCTTGCCCCAGCCCCCGAGCAAGGATTTTGCCTTTGTCGACACTCGTGTTGAATCCAATATTGAATACGCCTTTCAAGCCTTGGCCCTGGACGAGCATCGAAGAGCATACACACCCACCATCTGGGATTGGCCCAAGGACAAGTCGGACCTTAAGGTCTTGAAACAGACCTGGTTTCCCGGCGTCCACAGTGACATTGGCGGCAGCTATGACGACACTGCATTGGCCAATTTAACTCTTGCCTGGATGGTGAGTCAATTGGAGCCACTCTTGACCGTGGACAGAGGCTACCTGATGGAACTCATCCGGCCAACCAGTGGCTTACTCAACCCCATCTCCAACGGCGAGAATGGAAACAACAATACCCACCGAGGCAGTATCCCCCGAGTCAATACACACGGAACCACCAGACCCTGGGGCTTGGGCAAGATCCACGATAGTATGACGCCGTTTTTCCGCCTCGGCGGCAGTGAAACTCGCACACCCCACGAGTACCGCGAGCAAGAGAGCGCGGCGCAACACGGCACAGTACTATGGATAGGAAAGAAAATTGCTCACCAAGTCACCTCGATCTTCCGCCAGGCCGACACCAGTCTGAAGCCACGACTAGCCAAGACCAACGAAACGATTCACTCGAGTGTACGCATCCGCATGGGTCGACACGGATACGGGTACGATGACAAGGGCACATATGCTTCGGAGGCATTGCAAGGCTGGGTCATGTACGGCGAGGAGACCGACCCCGACACCCCTATCGCACTGGATGCTCCTGGCCTGGTGGGAAAAATGCGAGACGTGGTATGGAAGAAGGCCGTTCCGCGCGAAGAGACTCTCGACAACGGCAAGGTACGAGTCGTCAGCTCCGGAGCCGACAAAACTACACTAGAAATCCCTGAGGAGCCGCTGGGCGACTTTGAGCGTGAAATCTTGAAGATGTGGCCCGAAATCAACAACATTTTCGACTCCACGGGCCCAGGAGAGCATGAACACAATGTCAAGCGTGTCAAGACTTTTCCTCCCCGTGGCCACCACAAGGGTAGTGGTAGTGGGAGTGGTTCAGACTCCAGCGCGGGTAGAGATGGCTTGACTTTGAATACCCAGACAGACGCGCAGAGAAGAATTGGAACGTCTTGATTATAAGCCTCGGGACATTGATTCAGCATGAGGCGGAGTGTCGAGCATTTGTGGTAGCGAGCGTGAGGAAAAGCGATGGATGTATCAAACAAACACAGTTCATGGACATGGAAATGGAATGGAATGCATGATGATGATAATTTGGAACCCAACTTGTGCAATATCAATACCCTGTTTAGCAAATCGATTACAACCAACAAAAAGCCACTCGATTCAAACATTATCTACCAGTTTATTTATCAATGATTTGATACCTATCTTTGGGTTTTATTGTATCTTATAGCTTCGGCATGATCGCACCATCATTCCCTTTAAGCACGGCGTCCACCCAAGCCATAACCTCAATCAACTTCTCATCCTGCAAACGAGGCACCACAACCTGAACACTCAATGGCGTATCCAAATAAACTCTCCTATCGATTTTCGACTCATCCCACAATTCACGACACTTTTCGTCCCAACTTCCCAGCGACTTGCCTTCCTGGGGCTTACCCAATTCCAAATCCGCCTCGACGACCTTCGACACAGGTAAAGCCGCAGTCGGGTAATCGAACAAGACGAATGAACTAGTCATGCCAACGGCATTGTATCCCTCAATAGGAGGAACCGGATGAGGTGCCAACGGACAGATAATGGCATCGAGTTTCTGAACACGTCGACCTTCTGAATCGTCCTGTGTCCATAACTTGAGCATTTCACGCTCCAGCGCGGCCCGTTGGCCTTGGATCTCGGCTAAACGGAGTAGGGGTTGTGGTTTTCCCTTGCGGAATCGAGTCTGCATCCATGGGACCAATGGCTCGCCAGTCGATTCCATCAGTTCGGCCATCACGGCTCCGCCGTCTACGCCCATGAGCTTGCTCATCACGGATTGTGACTTCGTCCAGGCCTTGGGTGTCGGAATCTCCACGACACGGATGTTAGGTCGGGTTTGGAGTTGTGCTGAGACTTTGTCGAGGAGTTTAGAGATAGGTGGGAGGAGTGAACAGTTGCCGTCGCTGCGCATGATGCCAATCACCAGTTCGCCGTTGGCGCCACTACCGTGTGCTTTCAAATTACGGTACGCTGACCATGTCGTGGGGAAGCAATCTTCTCCCCAGAGGTTAGCTCGTGGAAGGACTTCTCTGAGGAAGACGTCGATATCATGAACACTGCGACCGATGGGGCCTGCTACGGCCTGGACGCTGGCGCGGCTGATGCCGTCCACGGCGACCGCGGCTTGACCTCCATACGGCACACGGCCGTTGCTGGGCTTGAAGCCATAGACGCCGTTGCACATGGCAGGAATACGGATACTGCCACCAATGTCGGTGCCAATGCCGATGGCAGATCCTTTCATGGCGGCCATGACACCTTCACCTCCAGAGGAGCCGCCTGCAGTGGTCAATCGGTTGATTGGGTTCATGGTCCGTCCAAAGACATTGTTGATCGAGTCGAGCGACGCCAGCGTCTGGGGGATATTGGTCTTGGCCACAATTACACATCCTAGCGATAGCAATAGATCCACCAATGGTGCGTTCTGCTTGGCTGGCTTGAAACATAGTGATGCTAGTCCTATCGACGTGTCCACGCCCTTGACGTCAAATGTATCCTTGACCGACACGGGCACGCCGTGCAACGGTCCAAAGGGCTTTCCGTTCTTCTGTAGATAATTATCGAGAAATTGGGCCCGTTTGATCGCAGTATCAAAGAGTGGTTCAGTGAGACAATTGGTTAATTGATGGGCGATGGCAGCTCGATGGCAGAATGCTTCGGCTACTTCGACGGCGGTGTGTTTGCGAGATGTGATAGCAGAAACCAGACCGGCGAGGGAGTAAGATTCGGTGATGTTAATCTCGTTGGGAGACAGGAATTTGCGGGGGACGTCGAGCACGTTTTGAGGTCCGTCTTGGATTTGCGGAGGATCAATGGGGAGTACCGTAGATGGGATGTGCCATTTGGAGGGGATGCGAGATGCTCGTTCGGCTTGTTTCTTGCGGGCAATACTCTGCCATTGAGCTTCGGAATTCTGCGTCGACATGGCTGGAGGGATGGAGGGACAGAGGTACGAGAGGTCGGAAGTGAGGTGAGTAGTGAATAGGTAGCGAGTGACCTGGAGTCTGTAGTCTGTATCCAACTGACAATGGAGTTACGATAGTGGTGGTTTTGTCTGGAATTTGGAGCGCAGTCGAGCTAGATATAATAGCTACGGCGTATAGAATCACAGTAGCATGTCAGCGAAAGACAAAAGAGGTTCAAGGGACTCAATATTCAGCAGCCGTTGTTGTTGCCGGTTGAGGTCCAAGATTGTATCTCCGCACGCCAAAGAACGAGAAAATACCGAGGCTTGGATGCAGGTGAGTTTGGAGGGGACAGGGATAACAGGGATGCCACGGCGCCTACAGAACGAGCACGACGAGGTACCTGGATACCCTATGAACCTAAGTGCTCGGTTGGTGCCTTGGTGCTCTGGGCCCTGGATGGAGAACCCCGCCAACTATAAAATATCTTCCAAGATCGAATGATGATGGAAGAACAGTGGTAGGTGTATCACGTGACTACAGTCCAGGATGCTAAAGATCACAGGCAATACAATTCAACTTGAGCACACAGACGCTGTTGAGTCGAATCAGAGAATCATACAAGTTTCAATGTTCAATCTGTCACCATTCGCAGTTTATCGATCAACTTGCTTATGTACACTGGTCGTCAGCCCCACGGACATGAGCTGATGCTCTCTTATCCTCTCCTCGTCTTCAACTCAACTCGAACCTAGCTTAACTGTACCAGTATGCAGGTTTGACAAAGTCTGCCATCGTCTTCGGCTCTTCATAACCGTGGTGGTGATGATGGTCATGTGGGTCATCAGGAAGTCCCACATAATCCATTCTGTAAACGCTACCACATTCATCGCATCGCTCAAAAGGTCGTTGACGAGACATCTGGCGCATGTTAAATCACTGAACAAGTCGGTCAATATGCAAAGGATCACCTACCACACACCATCTCACCACGTGAGAATCTGCCGGGGATCCGGTGCAGCCAGCCTGAATCTCGTCGCCCGCCGATTTGACCACAATTGGGTTCTCAAAGGTACCTATTGAATCATGAGCCTGACACCCTTTACATTCCGACGACCTCCAGTATTTGCTTCTGCAGATCTCGCTTGACCAACGCACCTTTGCGGTCTGATGGAAGTGGAGACATGTCAAAGATATCAATGCCTTGCATCTTTCCGAGAATTTCCAATCGTTCCAGACCAGTAGCTTGTTCGAGATCGGTGGGAATGGTTCCAGGTTCGGCACCAGGAGGAAGCAGATCCTTTTCAGTCTTGACATCTAAAATGTCCATATTAGTATTGCCTTCACCGGTGCATCCTTGTGCACAAGCCTAGTAGTCAGAACTCACCCTCGAAAGCAACCAGCTTGCCCTTCTCCTCACCGGGCTTGAGGTCCCATCGACTTTCTAAAATTCCAGCCTAGTTAGCCAGAGTCCAATTATACCATCAACCACCAAAGTGGTCATCGTTGAAGCTTCAAAAGGAGAGGTCGACATACGACGGACAGGGACGGTAGAGAATGTTCGAGGAGCGACGCGAGAGGGTCTCAGGGCAACACGTCGTGCCAGCAAGAAAGCTGAGCGTGCCGTCGACATGGCGACTATATTTGTAGAGAATGGACGGGGTTGATCGAGGTGGTGAGAGAGTGAACAAACAACGTGTAGGAGGGTTTGATGGAGGTCAAGAAACTGCGGTTGGTGATTCGAAGTGAGATGATTGGCGTGACGAGCTCCAGAAGCTCAAATGCCTTGGCGTTGATTCGTACGGAGTAGAGCAACCATCAGACCACCGAAATTGAGTAAATCTGATCACGTGTAATCATGTGACTTCTTCAAACTCGATAGAATAATGCATGACTCAGCTCCCCTCGATATTTCCCCAGAAGTTACTGGAACCCTGACTCACGTGTCCAGTCTCCCAAACTCAAGTCGCCTTCATTTTCGCCATTCCATCAATATCAATATCAATCTGCTCCCAGAACTGTATCACCCACGCATATCTTCTGATTACCAAAAGTCATTTCTTTCATTATCTCTACGCGCAGATATCCCACACACTCAGCCTTAGTCCACAACCCCATCCTATCTTCATCTTCATCTCCAGCCGTCCATCAAAATGGCAAATTATCTCGCGTCCATCTTCGGTACTGAACAAGACAAGGCAAGTCTCTCTTACACACCCACTTCCACACCACCAGACTAACATTCTCCCCAGGTCAATTGCTCTTTCTATTACAAGATTGGCGCCTGTCGCCACGGCGATCGCTGTTCGAGAAAACATGTCAAGCCCAGCTACAGCCAGACCATCCTCCTTCCCAACCTGTACCAGAATCCTGCCTACGATCCCAAGAACAAGATGAATCCTTCCCAACTCCAGAATCATTTCGATGCCTTTTACGAAGACTTCTGGTGCGAAATGTGTAAATACGGAGAAATCGAAGAGGTTGTCGTTTGCGACAACAACAATGACCACTTGATCGGCAATGTCTATGCGAGATTCAAGTACGAAGACTCTGCTCAAGCCGCCTGTGACGCCCTCAACAGCCGTTGGTACGCAGCGCGCCCTATATACTGTGAACTGTCTCCAGTTACCGACTTTAGAGAGGCATGTTGTCGACTAAATTCGGGCGAGGGGTGTCAAAGAGGAGGCTTTTGCAATTTCATTCATCGAAAGGAACCAAGTGCCGAATTGGATAGAGAGTTGGAACTCAGCACCAAGAAATGGTTGAAAGAGAGAGGTCGAGACGCGCGAAGCGTCACCAGAAGTCCCAGCCCAGAACCTACCAGAAAGAGGTTCTAAATGATCGGTTTATATCTTGGGATTACATTGTGTTTTGACCAAGATCTTAGCCAGGAGTACTCATGGAGGTCTCCAGGGCGTCGGCGGCGACTTACCGATCGACCATATATCCAGCATGTGTCGGAATAAGTTGCGCAGGTCATCGAATCCCGCAACAAGTTGTTAATCCGCCCGCCACTCAATTCAGCCTGACCCGATCTAGCTTACGAAAGTCCTTTCCACGACGTTGATCGCCCACAATCAACAAAACTATCACGCTGGCCCTGCAGCAATTGCCGGGCCCACACCGAAAACTCAACCAGAGTCGATGTTAACCTTCCGCCATACATTGCTGGCAGCCCGCCCGATTGAGACACTATGCCTCATCTACAGAGCTTCGTCCAGTCAGCCACAAACCACCATTAGGGTTGCATGGCTCATCCAGATCAGCAGCGAGGACCATGTTCATGAAGAGGATATTGATCGAGGAGAAAAATGGACGAGTACGGGCAGTTCTTGATCAGGGTCTGCATATAGCAGTACCTGATCGGGAGATAAACTGCAATTTCGGGGGTGCAGGATTCAAAACGCCATAGTTGGGCATTCTGTAGTATAGGAACAATTGAATCTAAAAGCCACACAACATTCACATCATTCTATTCTGTCCATTCCCTCGCAGTGATTTTATGAGCATGTTCATGAACATTGTATAACGTAATCAACCTTCGAGTCAGATCACGTGTGCTCAATGTCACGTGACCGTTACCATCGTGTAGAACCAACTACCGTTGATTCATACCGCAGGGGATTCTAATAGATTGCGCAAAGCTAGACGACTCTCACAGTGTGGTAGCACACACTTACCCTCCCTCCACACTCAGCCACGAGGAGACACGACAGTCCGAGTCAATCCAAGGAAATAGAATGGGCGGGACCACAAATCCTGTCTGCCAAAAAAAAAGTGCCGGCATAATTGTCACATGGATGACATGTTGTGACACGTGTGGCTTAGTGTACCTGTGCTTGAAGGGTTCCCGAGTTGAGTTCGGGGTCACATTACAAGTTCTTTTACAGCGACCTATTCACTTTCTGCAGTTGAATTACCACATATGGAGTACAGATTCATGATGGAGCCAGACAGTGCACAGTGCCTATACTTTTCTAGTGTAGAGATACAGAGGAAGACCCTTCTCGGCCTGATGGTCATAGTGTAGGACTTCATTTCCACCATTTTTTCATATGACTAGCAGGTTCTTCAATTGACCATCTCATTTTCGTTTACGTACACGTTCACGTTCACGAAGCCAAGCGATACGATGCGAGATACCCGAAGATTTTCGCTCAATAACAAGTATATTGAGTGCTTGCGTGGTTGTGTGTAAAGTATCTATATTCGATTCGTAGTGTTGCTTGCATTGCTTGCATTGTGGGTGATGCCTCGGTGCTGACCTCGGCTTGCAAGTCTGTTTGGTTGTGTGTGTTGGGTTTCATCGTGACTTTCTTCTGTCATTCGTCGCGTGTCATGGTTCTTCTCCTTTCACCTGGAGGAGAGTTCTTCCAACAGCATTCAATACTGCTGGGTTGAGATAAGTCATGGGGCATAGCACAGTCCCTGCTCGATGCGAAGTCGAACAAAGCCAGTAGTTCTATCCTTGATTGCTTCGCGCCGGCGAGCGGATCTCGTAGGTTGCGTGCATTGATGGAAGCCAATCCTGTCTGTGTAGCGCAGCATCGTATGTGGTGGACAAGTAGATTGGCTGTGATACCAAGCAAGAAAGGTGTCGGCGTCACCATCATCGGAGTCGTGGAAGATTCGTTGATCGCCAGTCAATTCAGTCGAACGGTGACACCTTCAATAGCCACAGTAACACCACCACAATTCCCGCAATCGTCGTCGCAAATCCTATAGCAATGAACCAGCCAAGATAACAAGTGCGACGCTGTTTTCGGCGGTTCCGTTCCAGCCATGTATCACTATAGATATGTAAGTCTGTGTCGAAGTTATGTTTATCGTTCAAGGAGGGTCACTCACGTGTGTTTGAGTGTGAGCCTGGAAGAAGATGACGAGGTGGATTGGGCATCTGATATGTTGGCTTTCTCCTCGTCCAGATGGACTGCCATAGAAAACCGGCGCCAGAATGCTGGGTCTCTGACACCAGCCATTGTGTCGTTTAGTTGGTGATGTACAAGTTTCTCGGATGAAAAGAAATGATGGTAGTGATCGATCAAGTCTTTGGTGTTTTTTGACAAGTCGTTTCAAGAAATCCCTCTATACTTCGCACGAGCAGGGATTGATTGCGCAAAGGGTGTTGGTAAACGAGTGGACGATGCTGAAGCACAGAACGAGTGATGTGCGACAGATCTGGTGTGAGTCGAGCAAGGGCAAAGTCGAAGAGAACGAGGTTGATTTAGTCCAGCATTCACATCCTCACGAGGTCGACGGGAGGTACTTGAAAGGTAAAATCACAAGAAAGAAAAGGGAGAAATCCAAGAACAGGGACGACAAGATCCAAGAGGAAGTAAGCATTGGCACAATTTGGGAAAGGTGTTTAGGATGCCTCAATCAAGTCGCACAAAAGCTAGACTTGGGTAGCTTGGTAGGGCAAGCACCGATCTGAAGCAGATATCCACCTCAAGAATTGATCCAGAGCCGCACATGCAAGCCTAGACCCTGGATCGAAGGACCAGAAGCTGGTGTCGCGTGGCCCCATGTGAAAGTTCTGGTACATTTCAAGCACTGCCATGGGCCAAGACACGTATTGGTTGCCCAGGGACCAACCCAGGATAAACGCCAGGCGTCTACGAGTACTTGAAAAAACAATCAAAGGCTTGCCAATCATGATACGAGTAGCCACAGTCAAGAAATGGGTAAATGAACAATCTCATGTCGGAACAAGCCCGAGGGAAAGTGGGAAGACGTTGAAGCAAAGAGATTAAAGCTCGATAATTGATTGGCATGACAGCCGAGATGGGACCCGGCAAACCAAAAAAGAAAGCCACGAGTGGCTCACTGAAGAAGAGAAAGATGGAGGAATGGTTGAAAGAGGTATGGAGATGGTGGATCTCAGGGGAGATTAAAATTGAAGCATCGGTGATTGACATCTCCGACTGACGTTCAATTGCAGCCAATGATGATAGCTACACGTGACTGCTTGGCGCCAAGGTCGCTGTCCCGTGGTCTCGGCGCGCCTAGGGGAGAAATCAATTCCGGGCAATGTGAAGCAGTTATCTCGAGCACCATTTCCACATCGAAACCAAAGCTTCAAAGCCCAAAGTTTCATCCTGACTCTTTGTACAGGGCGGGAAACCTGCCCAGACATCGGAGAGCAATGACAAGAAAAACCAAGATCCTGCCGCTGCAAGATACTTGATTCATTCTCCGCTCAAGCAAGCCTCCTTTTTCTACGTTCATCAAAAGGAAATGGCTATTCATCATGTTCGCAATCGCAATCGCAATCGCCGCTCACACAAATAAACTTACATACAGCGGCTACACAGGGGTCAGGTTATCTACCGACACGCTAGGGCACTCGTGCTTTTTGGGAACCTCAACCATGAGCATTCCCGGATAACCGAGTGCATCTTCAACCCATAGTCGTGACCGGGGTACGCGTCTAATGATCATGAATATGATAAGATGATAACGGTCAGTCAGCAAGAGGGCAGCAGAGTCTCCGTTCATCAGAGCTGCCTAATGATATTACCACCCCTGAGCCTGATGGGCCTCGCGCGTGGTCACATTCCTATCAGGGATAGACGCAAATCTCGCTTATGTTACAGGATCGCAGTTGCATCACAAGTATGTCATCCTTCACAGGACAGGTTTTGACGCTGCCAAAAGATCAACGTCAGAGTTTGAATACATGAGAGACGAAACATGCGCGATTGAGCTCACTGCAGAGCAATGTCAGTCGACGAATATAGCCAGCTCAACTGGCAATCGTGCACTACATATCTAATCCTTCTGCTTCTCTCGGCATTTACAGCCGCTGAGTCGACGAAACCCAGAAGGCCATAAAGCCCCTGCACAACTATTACTATTCGTGTTCGTGACGTTCTGGCAGCCTTAACCTAGCCTTTGAATCGATGCATACCCTTCGGGACTGAAGACGCACGACTTGATTCTTATCTCCAAGCAATACATCTCAGCTCTATCTATGACCTGATCTTACAAATGTCGCGGCCGCAGATCTGAGTGCGTTGTTTCAATATGCTCATCCATACGCGGGTTCAAGGTTTGTCCTACAAGTTGCTTATATATTTACAAAATCAAAGAAATCAAGCAGGTCTCATTATGTTCCCCAAAGCAAGACGTCTCGACTCCTTGGTTATATGAACAGATTATTGATACTTGACAATTTGGTCGACGAAAGCTATAATACATATATATATACACCTTTCGGCACCCCCGCTTTCGATCTAGGCGATTTTAGAGTTCGGATATGATGGTGTGGCGTTAATGTCAACTGATCGACGACAATGACAACGAGGGAACGACAACATCAAAGCAGCATTCACCTTGATACTCAAACCATTCCAGATCATTCGAATCGAGGCTCAACAACTCTCCCAAGCAACTTGACAGCCCAACAGTCTAGGACCTCTCAGACCACACCCAGCCCAACTCAACTATATACCTATAGTAAATCATGTCCCATACATCGATGCCGACAATATCCAGCCTCGGAACCGTAGCCCTACCTGGCTTCGTGGGAATCATCGGTTTGATGGGAGTGGCAGGAGGGGTATATGGACTTTTATTGCCGATTGAAGCAGGACGACAATTCGGGATCAAGCCGTCGTCGTCATCTCCGACGGAGATGGCATTGCTACGAGCTATTGCGCTGCGCAATCTAGGCGGTGGAGCGACGAACCTGGCTTTGGTGTTGATGTGGCAGTTCTCTTCAGTGTCACGCGCGTCGCCTGTCGTGGCACACACCTTTCAACGGGCTTTGGGCATTGGGTTTCTCTTGGGGACTTCTGTTGCCGTTGGGGACGCATATGTCTTGATCAAGTATGCTGATTCTCCGGGTCTTGTGGGTGAGGCTTCTCGTGTCGGGAGGGAGAAGTCGAAGGGTCATGCGTTCATGGCATTGCCGATCTTTGCTTTGGGGTTGGCTTGTTGCCTGCTTTAAATGCATGTCTGAATTGACTGGCCAGATCGAATGGGAAAACTTAAGGGGGCATGTTTGTTACAAGTTACTTTGGTTTGGGGAGTTTTGCTGAATCTATACTCTTTGACATGTTCCATCCTGGTATCATTTGATATGATTTGAAGGCCTAGGGCTGATCTGATCCACGATACCTCGCTTCGAGGTTGCATTCGCTGCTCGACATGTCCACATAGCTTCCCAGCTCTCAAGACCCGGTGCCTTTCGCTAGCTCGACCGCAAATGTTCATCCTCGATAATCTCATCAAGGTAGTCGTCGAGGACTCTGGTTGGTTTCCAACCTAGAGCTTTGGCAGCCCGCTCTGCTTTGCCTCTCGAATTGAGGCCCCAGCTAACGGCCTCGAACCCAGCGGCCTCGAGTGCTTCATCCTTGCTCAGGGGGCTTTCATGTGCAGACTTGATGTAGCCCTTGTTCTCGGCAATGCTGGCGAGCTTTTTGGCGACGTCGGTCCACAAATGCTCGCCGTTTTCCGTGAGGATGTATCCATTTTTACCCCAAATGTCGGTGTTGTTGGCGTCTCCATCCACAGCTCTGTCAACCAGCAGCTTGAAAACCTCGGTGAGATCAGCGACGTGGATGTTGTTCCACCTCGATTGGCCTTGGCCGACCACTGGGATGATTTGTCTCTTGAGAATCAAACTTGCCATCTCGTACAATTGTCGGCCTCTTTGACTACCAGGCCCACGGCCACGTCCTAGATGGGAGAAATGAAGGCTCCGTCAGTAGGTGTTACTCTCATGTAATGGCATTATCAGAACGTAATTTGAAGAATCTCACCATAGATAGTCGGTGGGCACACAATCACTGTCTTAACAACATCTGGATTCGTGACTCCGACGTCCAGGACGAGTTTGTCGATGTTGCGGTGGAAGGCATGGTCTGGCAGGCTGGTGAGTTCGTCAACTTTTGTCCAGTCGTTGTACTCCTTGTCGGACCAGGTGCCTAGTCCTTCAAAGTTGTTGTCGGAGTCCTGGTACGTCAGAATCCCCGTGCCACCAGTATGAAGCCAGTAGCCGGGTCTGTCTTTGCTGTGGCCCTTGAGAAGTCCCGCGGCGATGGCCTTGGCTGCACCTTCGTGGTCTGAAGCATCTGCTGTGTCTATTGGTGCGAGGGTGGTTAGGAACTGGGTATTTGTGGGTTCTCTAGGAGGGATCCTTCTGTATTTGGGGTTGTTTTGACTTACGGAGAACAATGTCGGCCTTTGCGGCCTCGTCTTGGAGGATCTGGGAATCATCCAGGCCTCCCAGTACGATTCGCACTTTCTGGAATGCTTTCTGGACGGCTTGGGCTTTTGCCTCGCTCCGGATCAACAGTGTGTAATCATAGTCAGGATGATCGTGGTAGAGGGCTTGTAATACATCGCCACCGATATAGCCTGTGGCACCTGTTCTGTGGGTCCAATGGTCAGCTTCGGTCCACGGTCTAGGTAGAGAGGGAGAGGGAAAGTCGTCGATTACAGGAAAATCTTTGGAGGCATGGTTCGTTCTGAGGATGTTGATGTTGAGCGTGGACGGTGGACGGTGGACGGGAGGTCGTTATTTGTGGTTGATTTAAGATCCGTGACGTAATTTTATATTCCGCGGCGTCCTCGCAGTGTCTTCGGCGTGTATTTCCCACCCCAACATGGAAGGAACTCGTCAGTAATGACCGCAGCCTCAACTCAGGAAGCTACGATGACGACACTGGGGATCTGAATATCCGTAGGACATCACGGGGAAATCAGGATTCTGGAGGAACACGTGTCGAAACAGGTAAGACTTTGCATGGATACTATTGGTCTCTAGGAAGAGAATTGTCTAGCCAGATCGTGAGAAATACGAGGTGCCCAAAGAACAACACATCTGGCTGGGTTTTCCAACCATGGTATAGACTCGAAAGAATTGACAAGCCATCTTCTATGTGGTTGACCTTGCAGGAGCTGAGCCCTGCCCTGGCTATAAATGACCGTTGAAACTCGCCCTCTGTTCTGGGATTGGAGTTAAGAGGCGACCCTTGTCTACAGCACTCTCCAAGTTATTGAGGACGAGTAACTCCATCTCTCGCTGTGTTTCAAAGGTATTGGTACCAATGTGTGGCACAATGAAAGCTTTTGGATTCTTCAAAAGTCCTTGATCGACCTTGGGCTCTTCTTCAAACACATCTAAACTGGCAGCAGATACCTTGCCGCTCTCCAAGGCAACCACCAAATCCGACTCTTTGATCAAGGCCCCTCGCGCCGTGTTGATAATGACGACCCCGTCTTTCATCTTGTCAAATTCTGGAGCGGAGATGATATGTCTGGTCTTGGGGTTCAATGCTAGGTTGAGACTGAGGATGTCTGACTGAGCCAGTAATTCATCAAAGGTGACGTAGCGGGCATCACCCTCGAGGTCTTTCGATAACTGGGATCGGTTGTGGTAGATGATGCTAGCGCCAAAAGCTCGAGCTCGGTGTGCAAAGGCCTAGGTAGTGGGATTAGCGGTCAACAATGCATAAACAGATGGTCAATTGACGACTTACTCTGCCAATACCGCCCATACCCAAGATACCAATAACTTTGCCCTTTGGATCATGTCCAATTTGTGTGTTGCCTCTCCATTTCCCCTCCCGGATGGCGGCCAAGGGGGTCCATGCCTGCCTTAGAGCTCCCAACATGAGAAAGATGCCGACGTCTGCAGTGGCATCATCGACGGCAATTGGGGTGCTGGATACCTTGAGCCCCCTGGAAGTGACCGCGTCCACGTCGATATTGTCATACCCGGCACCATTGTGACAGATGTACTTGAGACTCGAGGGTAATAAAGAGACCAACTCTTGGTTGAAGGGACCGGTTTGGGAGACGGATGTATTGGATCGGTAGAGAGCAACGACATTGTCATACTTCCCGGCCCGTAGGTTCTGGAGAAATTGTTGTCTATCACCGGTGCGGTATTCTTGGAGGGTATATTTTTGGCCAAGGTCGGACCATTCTTTATTTGCATGAACGAGATCTCCAATGAGGAGAACAGTGGGTTTTGACATGGCTCTTGGAGGAGGATATCCGGACGGAACGTGGTCAAGTCTTGTGAGGTTGTGCAGAGGGTTTTAAAAAATCCAAGAGGAACAGGGTCAATCAACCAGGGTGGCAGAGGCAATGTATGAAGAATGTATATGTGAGTGGAAATACGGATAGAATGGCAAAGAAGATGGTGCTACATGCGAGAGAGACGGAGCCCTTTACTGGTGCTTAGGTGGACAATCGAGGGAGACAACATATATGTAGTCGGCTATTGAGGATGGTGTACTTCAATATTGAGGCAAAGCACACTCAAAAGTTCGCATGATGGACGCGACAGGACGGTGTCATGAGTGCCCTGTAAGAGCGAGTGTTGAGGCTGAGGGGCAACAGGAATGACGAGGAGATGGAAAAGTTTCCCCGCACCTGCCGTAAACCGAATGAGTGAAATTCAAATTTGAGTGGGGGTTGAGACGAGTTTAGAATCCGTTTCGGGGGTGAGGGGGCACGAGGAACATGATGGCCCGGTGGGCGAAGAGCCAGGAACAGGGCGCGGCTGTCCAGCCGGCTGGCCGAGGGACCATCCCACAGGCCACCCAGCGCCGATAAGCGGTCAAAACCCTAGGCACTAGAGGTTACCGACCTAGGTATGTAGGGAGGCTTAATAAATACATCCACAAGTATTAAAACACCAATGTGATGCTCTGCTTATTAGGCTCTCCTGTACCGTATGCATCCTCCTTGATAGGGTTGAGACTCTTCGACATCAAGGTAGGTAGATATTGCAAGGGTGCCTGACACATGGTGGGTTATTTGTTCTATACCCGTTGTACCTAAAGATGGTCGAAATGCGGCAATTGAGTTCCCGTGATCTCCTGCTGGTCGTGCCAAATGCCGATCTCCGTGGCTTCCACACAGAGGTTTGCGTACCTTAGAAGGTATCTTAGGCAATCAGGTTCACATTCGCAGGGGAGAATATCTCCACCAAGAACACCAAAGTCATCCTCACCCACCCCGCGGGGGTCTCGAGTCTTGCTGCTATCCAGACATTTTATTACCCGTTCGTTAAGTTGGGCTTTGGCAGTCATTTCCTTTATTTTTCTCAAAACTCCAGCTCTCCACATCACACATTGTCCTTGTCAGATTGTTGACCCCAGACTTGGCTCTAATTCTGCGTACAACCGTGCCGCCCACATCCTATATCGTCTCCCAATGCCGTGAGGGTAATGGTCACCTTCTAGAGTTCCCAAACTCCACTGTTTTGACCACGCTGCCGTTGTCACGTTCTCTCTATACAATATGTCTACTGCGGCACCAGTCGAAGCTTTGGTCCTTCATGGACCCAAAGACCTCAAATTGGTGAGTCGAGACGAAACACTTTCATTGCTTGTCTCATGGTGGTTAGGAATCTCGCCCACAACCATCTCCTCAACTAGGTCATGTGCAGATTGCCATCAAGGCAACCGGTCTATGTGGCTCGGATCTGCACTACTATACCCATGGCCGCAACGGCAATTTCGTTCTTCAAGCACCTCTTGTCCTGGGCCATGAAGCCTCTGGCGTTGTCACTGCACTGCCACCCTCCCAGGACAACAACTCCAATGAAGACAACCCTGGCTCGAAGCTCAAGGTTGGCGACAGAGTAGCCCTCGAGGTCGGCTTTCCCTGTCGAACGTGTACCATCTGTACCACCGGCCGTTATAACCTCTGTCCCAAACTATCCTTCAGATCCTCTGCAAAGACATTTCCCCACGCCGACGGCACCTTGCAGACTATCACCACCCAGCCAGAGGCAATGTGCCATAAACTCCCCGACCATGTCTCCTTTGAACAAGGAGCTCTTGTCGAGCCCCTGGCCGTGACATTACATGCATTAAACAGAAGCCAGGCCGCAGGCTCGGGACCCGGGGTCCCCTTGGTCGGATCATCTGCGCTAGTGTTGGGCGCTGGGGCCGTGGGAATGCTAACCGCTGCGGCTCTCTCAGTAGCCGGCGTTTCTAATATTGTCATTGCAGACATAGATGCTCCCAGACTCGAGATTGCGGCATCACTGGCGGGAGGAAGGTTCAAACTGAAGACTCAACTCCTACCACGAAAGCCCGCAGCTGCTACGATTGAAGAAACATTTGCCGACGCTCAGAATCTTGCTACCGAGTTATCTCAGACAGCCGGATTGGATACTGGCTTTGACCGTGTCTTTGAATGCACCGGTGTGCCCTCCTGTGTTCAGATTGGTATCTTTGCCGCCACCCCGGGTGGGAAGCTCTTATTGGTGGGCATGGGCAATCCCACTCAGACACTCCCACTGGGTGCGGCTGCACTGCGTGAAGTGGACATTATTGGAGTGTTTCGATACGCAAATTGTTATCCAGCTGCCATCGCCCTCTTTGCCAGCGGCAAGTTGGATGGGGTGGCTGAGGATTTGGTGACTCACCGAGTTCCCCTGTCAAACGGTGAGAAGGCTTTTCGACTGGCTGCAAACCAGGGTAGGCCGGGCGAAGACGAGGGAAGAGTGCCGGTCAAAGTGGTGGTAGTGTCTTGAGCCTCGAGTACTGTACACTGCAGGTGTAAGTTAGGTAGTCAGCATCATGGTTACCAGGCACTTGTCCGCCCGTTGGTACCTTTGTAAGGCTGTGAGGGTGCCCAGAGTGTCAACCGGAAGATCAACACTTTCCGCCCCCAGCCAAGATCATTAGCGGGCAGATCTCCCTCCTACTTGTGGAGTAGTGCCTGCGGTTTAAGGTTGATGCATGGGGGCCAGGCCCTCTAACCTTCCATGTCTTCACTTCCTCTCCCTCTGTTGTCAAATTGTTCCTCTGTTCTTTGGAACCTTTGTCCCGTTGGTACTACTCAACCGCTCTGTCTGCCTGCTTGATGCTGCCACTAATTCACTAGGTACATGTTCATCGCCCCAAGCCATGGGGCCAGCATTAGTCTCCGGCTTCTATCCTCTTATTCCATGCTGGCCGGTCGATCATCCAAGGTCTCGTTGTTGATCATGTACTCATGCACTGTAAGTTGTCGCCAACCATGACCTAGCACGTTGAGAACAACCTACTTGGCACGCATGCAACCAACGAGGTCGTCGACAGGATGCCAATGTCAACTGCCCGCCGTAGCCTCTTTTTTCTCATATGCTACATACATATATCGATGAAATCACTAGGATCCATCAAATGGCTGCACTTTGTTCGACCTCCATCTTGAGCCTCGTCCCCAACCTCTCTCAGTTGCCCTACAGAGCAGATGAATATCCCTAGGAAACCTGTCCCATCTGGCGTCAGTGTCACCGAAGACCCTCCCTCAAATTCGAAACCAGTTCCCTCCACCCCGATGCGACAAGGCCATGTAGAAAAACCTCCAAAGCCTAACCCACCAGCCAAACCGTTGGTTGGTGGGACACAGAAGAAAACCTCGAACAATATCTTTCGCTCCTGGAAGTGGCAGATGTTAGTTTGGCTCTTGGCTACCAGCATCATAGCCACCATCCTTGTTCTGTTTGCCGTCTACCAGAACAGACCACTTTCTGACTTCAAGAGTAAGGTTCAACTGACAACAATTGTCGCCATCGCCTCCGTGGGTGCTCAGTCCGCTCTCCTCTTCCCAATTTCGTCATGCTTGAGTCAACTGAAGTGGCTACGACTACAGACAACAAGACCACTCTTAGACCTGCAGAGATTTGATGATGCTAGCCGCGGGCCTTGGGGGAGCTTGCTGATGCTGTCTAGAGGGCGATCTGGGTATCTCAAACACTGAATACTTTGCCGCTGAAACATGCTTACCGTCAATCTAGTTTTCTCGCTCACTTCGCTGCTCTCATCACATTGGTTATGCTTTCACTGTCTGCTTTTGCCCAGCAGGCGGTACTATTGTCCAACCACTGGGTTGAGGAACCCGGTGGCTCAATCCAACGCATTGTCCATTTTGGAACTGAAAACGTCAATGATACGAGTGGCCAGATGAGATTGAGTATATCCTCCATCCTCTGGGACCATCATCAAGTCGCTAATCGGTCTAGGTAACCTCCAGAGCGGGGGCTCGTCGTCGGGGCTCATATTCATGTTCAGTGGTGTCACTGCTCCTATGGTCTCTGCAATCAATGCTGGCATCCTTACTCCTGGTGCAGATCCCTCTGCAATTGTCGGAAACTGTCCGACCAGCAACTGTACCTGGCCAACGTACACCTCACTTGCCATCTCCTCTTCGGTTCAAGATATCACCCCTCAAATACAGGTCGCCGAGGACAATGATGGCCGCCAGACGTTCGCTTTGAGAAAGTACTACATGACTCCCTACTTTGCCAATATGTCCGCGGGACAATTGGTCTATATCGGCTCCAATGGCCTCTACGGTGTAAATAACGACCCATCCGATCCCGCCAACATCGTGCGCTTTGACATCATGTTCTTCAAAGACGTTGACAAGTCCGGCTCAGATACTGCCAACATTGACCCTCAGCGCGATCTGGTGGCATTTGAAGGTCGACTGGATGTCTGTCTCCAGACCTTCAAAACCTCAACCGTCAATACGACGACCACGAGCAAGTTGCTTCGCACATACCGCACCTCGGAGCTGGAAACGAGCTTTAATGGTACCACCACAGACGACGCCGGACTCTACGAGGTCTTGACCTTGCGTACCTTGCGAATTCCTGGTGAGGAGGAAGAGTATGTCATGGGTCAAGCGGCAATCTCCACTTTCACCAATTACCTGAGCATGTTGATATTCTGGGGATATTCCCTCAAACCACAAGGGACCGGCTACGGTGCCATGTCATACGATGGCAGTACGCTGAGATTTACAGACACCTTTCAATACACATATGTCAACGAGGCCACTCGTGGTTTCACGGATGCCATCTACGCTGACGGTCCCGTCGTCACTGGCAATGGCCAGGCAGCGGTTGAGGCTCGCCTCTCCAATCTGGCCACCAGTATGACCAACACCCTGCGGAGCTCCGCTAATCAACCTGCATTTGCCAGTGGCATAGCGGCAACGTTGAAGACGTACATCACGGTCAACTTCTTGTGGATGATCCCGCCGCTTGCCCTCGACCTCGCCACGCTAGTACTGTTGATTTGCACCATCTTTGTCACAAGACGAAGCAAGACCCCTGCATGGAAGTCATCTCAACTGGCCGTCCTGTTTGCTGCGAACCACAACTTGGATGCAAAACACCAGCTGATTGCGGATGTCAATTTGTTGGAAAAGGAGGCGCGAACTGAATATGTTCACATGAGCAAGGCCCCTCTCCCGGAAACCAATCAAGACTTTAGCGAGGGGACGTGGCAGATGGAGTTTGAGACTAGGGCTGAACAAGGTAGGTGACCATGAGATATCGTAACTCATGGGTATATATAGTATTCATGATAATGATTAGACCTGCTTTTGCACAATGTCCTTGCCACGGAGTCCTTTTGATAGTCAGTACATTCCTAGTCAAGTGGTCTTCATAGTGGTGAGGTGAGGCGTAGGGTTGAGTGTGCTAGGCGCTACTGCTGCATTCGGCTTAAGCCTTATGACGATGTGGAATGACGTTTGTACAAGCAGCAGTTGCGCCTGCACCCGCCAAAGCAAGCCTAAAATAGTCACCAAACTCAGAATTCTTGGGGGGTCCAAAAGAACTGCGCTAACCGACTGACAACGACGGGACGCTACCAACAACCTCGACTTTTGATGAGTCTCTAACTCGATCCCCTTGCACCTACATGAGAAAACCTTCACATCAACAAGTATGACGACTCGTCAAATCCTAGTCACAGGCGCGACCGGCAAACAGGGCAAGTCTGTAATCCAAGCTCTTCTCGCCCATCCACCTCCCTTTGACCACCAGATCCTCGCCCTGACCCGGAAATCCACCTCACCCACTGCCAAAGCTCTAGCCACCAATCCCAAAGTTACCATCATCGAAGGAGACCTTGAAAATGCAGGAGAAATCTTTACTCAAGCAGGGGGCGTCGATTCTATCTGGGGTGTCTTCCTCATGACCCTCCCCTCGATGAAAAAGGGTCCAGAAAATATTGAGACACGACAGGGCAATAAGCTGATTGACGCCGCCATCGCGCATGGCGTACGACATTTGGTTCTTTCGTCGGTCGATCGTGGAGGGTCAGAAAAGTCAGAGATTGACTCGACAGATATTCCCCACTTCATTTCAAAGGTACGGACACGTCCAACGAATCCGAGCCGCGACAGGCCCAGCTGACTGATATGTTTAGTTCAACATTGAAAAACATCTCATAGACAAGGTGCGCGAGACCCAGACGACCTATACCATCCTACGCCCGGTGGCATTTATGGACAATCTCACTCCAACTTTTGGTGGTCGAATGTTCGCAGCGATGTGGGAGAGCATGGGAACGAAACCGTTGCAGTTGATCTCGACCAAGGATATTGGAGTCTTTGCCGCCCAAGCCTTGGCCGCTCCTGAGACGGACGAATACAAGAATACTGCCATCAGTCTGGCAGGAGACGAACTCACCCAAGCTCAGGCCAATGAGGTCTTTTGGAAGGTGTTGGGCCGACCCATGCCCAGGAGCTATGGATTCATGGCCACGCTCCTTCAAAGAGCCATCCCTGAACTAGGCACCATGTTCCGATGGTTTGTCAGTACCGGTTACGGCGCAGACATCACCCATGATCGACTTTTGTACAGCGGCCTCCATGATTTTGAGTCGTGGCTGCGGGAAGAGAGCGGATTCAAGAGATGAATATTTCACAGAGTTGTACCGTTTAGCGTCATTCTTTGGCCTCAAACTCTAGGCCACACACAGCCTTGCACGTGGATGATTATTCTTTGCAGACGGTACATTCGGTCCAGTCTTGTCCATACCCATGTACTATTACGACAGGCCTCGCTCCTCGCTTGGATATGATGCAGAAGTCACGTTTATGGCTACTCTGCCACTACATTGGTCCAGGTCCGATCTACAGCTTCAAAAGAAATACGGCGTCTTGGATATCTAGGCACTTCACCCTTTAATCATCTGTCCATCCACCCTCACCTTTTGTTCGCGCGACCTGTCAGTTGAGCCACAGGTGACATCATGTCAGGCCAACCTAAAGTGTATTCCATTTGTACCCATATGCGTACAGGCCTGACCAGGTTCCCCATACCGCAGTCTCGACTTCCTATTACCGAACGTATATTCCGGGCACCCCTGTCCAGGCCAGCCAGGTTGTTTGACGATTCGTTTGCAGTATGCTCCTTCAGGAACAGTCAACTGGCCTGAAGGAAAGATGCTTGTCAAGGCCAGGGTGGTTCGGAGGGGTGCAGGGCTCAACTTCGGCGTGACCAGTAAGGCTGAGAAGCACAGACGAGGTCGCGGTGCAGGTTAAAGACGCGACTAAGAGGGTGAGGCTGAAATGGCAATGATTGGCGGAGAGCCTCGCGAAAGGTGTGGCTAGTGTCATTCCAGTACGCGCTAAGCTCCATTTGAAACACGCGCTAGTGTCTGAGGAAGGAGCCACGAGAACCCAGGGAATTTCCCTCGCATTTCTTCCACCCTTGGCCCAACGCACCATCGCCAGTCAAACCCTCGACGACCCTCTCACGCTCTTCTTCACGGGCCTGACACTTGCCCTCCATCTTTTGACAGCTGCCCGTACCCTCCCATGCCTCTCTCTGGAGATGAAAGGGGCCTCAGGACCACCACTGCTTGCATACAACGTTCTTTGTGACACATTTATTGCGCAATACCTGACACCTCTAAGACTTGCCAAACCTCTTCTCGGCACGCGACCATAGTCTGGGAGGCTGGGACTTGGATCCTGATCATCACTCGCCGTAAATTCATGTTCACCATGAGAGTCCATTGACAATTGATTTCGAGAGGTGAGAATCAATCAAACGGGGACAATGACAACAGCAGGTAGACACGAATCCGACTTTTCCGTAGCACGAGGCTATTCCCACGGCGAAATCAAAATGGCCCCCTCGGCCCCCTCGGCCCCTTCGCTCCCCTCCGCTGCACCCTTATCGTCTTGGATCTCGAGATCTACAAATTTCCCGCACGAACCAAGCTGCAACCCACGCCCTGGTCTCCACGCGAGCTCGCTCAGGGCGTGAAACACCAACCATTTCAGACCCAGACCCATGTTGGCACCTTGACTGTCGGCTGCTGGGCTTTCAGTGGCTGCATCCTCACAAAGCTTGTATGACTGCCACTGTGTTACTCAGCTGTCGTGCCCGTCTATCCTCTAGATGGCATGGCCAACGTTCATCCCGCACACTCGTTCCCCAACCAGGGGTCTCGTCGGCCCATGGGCATGGATCAAGGCTGCTCGGATCAAACGTTTCCATCTTCTCCTTGCGCTTATGATGTCGATCGGAAATCCCCATAACCATGACCCACCATCCACTTCCTATCCAACAGCTTTCTCGTCTTCGTGAATACTTGCCACGCTCACTGCCTTTCTTGCATCTGGTCGCAACGGAGGTGACTTTCGCGCCCGACCGCAGCCTGTCGCCTTGCTATTGTTCCTTGTTTCCATTGTTCCTTTCTGCTCAACGCCAGTGAACAATTCATCGCACAATGCTTGCGCCAGCATTGTCCATTGCTTTGTTCTAAGTATCAATGCATACTTTGTCACTCCTTTGAGAACTCCAACTTTACCACTCCTTTGATCACACCTCGCGGCAGTGCCAGCACTTGTTTAAATCCACACTCTTTTCACCTGTTGAGACTCTGGCAGCAAACAACCCATTATCACTCAAACACGAACAGTTCCGGAAACACAATTCAAAGCGATACTTCTCGTCTCACCTGCTTCTTCCCGATCCTGTTGTTCCTTATCCTTGGACGAAAAAAGATTCCAGCTAGTCTCGAATCCGATATACACTTTTTCCACCACACAAATGCGTTCACAGATCTCTTTCCGCGGCACCCTCTTTGGGCTGCTCGCCATTCCTCGTCTCGCCCTGACGCACACTTGGGTCGAGCAAATGATGGTCATTGCCCCCAATGGCACTTTGGTCGGTCAGCCTGGCTACCCCCGAGGCAACGTCCTACGTGGAACTCCTGCCTTTGGTGATCCGGCAATGGTCAATCTCATCCCTCCGGATGGTCGCCCCATCAATGTCATCGAACCTTCCGACCTCATGTGCAAGGTGTCCCAAGTTTCCCAGAGCCAGACCGACGGAAGCCCTCGGCTGCAAGCTGCCCCCGGTGCCGCTGTCGCCCTCCGATTCCAAGAGAATGGCCACGTTACCCTTCCAGACGGTCAACCTGGCAAGCCACCAAATCGAGGAACAGTCTTTGTCTACGGGACTTCTCAGCCAAGCCGAGATGATTCTTTCCTCGCCATCCATCGTCAATGGACCGCTGATGGTTCTGGCGGCGATGGCCGTGGTGTCCTCCTCTCCACACGAAACTTCGACGACGGTCAATGCTATCAAGTCAATGGAGGTCCCTTGTCCCATCAGCGCCAAACTGCATTTCCTCACCAGTTCAACCAATACATGGGCAATGATCTCTGGTGTCAACAAGATATCCTGCTTCCAGCGGATATTCCAGTTGGCCAGCCTTACACCCTGTATTGGGTCTGGGATTGGCCTACTCTCCCTGGCACTCCCGGATATCCTGAAGGCAAACAAGAAATCTACACCACCTGCCTCGATATCGATATTGTCGCTGACTCTGGAGTCGAGGTCTTCAACAAGGCTCAGGGCTCTTCTCCAGGCTATGTCAACCAGCCACTGGATCAGGCTGCTGTCAAAGCACAAATGGACGACATCGCCAATCCTACTGCGGTGACAGGTCAGTTTGTTCCTTTCTCTAACGCGCCTACCCAGTCACAGCCCGTGGCCGCTACCGCAGCAACACCTCCACTCGATTCCACTTCTACCATGCCAGTACTGACAAGCTCTCCAGGACCTTCAATCCCGTTCTCTGCCTCGGCGACTGGACCGGTTGCTGGAGCGGCTAGCGAAGCTAGTGCCTTCGAAGCCACCGCAGTGACCACCGGAGACCTTGATTTCTTGACCGTTCACACCGCGTCATCGGCCGGTTTTGGCGTTGAGACCCAAACTTTCTCAGTCCTGCCCATTGGGGAGACATCGGCTCCTCAAGGAAACGGAAACGGAGGTTTTGCGTTTGGAAATGGGAACAGAGGATCGGGCAATCGAGGTGCGTCTTCACTCGACGAAAGCTCCACCCTGAAGCCACAGGTACAAACAGTCGCGCTAACACTCCTCATCGAAAATGTAGGCAACCAAGGCCCTCAGGTTACGCCGGCGCCAAACAACAATCAAGCTGGTCTTCTGACCGTCACTGAATATGACCCCGTCACCGAAACCATTTACCAGACCGTGTATGAGACTCGATACACGAAACGCGATGCTGGTGAGTACAATTCCTTCTCGTCTTCTCCCAACCCCACCGTGCTAACCACTTCGACAGCGCCCTTGGTCACTCCTGCACCAGTCGTCAAGGCTCGGTCGCCAGAGGCGCAACCGGAGGAGCACAGCACTGCTCATTCAGCATTCCGTCTACGTGCACGGAACCCTTTTATCTGGCTTGGGTGGCAACAGGACTCGACGGCGACGGTTTCCTCCTCATGAGCAATAAATGGTAGGATCTTGGATCACGGGTGATCTTGACATGAGTTACGCATCTTTTAAGGCCATGTTCTCCAACGCTTGAGCTGGGCATCAAGGGTCATGGAGATGGCCAAACTTATGAACCTGTAGATAAGAAAGAACTAGGGGGGTTGGTTTTGAATTCGCGACGAAGACGTCATTTTGCACATAGTTATGCTTGCCAGCTACCTTGAGTGCTGACAAGAAACAAAATTTTTGACCCATGAAATACCAGATCCAAGACAGTGATTGCTCGAGCCATGTAGGGTCACCGGTGGACTGGACTGCCCACTGGCGATCTTCCTCCAGTGTTGGGTGTGGTAGATGGTCGTCTGATGGCTGGTCCAGTGATCTAACCATCTTTGTAAATGCCTTAGCCACATATTGTCCAGGAGGCAAGAACGACCGAAGGCACTCCAGCTGCTGCTGCTGCCACAACAACTTCGTTCCAATTTTTCTCTTTTCTCTTTTCTCTTTCTTTTTTGTCCATTCATCAACACAATGAATCTATTAATTTTCTTGTCGAATCTAATCTTTCTGACCAGCTCTCCTTGATGGCTGCTCCTCAGTTCATACACGACTCCTCAATCTCAGAGCCCCACCTTTACCCATTTCAACACCGCCCTCGCCTTTGTGCCGTCCTATCGAAAACATCAGCTTGGCTGGCACATTCGACCTAACGAAGGAAGAAGCAATCCTCAACGTACCTTGAGAGTATACTCATGGACTGGCTGCAAAGTGAGAAAATCCCGCCCATCCTCCGTCGAGTGGTCAGCAAGACGAATCTGATCCCCACCAATCCAGGCTGGATTGTGCGCAATCTCCACTCTGGTTTTCCACAAGAGACCTCCATCCTCCCTTTCAGACAAAGTCATGGGTCCCCCATACGACGTCAACGATCGGCCAATCCGCAACACCTCGGCATCGGTGGCATCCTTCCACTCTCCAGTTCCGGCCTCCAGCGGCGCCAAAGCTGATGGGGCGATCAAGATGGCCGAGACATAGCCAGTCTGCGATATCACCACTCGTCCAAACGGATTGTCGCCATGTGGCTTATGGAAGACAGTTGTCGAGGTCGGATCAATAGGCAGCATCTCCCAGGATATCAGTTTCCAAGCCCCAGCTATCGTGCTTGCGTACTTGGAAAATGGGACCGTCGTCATTTTGGTGGGTTTGAAGTGGGTAAGTTCAAGTTACTGCTTTGGCTTGCTCGAGATGCTCACAGCATTTGTACACAATCTGGTTCTATTAGATTTAGAATTTCCCGGCAACTAGGTCACCTTTGCACTAACCCAACTCGATCATCCCTCGGTGTTGCGACAGAGAAGACCATCTCACCACAAGGCTGTTTCCTCATTCCCCCTCACAATCTTATCCCTTGTTATCCCCACACTGTACAACCGGCGGCCCGCGGGGGTTTTCTTGAACAAGCGAGAAGCGGGGAAATCCAGATGGCAAACTGACTCCTCAGTTTCAGATGACGATGCAGAAAAGCCACCTACCTCTAACCATCCTGTCCACCTCTACAATACCAGCCGGAACGAACCGTAATTAGGACTGAGTACCTCCTTGATGATTCTCGAGACTATCACCGAGCCTCTCAACCAAACTGCGAGACTTTCGAAGTATCCGCTTCGAAATTCTAGCATTCAACAACCCGTTTCCCCACCCCGCAGCGTATAGAACGGCCGGCACAGGCATACCAACATCACCAGCAACACAATCATCCAATCACCATGGCACCTTCCACCATGCGAGCTGTCGTCCTCAAGGGAGATTATCAAGTCTGTCCACCTCTGCCTCTTGACTGGCCATCAGCCTGGCTGTTATGTAATGTAGGTATCAATCAAAGAAGCGTGCTGACCACTTTTGGTCTCCATATAGGTCGCCGTCGAAGATCGTCCTTACCCAAAACTTCAGAAGCCCACTGACGCCATTCTCAAAGTCACTTCCACAGCACTCTGTGTAAGTCGATCACGTCCTGTTGGCCTTGCCATATCAAAAAACCCATGCTGACGTGGCGGGTGTGACAGGGGTCGGATCTCCATTTTTACCGTGGTCATCTTAAATGCCCACCCGACTTCATCTGTGGTCATGAATTTGTTGGCAGCATCGTCGAAAAGGGTGACGCGGTGAGCAACTTCGACATTGGTGATAAGGTCGTCGTCCCTTTCTATACGGCTTGTCAGGAATGCTACTACTGCGTCCGTGGCCAAGCAAGTCGCTGCGCCAAAGGTGAACTATTTGGCAACTCGGTACCTGCCAATACTGTCGACGGCGGACAAGCCGAGTATGTGAGAGTGCCTCTGGCCAACACCACTCTTGCCAAGGCACCAACTGGTAAGAGCGAAGCATTCCATGCCCATGAGGATCTGCGAGTCCTTACTGACCTCCGAAAGACATTCCTGAGGAGATGTTGGTGCTGATGGCCGATATTTTCCCTACTGGATATTTCGCCGCAGCGCGGTTTCTTAAAGACCTACCACAGCGGGATCGCGACGAATACACTACGGTGGTCATCGGATGTGGTCCCGTTGGCATCTGTGCCATCACTTGCGCCCTTACAATGGTCAAAAAGGTTTATGCCATTGACTCGGTCCCGGAGCGCCTGGCCGAAGCCGAAAAGATTGGCGCAATCCCAATCAACCTGAACGACAATCCCGTTGAGAAGATCAAGGCCGCAAGCGATGGTCGCGGCGCCGATGTGGTGCTTGAGGTTGTCGGTCATGCTGATGCTTTCATGTTGGCTTTCGACATGATCCGTCCTTGGGGTCAGATCAGCTCTATCGGTGTCCATACCGAACAAATCCCCCTCAATGGCCTGTTGTGCTATGGGAAAAATGTGACCATGTCATTTGGCCGTTGTCCTGTCCGAAGCATCTTTGAGGATGCGCTTAAACTGCTGGTCCAGGAACAGAAGAAGATTGCTTTCTTGTGCGGAAAGACCATGAGTCTCGAAGATGCCCCTCAAGCTTATAAGGATTTTGAAGCCAGAAAGGTTCTGAAGATCGTTTTCAAGATGCCTGGAGAGGCCACTGGTCAAAACATTGCGGATAAGGTCTAGTAGTACTAGAAGTAGGTACTAAGTTAAGGAATCCCCATTACGGTGTAAACAGGAGCTTAGGGAAAGTACTAAGTAAGTAAGTATTTTACCTAGCATCCGTTTTTATACTTGCTTAGGCTCCAAAATCTATTAAGTTTAGTGCTTCCATATAGAAGGTGCTATAATTAATTAATTACTTATAGTACCTTAAGGACTTAGTTCTTACTGAATAGGTACTTAGGTACTAGTACCTAGAAGTTGGTAGTACTATACTTAGTATAGGATAGAAGGGTTAAAGTCTATTAGTACCGTAGGTAAGTACACAGCCCGGGCTGGCTCGGGCTGGCTCACTTTGGCCCGGTACCAGCTTAGGCTCAGCTCGGGCTAGCACTCTATAAAAGGCTTAAGTTAGTAAGTAGTACTTGTATACTAAGTACTTAGCTAGTACCTCGATATCAGTCTTAATCTAGATTGAGCTCGGTTTGAGTCTAGTTTGAATCTAGTTCGAGCCCGATCTGAGCCCGGTTCGAGCCCGATTTGACACTAAGTCAGAATTGATTTCAGGCTACAAAAAAAAGGACCACTCTATACCCGACATATAGCCCCGCATTCGCTAACGTGCCACAGAACAGCCTAAGAGAGGCTTAGCTCGCATCTTCATGTACTATAGAGACCTCCTAGACTCTTTTTCCCTAACCTCTTTTCGCACCTGCCGATTCAAAAATTTGCTGGTCGCGCCTTCCTTCTGCTCTAGATCGTGCCTTCCTCTCTCATACAGGCCTCAGTCGCACCTATCCTTTGTTTTGGAGGTCGTGCCTGCCATCCTGGTCCTTCAAAAATTTATAAGGTTTACTTAGTATTCATCACCCCCACTGACTTACCTACTTGTACCTATATAAATCTAGAATACTTACTTAGGTAATAAGTTCGTAGGTACCTCCTTACGTAAGTAGTAAAGTACTTACCTTATGTATGCAGACATTACTACAACACTTGAGGTCCCCGCGGCATTCAAATCAAAAAGCAAAAACAATCAACAGCCAGGATTCCCAAATGGTCACCCACTTTAGTACTAACTGACCGGCATATGGCTTAAGTATGGCTGAGCGAACGGGAAGCCCTGTTTTCCATATCCTATGGTCGATTGCGAGAGTAATTCCGTGGAAAAGAATTATATTGTGGGGAGATAATTTTTCAGCCCCCAATTCCTAACTAGGTTAATACTTAGCACTAAGTACTTTAGGTAGCACTCCTCGAATTCGAGGCGCCTAAAGGGCTTAACCAAGTACTTTTGCTTACGTGAAACTCGGAACACGCAAAATCCACATCACAACGTCTCTAAGTAGACCAAATATAGACAACCATCAATGGCGACGAGCCATGGACCATGACACTCCATTTCTCATTTAAAGATCAACCGCTCGTGTCGCAGTCACTTCTAGCAGCCATGCCGCAAAACTTTAGAACTAGGTACCTAGGTTTCAAGTTACAGAACAAATTTCGAGTTCTTCTCACGGGGAATATGAAGTCTCCCAACGAGTGGGCAAACATCAGCTGGAAAGAGGATAAATTCTGAGAGACTCGAGCTCTTACAAATCGGCGACATCACAGAGGGAGAAAAGACTTGAAGTGATTCGTGGCAATTCCAAGTTCTCTGTGATAAGCGCGCCTAATGTTCCCATGTGGGGATTGACGTCGACCTTGATGACGCCGTGGTTTCCAGGCCATTCTTCGTGGGTCGCATCTACTCTTGCGCCGTATCCGCCTATGCCTGTTGATTGTCTGATTCCCGGTGCAGAATAAGAAGACCCCAGCTGTGGTCTCCACTTTTCAATGAGCAAAGCGGAAGTCCAGTCGCTTACTTCCAGCATCTGTTGTCGTGGCGAGGTATTTAAGTTGTTCCTGCAAGAATCCTAGTCAGCATTTTAATGCATCCATCTTCGATGAGAACTCGCCTCCTTTGTCATAGCGTCCCAGATTTTGCTTCTGCTGTTGTTGCGCCAAACATAGTATGCCTTCACTAAGCCATACCAGACAATCGTAGTGCCACAGATGATGGCCAATTGACGATTACCTCGTCGATCTGTTGCACGAGGAGTTAATAAAAAAACGCTTTGTGGCCAAGGATCTTGTCCCTCAAATTCAACTCACAAAGGGGTCTGTCGTCAGCACGATATATGTTTGACAGTGTGATGCCTCCCGTCTGAACGAACATGCTGTTTGAGAGATTAGCCCTTGACAACCCCGTGAGGTTAGGGGCTGACTTCTACTCATCACGTACTTGTACAGGGCCGCTGAGACCGTTCGAGTCCTGACCGTGTTTGAATTGCGGCTACACCAACCGACCTGTAAGGCATGTGCTATAACTCTATCAGCATGGTGGGTCAAGCGTTACACACTTCACTTACGGGATGGCCATGACAGCAACACCGTGAGAACAGCATATCTTGCCCATTGCGAGGCATTGTCTGGAAGTACTGCTATTGCAATAATGTTGGGCAAAATCCAAAGCTGCCCGATGGCACCCATTAGTGCTCTCTGGTTAAAGGACTCAGAAGCATAGGTCAGGATGAGTAACTGCGAGGTAGATAAGTAAAAAGGTGGTTCAGGCTTCAAGGATCCGACATACCGTCACAGCACCAATGAATTGCGCCGGGATGGATAGCAAGTTGGCATCAAAGGTGTCAAAGCCAAGATTTCGCAACGTGAGAGTAAGATACTGATCTGGTGGCCCTGCCGGGATATTGAAAATGAGCCCGATAAGATAGATCGGCCATAGATCGTAGTCTGTGAAGGACTTCCAGAGCCCCTTGAAATCCACAGCCTGCCTATTATGCATGTCCGCCTTACTTGGATCATCACGTAGGATCCTGTTAGTCATGATAACCTCTTCCCGTTCTGTGAACCACCCTTTAGGTCGGTACCATGATTTTGTCTGCGTGGGCGATGCGGCCATCATAAACCACGACCACACGCCTATAGCGAGGGTGAACAAACCTTCGATAAGGAAGAGCCATCTCCAACCCTCCCGTCCGTGATGGCCCCGAAGTCGTAGTAGTCCAAAAGCAAGTATAGGAGCAATAACATCGACTACCCGTAATGTGACCCAAAACAACCCAAGGCGGAAAGGAAGCTCGGTCGACTTGAAGAAATAAGACTGAACACTCTCGTTAGACATTAACCAGGGTCAATGATCTCACGTTGCTTAAGTTTTCATACCAAATAAAGAATGACATCAGGAATGAAACCTCCTTGAAGCAGCCCCAGAAGGGCACGGCATGTGAGAAAGCTGGCTCTTCCACTGAGCCAGAATTGTGACGCCGCGACAACACTCCACAAGACCATGATCGTGGGGATCTGCAAAACATTAGAGCAATGTCTCAGTTGCAGGTCTGGGTCCCTTCGGTCTATCATACCCATCTGTCAGGACCTGCCATGAATTAGTAACAATTGCGGCATATCAGCAAGAACACACTCACCAAGTTTCTTGCTAACCAGCTGAGAAGGAAGTTCAGCAGACAAAAATGCTAGCCGAAAGACCGTATTGCCAAGGTTGAAATCTATGAATTAATGAGAAACTGTATTTCTGTCGGAATTTTAGAAAGATCAAACCATTTGTAGACAGGTTCAGATCCTCGAGAAAGTTGTCGGTGTTTGCTTGACTGATGTTGCCTCTGTCTAAATCAAGAGCGAAAAATGCTATACAGGCCCATAACGTAATTTTCCAGTCGATTTTGTTAATCAGTGGCTGTCAATATAGTACTTTGTCAGTATGTCCTTGATTTGGACTCAGGATCTCAGTATCGAGGAAGGTTTCCTGGTACTAACCAACTCTTCAGCCCAGGTCCACCTGGCACTTGGGTCAAAGCGATGGAGATTCTCGTACTTCGGAATAGGCTGGAAATATTTAGCCGCTTCTGGATCATCGTATACACTGGGTTGAGTTGCAATCTGATCTAGGTCACGATGTTTCTTCCTCCTAAAAAGTGTGGTGATGGGCAGAACGGGAGGCTCAGTCTTCCGGAGTTCTTCAGCATGCCGATCAAGAATACGCTCTCGAATCGCTTGTACGTCCTCATCGGAGGCTGAGCTCTTTTTCTCCAACGTGACTGATACAGGAGTCAGAACAGCATTTCCCGCAGGTGGGGTGAGGCCAAGGTCTCGTTTCTCGATGTCCGTCATATTGATCAATTCTTTGGGTTGAAGAGTACTATGAAACGATTTCCAACTCAAGGGGACGGCATTTGCTATTTATGCAAGTATTTAAGTACCTAATGAAGTCAGTACTTCCTATCTAGTGCAATTCTTCGGAAGTGTCGTGATCCAGGGGACGTATACAACAAAGGGATATGCACATTGCGTAAGGACTCGGATATATGTCGCAATGGACATGTTCGTCAATGGCAGTGGCATTTTTCCCTGCGTAGCATTGTGTTTGTGCATAATGAATGTGAAGCCAAGAGGTTTATCTCACGACAAGAAGCACGTAAGACAAGATGTGGTACAATTTGAAGCCTCTCGGAGAGGAGTTTGGGATATACCAAGAAATTGGCATGGGTGTCGCAATGTCGGGCATGATGACGAGCTCACTACTCGTAGTGTCTCTTCGGAACCGACCTCTTACACGTTGAACAATCTTGACATATTGTTTATTCAAACATCGGTCTGACTACGAGGTGGATTCTTTACTCGACGAGAGATATTACACGAGATACTAATAACCTGGTTCTTAGTCGACAAGGACCCCACTTTGATCAGGCTATTGTTAACTGTGCAGGTTCAGTGCTGGCTACCATCCACGAACATCGAACTAACACGTCAATCATACTTCTCCACCGAACAAAGGAGCAAGGAGCGATCAAAGTATAATTTAGCTTCACAATTTATGAACGTCCCAAGTAATCCCGATGAACCTTCCACCAGGTCGTTCATCCGCTTATCGATGAATTGATAAACGCCCTGTCATCACGAAGTTGTCTCGCAAGAGCGAAGTCGCCAAAAAGCTTTACTCGACAGGACTGTTTTCATCGAACTTCAGAGCTCGCTCCCCTGCTCGTTGTCTCTTGCTCTCTACACTCCACACCAGTAGGCTGAGAGATGATCTCGTCACGTGCAGCAGCGACCTGACTCGTGACACAAGCAAAGTCTTCAGAATTAATCCCCTAGACATACCTACATACTTTTTCTCCTAGCTTGCAACCGGACGTACTATTGTGGAATGGGTTGATCCTCTCATAATTCATGCCTTTGGTTGACACCATGACCCTCTTACTGGCCGAAAGGTTAGGCACATAGTTGTTCAAGTCTCTCGTCCTGGAAATGAGATTCGCTCCTTACCTCAAAGAGGCCAACTCCTCTCAGGGATTGTCATGGACATGGCCAAACCTCCTTGTGACCCTTTTCACTAGCTCCCACAAGATCCACAGTCGGTCCATGGAGGAATACCAGGGTACATAGAGTAGATGACTGGCTGACTATCAATAGGTTCAAGTTTGAGACATGCATTCACGTAGTTCCAGGTCCATAAGTCTCCGGCCCATAAGTCTCCGGTCCACAAGTCTCCGGTCCATAAGTCTCCGGTCCATAAGTCTCCGGTCCATAAGTCTCCGATGATGCTGGGACTATCTATATTCGCCCATTGCTCCCCTTGATCGGTCGTGCTTGACCGTGAGCAGCATTGTACATTATGAATCCTTTGCAGAATTGCAGGGAGCCAGCCCTGGGGTGACCCAGCCAATTTTGCACATGCTGTGCCTGCCCTGAGGTGGCCATCTCGTCATCTATATGGCCATGGCTGCTGAGGAAACAGTCAGTACTGAAAGATACCCACCCTAGCCTTGCCTTTCATGTATTTCTGCGGCCCGATCGGTTCTAAATGCCGCCGTAGGCGACGTAGGACCATAGTCGGAGCCTTGGCCACGTGGAGGAGAGGCACGAGGCTTCAAGGTCCTCACTTTGACCATCACCAAATACTCTGAATATGGAGATTGCTGGCTACACCCTGGGATGTGCTGTAAGTGAGGACTGCACGTATCATGTGGCCCTAATGCTTTGATCCTCGCCACATATTTCGATTAGAATGGGTGCGGTGGACCTATATCTAGGCTTGAGGAGGCACGCGCATGAACAAAACTCTGCCCACGACTTAACGTTCGCCTCACTCCTCCCTGATACATTCAGTGCCCTAAAGCATCATCAACAACATGTCGCGATCGTTGACGGAGCCCGGCATTTCCCTGCCAAAAGAAGCAGCGTCAACAGAGTCTCCTAAAGAGAACTCCATGTCCGACAGGGCCATCCCTGACGCAGAGAAAATCCATCAACCCACGGGGGAAAAGTCCATCGGAGTGCAACGAATCGAAGGGATTGCAAGTATCCTCACCACGCCAACCCGCATCGTCCTCCTTGTGAGCATATTCTTCGTCGGATACGCCTACGGCTTGGATGCCACTCTGCGCAATGTCTATACGGCATATGCAACGGCCAGCTATCGGGAACATTCGCTCCTGTCAACGGTCTTTGTTCTTCGAAGAGTCTTTGCCGCTGCGGCGCAGGTTACCTCTGCTAGGCTCGCCGATGGATTTGGCCGTGTCGAGGTCATCGCGCTTGCGATTCTGTTCTACGAAGTCGGAACTATTGTTTCGGCCACGGCTACTAATGTTGATGCTTACGCCGCTGGCGCTGTCATCTGGCAAGTCGGCATGACTACCGTTCAAACCCTTGTGGCGGTCGTCATTGCCGACCTGACTTCAGCGCGAAGCCGTCTGCTGGCCATTTACGTGCCTAATCTCCATTTCGCCATCACTACCTGGGTGTCCGGGAACATCACCGAGTCAGTCCTTCGCGACACGACCTGGCAATGGGGCATTGGGATGTGGGGTATCATCTTCCTGGTCTGCGTGACCCCCCTGATCGCCACTCTGTTATTCCTGGACCGACGGGCGCGACGAAGCTCTCCCCAACGCTCCTCGGCCAAGAGACTCTCTCTAGTGCAGACCTTTTGGCATCTCGACATCATTGGTCTAGTTCTCCTCATCGCCATCCTGGCGCTCATCCTTACTCCGTTTACAATCGCCGGCGGCGCTCAGCGAACTTGGAAAACAGCTCACGTCATTGCTCCGCTGGTTATCGGCTTCTTATGCGTCCCGGTGTTTGTATTTTGGCAACGGAAGGCACCCTTCCCGGTCTTCCCATTCCGGTATATGAAGGACCGCGCCGTGTGGAGTCCGTTGGCGGTGTCGATTTTGACCAATTTTGCCTACGCCATGCAAGCTAACTACTTGTACACCCTGCTAATCGTCGCATTCGACTTCTCCATTACTGCCGCAACCCGCATCTCGACTCTATACCTCTTCACCTCCTTCATCACCGGTCCCATCTGCGGAGTTCTCGTCTACTGGATCCGGCACCTAAAGTACCTAGTCGTGGCCGGTACTGTCCTCTTTTTGGTGGCGTTCGGACTCCTGATTCGATATCGTGGTGATACATCAACATCTTCCCGCTCGGGAATTATTGGAGCCGAGGTGCTGCTCGGTATCGCCGGAGGTATGTTTCCGTATGCTGCATTGTCGTCTATGCAAGTCAGTCTTAAGCACGAACATATGGCAGTCATGACGGGTATCTTCCTGGCCAGTCATAGCGTTGGTTCTGCGCTAGGGGGCAGCGTTTCGGGGGCCATTTGGTCGCAGGTGTTGCCATCAACCCTGGCAGAGAATCTCTCATTCCAATCAAATACGACTTTGCCCATGATGGTATATGGCAACCCGTTCGCCATGGTCGCTCAATATCCCGTCGGCACGGAGATTCGAGCAGCTATTGTCAACAGCTATCGTCATGTACAATTGCTACTCTGCATCACGGGCCTGTGCCTCTGTATTCCCCTAATCGGGCTGGCCTTCTTGTTCCGTAATCCCAAACTCACCGACAAGCAAACACTTGCACCCGAGGATGACCAGCCAGCTGATGTCAGTCGTCGAGAGGGAAGAGCTGATTCGAGCTCGTGACTGCGGCATGCTGCTGGCAGAGCCAAGCCGGAATCTATGTGAAACCCTCGGTGGCGCCGCTTTGTCTTACGACTGAATCAGTATATAACTCTCATTTCGAAACCCATTCTCTTTCATTGACACGACTAGAACAGTCGCGAGAATCATCACTGGACTGCGTGTCTTTGACTTTTTAATTGCACAAGCTCGTCAGTCCTTAGAATCGACAATTATCAACCCAGGTTTTTCAGCAACTAGTGTGCATCTCATAGGACCAATCTAGGGGCAAGAAGCTATCTAAAATGTCATTTTTCCTGCCTGATTCCTGCCTACAGCGTTTTCCCTGTTGATTCGATGTTGTCTTTGCCATTCCTGCCTTCTCGAAGCCGCTCAAAGGACCATCGCACAGTGGAACTATCCTGACGATCATCTGCAAAAACCATCCGGCTCAACAAGACATCAATATCATTAGTTGGAAGTCGCATGCCAGACATGATTCTAGATCTTCGCTCAGCGGCCTTCAGCATGGCTGAACCGGGGCTGGGCGCCGCTTGCAGGTTGAAGCTGTACAGGAGGACGACGAGAGACCCGAGGATCATGTCGAAAACAAAGTGTCGACCAGGGCAGATCGAGCTACCGACTCCAAAGGGAGCGTATGAGCCTGGGTGATGGTCATGCAGCGATTTCAGCCATCGGTCCGGCCGGAACTGCAATACATCGGCTCCCCAGTTCTTCGAATTCTTGTGAATGGTCTCGGTCGGCACGTAGACGAGACTCCCAATTTTCAGCAAGCACCCATCAGCCGTCTCGAAATCCTCCACCACCTTATACGCCCTGGCCGAAGAGGCATGGAGGCGAAGTGCTTCTTGGTAAGTTGCGTCTAAGATGGGGCAGCGTTTTCGAGTCTGTCCAATGTCAAATCCAAGCTGGTGCTCTTCTTGTTGGACAAAGTCGCCTATCTCCTCGTCAATTTGTTCCGAAAAAGATCCATGTTCTGCTATTATAATATGTGCCAATATCCAGAACACGGCGGGGACGGTGTTGCGGAGCAGACCGTTGAGCAGCTCGAGTTCGGAGCGACCCAGATAATCGCGCGACAGGCCATATTTCTTGCTGGTCTCCCAGCGTCGACCCCGTCTTGTCGGGGATCTTCCAGGCATTCTCCCAGGACTTGTACCAGGCGTTCTCGAGCTTGAAAAGCATCGGGAACAATGTATTTGGGAAAGAACTGTAGCAGAAATGGCGAAATCTTGGAGTCCCAGGGACTTGGTCGGTGGGCGTGCCCTGGGCGCCAGCTGGCGATTCATGAGAACAAGATCTTGATGTATATGTTCTTCTGCCGGTTCGACATTCGACTCAAGGGAAATAGCTTCCGGGTGACGAATACAATCAACACCACTTCGGTGCCCCCAGAATCCACCTTGCTGTTTAGAAGAAGAACATGATGGCAAGGCAAATGGTTAGGGGCACAGGTAGTGAGACAATAGCGTGAAGAAATACGACAACGCGGCTTTTCTCAAGTCGACGAGGACTTCGTCACAGACGCTGAATTTCCGAGCATCACGTAGGTTTTCCTTTGGGGTATATCTCTGTCTCTGTCTCTTTTCATATCATAGCTATGAACAAGTCTTCCGAATCTACTACTGCTTCTTTCGCTCCTCCAAAAACGCTTTGATAGCTCCCTTCTGTCAATCGCCAACACCTTTGTACAAGGGTTGGTATCATCTCCCAGCCTCCTGTACACTGTAGAGTCATACGTTTGACTATAGATAGATGGGCTTCCCCCATAGCATCAAGGAAGCTCAAGCAACTCATTTCACCTCATCTTTGACACCTTCGCCTCCTTACTCCTGACTCTCTCCCTTAACAACCGGAGTTTCATCTCATTTGCCAGCAACAATTCCTCGCGGTACGCTCTCATCAGCAAAGCCTTGTTTGCTAAGAGGCTATCTGGTGGTAATTTGATGATTTTCTCAGCCATCTGCATGACCTCGGGCATCAGTCTATCCGAGGCGACGATATGTGTGATCAGCCCCACGTCTCTCAATTCTGCAGCTCCGATCCGCTCATTTGCCAGTAGCAACATGGACGCTCTCTGCCGACCTAGAATGCGAGGAAATGTGAAACTTGAGCATGCTTCGGCGCACACTCCCAGTTTCACAACAGGGGCAAAAAAATAAGCGGCTGGGTCGGAGTAGACGAAGTCGAATAATGCAATGCTCGATAACCCGTAGCCTACACCCGGTCCGTTGGCCGCAGCTATGAGAATTTTGTCGGTTGTGATGAGGAGCTGATGGTATGCGCTGAAACCAACAAACAAAAAGATTAGTGTGGGACTTGTGTCCTAAAGGGGTTGACCTAGAGTACTCTAATGTTTGAAGCCTTTCTTTGGGGATGATCGGCTCCTCTTCGCTCTCGTAGATACTAGTCATACTCTCTGATAGATCAAGACCTAGACATAAGGGCCCAGGGAGGTATCGATGAGCACGGGAGTTATATAGTAGCGGTTCAGGGAAGTAGGACTGGGACAAGAAGACTTGTTTTACCTGTTGTGAAGAATGTTCCTTGACCAGTCAGAACGATCACACGAACTTGGGGATGACTATCAGCCCGGCGGAAGCCTGTCAGCATCTCCTTTTCCCCGATTGTTCCCAGTCAATATCAGTAAGGCCTGCAAGAGGGGGCCACGGAGCAGGGATAGTAGTGTAAAGACTTGGAAGGTGTTCTGATTTAAGGCATTCCCTATTTCCGGCCGATTGAACCGGATCAAAGCCACGGCAGCATGTAACTGTAGAGAAATACAATCCAGAGCGGGAGGAAGGGGGGTGCTCATCGCTGATCAAGGGACAAGAAGAGAGAGTGTGCACTTGGATGGGCAGACAGTAATACCAGATTGTATGTCTTATTCCGGCACATTGATCAAATACTTGTAATCCTCGTTACTGGAACTCTGGACGCACCGATGTAGGAAACCCTATCATGCTCTTCTCCAGCATAGGCAGAATCCCACCCATGTACTCTCATCCTCACTCTTTCAAAGCTCGGAGATTCAAGAACAGCCTTTTCCCAACCGTGAGATTCAATCAATGCTCTGATCCACCACGGAATCCTATACTTGGAAAATGAAAAAAAAACTACTCGGTCTATAAACAGCAGGCTACGGAGCTCAATTTTCAGGCAGGTGATATGGATATAGCCGAGATGCCACTTATGAAGTCAACATCTACAGCTTTGCTGTATCACGTGTATCATCTTGATTATCCACAATGGTTGTCCGCATGTCCCACTACTGTCTCCTACCATACTACACCACCACCACCGACAAATTCTAGACTAAACCAAACCGCCCTTGGCGATGAATCCACCAATTGTTAGACGTTTGCCCATAAACATGGCCTCGAACTGGCGCTCAATCAAGACATAGTCAACATCATGACCGAGTCCAGCTTCACAGAAAAGTTTCCGCATGTCTTCTTCGCTGAAACCGAATTGGTTGATGGTTTGAAGCACCTGAGCCTGAGTAGAAGACAGCTCCACCTCAGGCGTATTCGTCGAGGTAGATTCGGGAACACGGTCCAGAATCACACACACGCCGCCTTTCCGGAGACATTGGGCCAGTCTGCTCAGCAGCTTCGCTGGGTCCGAAACATGATGCAGGGCCATGCTCACGACAACAATGTCAAAATCAGACAATGATACCTGATCCGCAATAACCTGTGAAGTGTCTGCAGACAAAAGGTCGTACTCGTACGCCTGAACTCTCTCCGGACCGAATCCTGTATCCTGCGCCCATTTGTTGTACTCTGCCACCATGCCCGGCGAGATGTCCAAGCCGACAGCTTGAGTAACGAAAGGGAGCAGGGCCCACTCGGCATTAGTATAGTGTAGCCATGACTACGGATAGAAGAACCAGTAGAAACGGCTATTTACCTTGGAAGCTGTTCCCGAGCCACAAGCATAGTCAAGCAGTCTGACACTTGTCTGCCCGCTGGAGAACCCGCTCGAGTCTGTCCATTTGCTCGACATCCATGAGCGCCGGGCTTCAAATTCTTCCACAACGGCTTGGATCAACTCCGCCCACTCTGCGAGATGACGAGATGCATCCTTGCTATGTGGCATTAGTGCTAGGAATTCTGTTTTGATCGACGAGGCGAACTAGGAAGGGAAAACTGGTCATGAACTTACTCAAAATGAACCTTGTTCCGCGATGCCAGATCGTCCCCCATTGCTCAAAGCTTTGAAGGAAGATCGTCTAGGTAGATTTAGTCGCGTGGTATTTTTTCTGTGTGTCGTATGTCTTGATGGCGACAAAGATGTGGCACATATACGATAAGTATGGTTGCTCCATGCGAGGGCAGATGAGGTTGGTGCACACCGGTTCAGCGGGCGGCTGAACTGTAGATGTTCTTTCGTTAAGGGCTTGTAAGGTCCTCAATCTGGATAAAGGGACACCCCTGACTGTTCCATTTTCGAGGGCCAATTGTGTCAAGCATGTCTTGCGAGGTTACCCCACTTTGGTGAGGGTTTATGGGACTAAGGAGAACAAACAAGAGACATTGCTGCCGAGCGGACCGTCTACCAGTTGCTACGAGTATCACTCTATCCTAGCGCAGCTTTGGTCGGACTGACATGGACACAATCAGAGGAGCGCAAAATTGACAACAAGGGAAATCGATGTGTCCAAAGCGAGCACAGTTGCTCTCTTGATTTCTCATTCATTGCCCCAAAAAGCCAATTCTTCTAACGACTTCGCCCTGGGTTAACCCGTCGATCAACAGGCGAGGGAATAAAGGTCGCAAATCGCCACGATGCAGTAGCAAATTTGAACCCCCATTCACCAAGGTGTCTTTCCATTTGTTGCGTGTTTAGATAGCAGGATTAATAGGCAGATTCAGTATTCTTCCCTCATTGTTCACGAACGTACCATGTAAGAAGTCGATTCCACATTTCCAAATGGTGGCCCAATACCGAGGCGAATCGACTCCTGAAACCCTTCCAGCAGCAGTGGACCACTTTCAACGCGCAGGCATATAAGCGTGCTGTTGAGCAAGGCTGGTCATCGAAGGCTGTAGTGGTGCCACTCTGCCAGGCGGCCCAAAGAGAGGCCATTAGTTGGGACCACTGCCATCAGACGCTGGACGAGATGCTCTTTGCCAATCTGGATGTAACTATGGGAGCATTGTCTTGGAATCTCGTCCACCTCGCCGATAACCCGAATGCCCAGAGCGAATTGAGGACTGGACTAGTCCAACTTGCCACCAAAGCTGAATGTCAAAGATACATTCAGAGCTCCGATACCCTGCTGGCGGCTTGTATCTTGGAATCATCACGCCTCAGGCCCTTGGCCGCCTTCACTGTGCCCTAAGCTGCTCCCACAGATCGTTTGATCGACGAGTACAACATCCCCGCAAGGACCAACCTTGTGGTCGACACCTATGCACTCGATATCAAAAACGAATACTGGGGAGCTGATCGCGATGTTTATCGACCAGGGCGGTTTACAGGCCTGACTCGCTCCGATCTTCGCTACCGATTTTGGCGCTTCGGCTTTGGTCCGCGACAATGTCTGGGGAAATACGTCGCCGATTTGATACTGCGGACTATCTTGGCGACGATGGTACGCAAATTCACTCTACATATCCCCATGTACGAGTCAAGATGTTGGGAGAGAGACAAAGAGGCTTGGGTTAGTAGACCTGAGATCAAGTTGGAGTTGGAAGAGATTTAGTGAATTGAAGGTACCTAGTCAAGTGAGTGAGATTACTCACCGACTTTCCAGCTCAACGCATACGAGGATCTTACGACCTCCATACGCATCTCATCTGGCACAATCATCCCCCCGTAGCAAACAGGAAGTATATCGGTGGACTTTAGCGGTGTGACTTTATATCGACATGACAAAGACATCGTGGTGTCCAAAATCCTTCCCAAACAGTCATTTGCAAGCGAATTCTCCTCGCAGTAACGAAAGAACCGGACTCAGCCCATCAAGGGCAAGACCGGTCAAATTATGCCCAACCGTTTGACTTCTTCCCAACTGTCTTCAACCGTCTTCTGGAACGGGTTGAATTTCAGTTTCAACACCCCTTCAGCGGTACTTTTGTCAAGCCCAAAGTGCTTGGCTCTATCACAGTGTTCACCTTCCTCGCCTAATCCCTTTTCACCTCTAGCTCTCAATCCCGCGAGGCCGTCTTCCAAGTAATCCACTCCGCCACACAATAGAAATCTCTCACTGACACCTTTGTCCAATGCCAGAGCTCTAACGTGGGCCTCTGCCACATCTCTAACATCGACCCATGCCGGCAAACCTGGCGTCGCGACACGGGGCTTGAACTCTGGATTCTGACCTTGCAAACCAATGAATAAGTCCTTCAAACTCGTATTCAACCCCTCTACACCTATGTCCTTCCGAACTTCGTGGCAAGGGGGGCCGTATATCATAGGCGGACACAGCGTTACCAAATCCCAGATCACCTCGGCTTTGGTTTTTGCTTCTTTCCACATCTCCCAGGCTGCGCGCTCGGCGAACGTCTTACTGGCAAAGTATCCAGAGAATCCATCCCGAGCAGCCTGCTCCTCCGTGATAGGATTCCAGTCCTCCGACGTATATAGATACCCCGGTCGCGTGTTTTTGGAAAGGTCGACTACGGAGGCAAAGCTGCTCAAGATGATCATCTTTTTGAGCGACTTAGATTTGAAGGCGCTGTAAACGACGTTGCGTGTCCCATTGACCGCGGGCTCGACGAGCTCCTTGATCGGGTCATTTGTCGAAGTGAAAAATGGTGAGGCGACGTGGCAGATGAAGTCGACTCCTTGAGCTGCTTCGTCGAGGGCGCCGGGTGCTTGAATGTCGGTGACGATGACGAAAGTCAGATCCCCGTCGAGGCAAGCTTGTGCGTACTTGGCCTGGAAGAAGGCGGCTTTCGATGGAGATCGGACGGTCCCACGTACGCGATAGTTGTTCTTCAACAGTTGGTCGAGGACATGAGCACCGACAAAGCCATTGGGTCCAGTCAAGAGGACGAGAGCTTTTGCTGCAGACATTAGAGCTATTGAAATTGGAAATGGGTGCCTAGGTGGCGTCTTGGTGGTTCGATCGTGTGCACCGCTTCAGCTGTGTGACTTGTTGAGTTAAGGATGTGTACCCAAGTCTACCACGGGCATTATTTTATAGACTTGGACTATGAGCACAGCAGTAACCACATTACGCCGGAAAGTGGTGCATACTCCATCTATCCCCTCCTGCTCACAGGTGCAACCGATACAATTTGCGAATTGGACAAGGGGGATCTGCGCCAGAGCGGACAGATGTGGTATAGCCTCCAAGGTGGTTGGGCTGTGCTCTTCAGCCTCGCCAATGTAAGCTGCGGAGGACAGCGATCTTTCGGCGATAACAAGACCCACCGACTGACAGTTTTCGGCGATAGTGCACTAACCTTCCTTCGTCGTAGATGTTTTCGGACTTGAGGAATCTTAGATCTTGGTCGATGTGGTCGAGCTCTACTTTTTTCTCAGATATAAAGTACTAGGTAGGTAATCAAAGGTGAATCGTGGTTGAGACCTTTTCGTCTATGCGCATCACTCCACGTAAGCAATACAATAGGACAGGCATCAGTTCAACATCTCGTGAGAAGAATTTCACTTCTTCGACATCGCGCAAAATGCCGGCTCATGGAAATTATACAACGGAAAAGGTCCGCTATCCATCCCACGGCGAAACCATCAGTGCAATTCTCTTCCGGCCTGTCAATGTGGCTAAACCGCCAGGCGTCGTCCTAATTGGGCCGTATTCGTTCATTAAAGAGCAAGCACCGACGCAGTATGGTACACGTCTGGCCGACGAGGGCTACGCGGCGCTGATCTTTGACCCGCGTACTGTGGGCGAGAGCACGGGAACGCCTCGTCGACTCGAGAACCCGAAAATGAAAAACGAGGATGCCGTCGCGGGGCTGGACTATCTACTCTCGCGCGGCGACATTGACGCGTCCAGGCTCTTCCTCGTCGGTATCTGTCAGGGTGGACCCGAGAGTCTTGATATTGCCTCGTATGACGACCGAGTCAAGGCAGCGGCATCCGTCTCAGGCTACTTCCGTGACCACGAGACGGATCTCTACATGATCAGCGTCGGGTGCGTGTCGTGGGAACCGGGCGTCGACATTAGCTCGCTCAAGATGCCCACGTCGGAGCAAGGGGAAGCGCTTTTGCGGGCGCGTCTCGAACGAGCCCGTAAAGCTCGCGAGCTGTACGACACTACCGGAGAAGTCGTGTATCAACCTCTAGTCGACCCAAAGGCCGCCGACCCAGACACTGGGGCTTTAGCGGGTCTCCCGGGTCCCACGGTATGGGCGTGGTACGGACCGTGGACCTTGAAGGGATTCGAGAACCATTATGCCATAATGAGTGACCTCGATCATTTCTCCTACACCACCGTCCCGGGCGTAGCGAAGCTCGAAAAGCCGGCCTTGATCATCCATGGAGACAATTGTATGAATGCGCCCGCAGCCAAGAGACATTTCGAATCGATTCCAACCGCAAATAAGAAGCTTATCTGGAACAACGATATCTCCCACTTTCAGCATTACGACCAGCCTGATGTGGTCGACCAGAACGTGGGCGAAATTGCGAATTTTTTTGCGAGTGTTTAGAACGGTGCTATGTCGGAGAGTCCATAGTGCGCAGAACTTCAATCTAGTCTATGAGAATATAAGATAGGTATATGCAAGCATCACGCCATCCTAGACACTTGCTCAGAATTAACTGAATCTATTCATGAAGCTCCAGAAACTGTTGTCTGGATAATGCCCGTCGAAGTTTGGACTCTCCATGAAGTTTTCGATGCCCTGGTAAGAATCTTGCATGTCTGGTGCGTGAATGTCTTGATAGAACAGATCGTGGACCGGATGGGGAGGTAAAAGAGTTTCAAAGTCAAAATCGGGAAAATTTAATGCACCGAACCCTGGTTGTTGGTGGGCTGGTGATAACAACCCAGCCTCAACGTTGCCCATGGGTGAATCTCCATTCAAACACGTCATGCCACAGTCAGGATCCACGGTCCAAGCGTCCAAGCTTCCTCTTTCGCCCTCGCTGCTGTGAGTCATGTGCTGAAGAGCGCACCCGCAGAATTTCTCCGACCGGGAGAATAGCTTTTTCACGACACCGTATGCCGACTGGGCCATGTCATTGTGTTCGCCTATAATGTTGAGCATGTCGATACCCCAGTGCACATTTTGCAACACTTCCGACAGAATGTCGAGGTTCTCTTTCGGAAACAGCACAATGGTGGCCATTGAAATGACCATTGCGTCAAACAATGGGTAGACCATATTGAATGAAATGTACTGCTGCGGTTTTGACAGATGGAATAATTGTCTCTGGATAGTGAGGATCTTCAGCGCCGCCCTGAGGACCTCTGTCCGACTTTCAGCTACGCTGAATATGTAAGGTCGATGAAGTGAGAGCAAGACAAAATAAATCCCACTCGCCAATGCCTGGCGCGCCGCCGGTAGCCAGTGGCAACCTGGAAGTCCATCAAAGTGTACATCGGGGTCATGATGGCGACACCACAGCGGTAGGTGGTTCATATTCTCCACAATCGTGACGTGCGTCTCTCGAACGATATGGTAGTCTTCTGTCCGTGCTCCACAGCGCTCAAGAGAGCGTACTCGTGGAAAATATCGATATGCAACATCGTAACCAATGCGGATCATACTAACTGGAGTAGGAGGATCATGGGTCGTTCTCTGTCTCGGTGGTGTTCCCATGCTTCTTCGTGCAAGGTCGTCAGGAAGGCAAGGCGCATTTCCAGGGGCAATCGCGGTCGTGATAGGTCTGCCCAATACGACAGCCATGTGAATGTCCCAGTTGTGGAGAACAAACCAGATCCTGCGCCTCGTCTCTTTATCCCATTGAGCGTCAATGCTTACCGACGGAACTTGTGAATTGAATTCTGCATGAAGCCCTATTTCCTGCGCGTTCCGAATGGTGATTCCAAGGCAATGCCACGACTCGATAACGTTTCCTGTATTTTTCAATAAAGATGCGCGTAGGATCCCTGCCTGAACAGCCACTAGTGTGACTTCCCGCTTTCCAATCAGTTCCAGGATTGAAAAGCCAGCTTCAGAGAAGTCACAAGCCAAGTCGAGGAATGTCATATCCGAGGTGTACTTCAGAGACTCAAAGCTTGAGCAAGCTTCGTCGGTAACAGCTTGATGCATCAGAGCGTGGGCCATGAGCTGGAAAAGAAGGGAAGGAAACACCAGAACATTGGCAGGGAGGACACGCAAGGCATTGGCGTGGGCCGAGTAAGGGACATGTCTCCAGTCCTCAAGCTGCTGACGGAAAGTGATCTCGTCAATCACATCATAGTGCCAATTGATATCCGAGAAAAACTGATGTAAGAGGTTGTCGATGTGCTCCTGTGATGGTAGTTGACGGACTAGAGATCGATATTTGTCGTCCAGAGCTGTTCGGTTGCTCTTCACCACAGAAGGACGGCTCAAAGTGGACGGAGAGATAGCCTCCATCTGTTTGACCAAGCTGATGATATTGTACTCACTGTGAGTGGAATAACCCAAGACACCGACAAGATTCTCTTGATCTTGTGGGGACAACGGACTGGTCTCTGACCTCGATGGTGAGCGCGATATTGAAGGTTCGACATTGCTCTGACTAGAGCCGCCTGTACTCGCACTGGTGGCGTTGCGGTGGCCAGATTTGCTGTCATTATTCTCGTAGCGGCAAAGCTCCTGTGACCACTATATCAGAGCACGCGGCGGAGATTGGAGTAAAGTCCTACTGGCTTCGAACGTCCCATACAATGCTGACAAGGCTGGAGGCGGTTACACTAGATTTGAGAATCAACATTCGTCCCGCTAACTTCACCGTTGAGTGCCGTTTTGGCAGACGAGATTCGAGACCGACCTTTTGTTTGCGGCGATGGCATTCTATGCAGGATAGCAAAATGCGGTGCCGTTTTCGGTGGAGGTGTCGATCATTCTCAACTGTCGGATTGTCCAGGGAGTTCATGCCTAAGTACTGATGGATGACTTACTCCTCTGAAATGTGTGAGTATGGTGAGTCGTGATGGATGGAGCGGACCTTAAAGACGATGTGGTCGGGAGTGATTCTCAAAACTGTTGTCAGCCAAAAAAGGATTGTCTATCCTGTCGATAGGTAAAGTTCTTGGCCATGTTGGTGAGGGGGGGAGCTTGAGCCAGGTTTGCCCACTGATGGCCCCTGGGGCCTAATGTCACCCAAACCCAGCTGCCCTACCTAGATACCTAGGTAATGTTTAGCTAGGACTTACGTGTTTCCAGATACCTACTATCTTATCGGGCATCGCGAGACGCCTTTAACCGCCCATACCCATGCCTGAGGCGCCCAAAGGCTTCGTCGCATTTGGGTAGGTATCCTTCCTCCCATTTTGAGTCTTATTTCACATAATGGACGCTTCCCACATTAAAAGGACTTATTACTACTAAGTACCAAGTACAGATTATTATCCTCATGGATGCGAACGTCAATTGAGGTACAGTACTTACTTACTGGAAACCTACCTAGTAGTACTGCCTCTACATTGTTGACTGAGCGGCGGAGTTTGCTGTGCCAAACCTTTCCATTTTGGTAGACAAGAAAAACTTAGGAATTTTGCGACCGCAGCTCACCCCAGTGGCAACTCGATACTGATGGTATTGTATTTGATACCTAGTACCTAGGTACTGTCCCACACGTGGTGGCAGGTTTTGTTCCATGACCGGGAGACGGCCATTGTAGTAAGTCTCATTTGATCATGATCGCGGGCTTCAAGCGAGAGAACAATGCTTGGGCGATAGTCTTGAAGTGCTCCTAGGTATTAGGTAGTAGTCATGGGGAGATTACACCGATGATGGATGGAAAATATATTGCAAACCCTCGTGGCCCTAACCTACGACCAACTTAGGTACCTAAGTGGCGAAGGCCAGCCCCCCGGGAGGGGCTTACAAGCGACGCCTAATAAACAGGATGGGCGTCTACACCACCGTCAAGAATCTGGAAGACAGGAGGCTACGGGCACCTGACCTAATAAATTTGCAGGATGAATCATAAAAACGACAATTTTCATTCGCAATCGACCATAGGATATGGAGAACAGGGCTTCCCGTTCGCTCAGCCATACTTAAGCCATATGCCGGTCAGTTAGTACTAAAGTGGGTGACCATTTGGGAATCCTGGCTGTTGATTGTTTTTGCTTCTTGACTTTTTGATCAAGACAAGAGGACTATAGAATACGTCCATTCTAAGAACATCATATTATACTACACACCGACATTAATGCGGCAAATCGATCATCTGCAAAGACGCTAACGTGGAGGGACAATGTAGAGAAGGGGGCTATCCATCAACAGGAAAGCTACGCTTCCAGTCCAAAATCGTGCGCTATTGGCAGGGACGGTATCAGTCAATGTTGGCTTTCAGAGAGAATTGTGGCATTCAGAGGAAGCGCAAGTAAGAATTCGGAGGGAACTTGGGGTGGCGTATGGAGTAGTATGAGATACTTGGTGTACTTAGGCATTCAGGCCTGAGCCAGGTTATTTCTGGGCCCAGTTCTGCCTAGGATGTCAATTCACACAGTCCAAGGCTTGCGCATGTGGGTTAACGAATCTAAGACCGAGAAGAATTCATATCATGGATGGAAGAGGAAATTCTCGGATTTCGCAAACACATTTCGAAATTAAGACCTCATGGTCTCTACTCCATAGCCCAACGGTTGATCCAATTCTCACTTGTACAATAAAGTTCGTCTCGTCTAGCAAAACACGCACGAGATCTCATGCAAGTCGCTGACATTCGAAGCGCGGATCAATCGGAGTGCCACTTGGAGATAAAAAGTTACCAGATTGGGTTGGCTGGTGCACTCTATTGACCTGAATAGAATATGGTCCAATCAAGCGCACGCTCATTTCTGAAACGAGGGGCAATGTAGAAACCTATAAATGCCATCGATTCTGGTGGTACAAGTGGTTTCTTAGAAGGCAAACAAAGCGCTCTAAGGTAGCTGTCCTCACTATACTAGCAAACAACAGCGCACTCGATTTTGATCATCACTCAACTTAATCATCACCATCAATTCATTATCATGGCGCCAGCCAAAGAGACCATTCTGATCACCGGGGGTACGACAGGGCTGGGTTTCTATACTGCAATCCAGCTTGCGAAACAATACAAAGATGCATCCATCATTGTTGCGTCTCGAAAAGACACAGACTCGGCATCAACGGCCATCAGAAAGGCCAGCGGCCACCAGGACGTGCAGTTTATGAGCCTCGACCTTGGCAGCCTCAAAAATGTGCGAGATTTTGTGGACAGGTACGCGGAAAAGCAGCTGGCACCTATTTCCCTGCTTCTCCTCAACGCAGGCATTCAATTCCCAGAAGAAGCCACCTTCACCGAGGACAAGATCGAGGCGACTTTGGCAGTCAACCACGTGGGCCACGCCCTGCTTCTGCACCTTCTCCTTCCGTATCTCGCCACCCAAGCTCGCATCGTCGTCACTTCCAGCGGTACACACGACCCAGCTCAAAAGAGTGGAATCCCCATAGGCACTTACAAGAGTGCCGAAGACCTTGCACATCCTCAAGGTGAAAGCCTCCGAAAACCAGGTCGACAGCGATACGCCGAAAGCAAACTGGCGAATGTGATGTGGACATACGCCCTACACAGGCGGTTGGTGCAAGTCCCCGATAAGAAGTGGACCGTGGTGGCATTTGATCCGGGTTTGATGCCGGGCACTGGCCTCGCTCGCAACGCCGGGGGTGTGCTCAGGTTCATATGGCACCATGTTTTCCCCAAACTAATCCCAATCCTTCGACGCACATATCACCACAACATTTGGAGACCTCAGGAATCGGCTGATCACCTAGCCTTTATAGCCTCAAAGGAGTCGACAAGTGGCGTTTACTACGAGGTCGAAAAGCCCATCAAGTCGAGTGTTGATAGTTATGACGAAGCCAAACAAGAGGATCTTTGGGCGTGGACGATCAAGACTATCGCTAAAGATGAGACAGAAGCCCGAGAATTCGAGATTGTCCCGAAAGTATGAACAGATATTCTGGGAGAGTAGCTAGAAGGGGTTTTGTTTTAGTCGTCGTTGTTGCGATATAGCGATGGGGAAAGGGTCCAGGCGTCATGGAAGGGTTGCCTGTGTACATGCAAACGATATTGTGGTAATTTGTGTCCATATTCTTGACATAGAGGCTGAGAGTATTGCTTCTCGATGCTTTCGACTTGGGAATTTATAATAACATAGTGCATCATCATTCATTCTTCATCGAAACAAATTCTGCGACCGGCAGCTCTGACAGTTGTAATCAAGCATGGTCGACGCCGGTCCAATCTGGATCCAAATCTCGCTGTCGGGCCCACAGTCGTCGAACCTGATCTCGGTGAGCTTGATCTTCGTCTTCTTGGCCGTCTTTTTCCTTCATGACCTTGAGTCTTAGACGGCCTTGACTGCCACGTCCGTTGAAATCCAGAGTCCACTCCAGAGGAAGCTTACCCTTGATTCCCCCGTCGGCGGTGTCTTCAGCCTGATTGCTGACCCAGCTATAACCAGGCCGAAGGACGACATTGGCGTAGATGGTAAAGAACCCCCACCCAAGGCGGCGGATTTCATAGGGAGGGTTTTGGACAATAATTTGATGATTGCGAAAGGTAGGATGCTACACAACGAGGTTGGTGAATCATGATGAGACACGAGCGCACCCAACTTACCAGAAATATCTGAACTTCTTCGATGAGATCAGTGCGGGAAGGACGGATAAAGAAGTTCCATTGATGTTTATTGTTGGAATCCGAGTCTGCTCGGATAAGCGAATGTTCGTTGCCAATGTACACAGTCAAGGTTTCAATAGCGGTGGAGGAATCATCAACGGTGGTGATGGATTCTGTCTCACGCTCCCTGTAGGTAGCAGGATATTGCAATTGCAAAGCGGAGTCGAGAGGGACATCCAAAGAAGCCGTCGTGGGTGTCCGGCACATTGGACATGGAGTTTCAATGTCATTGGGCAGAAGCACCAGAGGCGGATCGTCGAGTCCAACTATGGTCATTCGAGTAGAAATAGACACGTCGGCCCACTGGGCCATGCAGGCTTCGCAGAGAACATGGTTGCATCTAGTCCTTACCGGACGGTAGAGGAGAAGCTGGCAGACAGGACAGAGATGATCTGGGGCAACCTCGATCTCTTCGGCGAGATTGACATTGCGAGCTGGGGAAAATGATGGGCTTTCTTCGGGCATGAGAGGTCGTCAAGAGGCCTTGTATGTCGAGATATCATGCTGATTATGCAGTAAGGGGAGGGTGCGACATAACGTTAATGTGGGCATACGGAGTACTGTCCAGGATGAGATATCAAGAAGCTGATGACGATGCGAAGATGGGAGGATGATCACGTGGAAGCCAGGCAGCAGCGTCACGTGATATTTAATCTAATCTCCGAAGATTGCTTCGTCAGGTGACATTCTTGCCACCGAAACCGCGCAGGTCAAGATTTTTCTCTCATTCCCAGGCCACCATTATTACCTTATGCAGGCGACAACATTAGGGATTCAGAGATTGACCACTTAGTCAGACTCTCACAGAACTGGCATCTGGTTGGTGGTGACTAGTGATCGGTAAGTCGTTGGCACTTTGACTTGACTGGTGATCAAATCTGAACCAGGCTAACAACCCATGGATCCTATCAGGTGTTTCGTGCTGGATAGCATGACATGATCAGAATTGCCCTGGTCGTATCTCGTACCTAAACGCTAAATGAGCCGATCGACTTCTTATGCCCATACAAACTGTCTCCGACATATAGGCTATCCCCTAGGATCCACCGGCCTCCGGATATCCCTCAAGGCAGCCTTCCCCTTAGGATTCTCTCTTTTTTCAATTCAATACCTCGTCGTTCCCATCCTTCAATCACTCTCCTTTACGCCGCGCTTGTCTGGCGACAATCTCTCCCTCACTTCCTCCTCTACACACCACACTCTTTTAGGTGCACTTCCTCACAATGCCGGGCCGAACCCTACCTACGATCCCTCTATCGGAGGTCGAGACCCATAACACAAAGTCCTCTTGTTATGTCACCATCGGCGAACGCGTCTTTGATGTGACCGATTTCCTCGAAGACCATCCTGGTGGACCAGAGTTCATCTTGGAATATGCAGGCAAAGATATCAAAGAAATCTTGCAGGATCAAACCTCGCATGCCCACAGCGAGGCGGCCTACGAAATTCTCGAGGACAGTCTGGTGGGCTTCGTCGCCACGGCACCGGTGTTGAAGACGGCAGTTGATTCCACACATCCTGACCAAGTCGTTCCCCTTCCAGCGACGGCCAATGGCAACGCCGAGCTCCAGGACCACGGGGTCCAAACCAAAGACCTCCCTGCGCGACCCCTCTACGAATCCACCGGCATGTCGAGCGCAGAAGATCTTTCCAAGGAGACGGACCTGGATTCAGATTGGAAAACCCACAAGTTCTTGGACCTGAACCGACCACTGTTCCCCCAGATGCTTTTCAGCAACTTCTCTAAAGAATTCTACCTCGAGCAAGTACACCGGCCCCGACATTACAAAGGAGGTGCATCGGCTCCGTTGTTTGGAAATTTCATGGAGCCCCTCAGCAAGACGGCCTGGTATGTCATTCCCATTATATGGCTACCACCTGTCACGTACGGTTCTGTCATTGGCTTCATGCACCTTTCCTCCACGACAGAGGCGGCAGGATACTGGCTGTTGGGATTATTCTTGTGGACTCTGGTCGAATACATTCTCCATCGCTTTTTGTTCCACATTGACAAACTGATGCCCGACCACCCTGTCGCATTGACGTTACATTTCCTCCTGCACGGCATTCATCATTACCTTCCCATGGACCGATACCGCCTGGTAATGCCACCCAGTTTGTTCTTGATCTTGGCAACTCCCTTTTACAAGCTGGCCCACGCCGTCTTCTGGTACGACTGGTATGCCGCCGTCACGGTGTTCTCAGGGGGCATCTTCGGGTATATCTGCTACGACTGCACGCACTACTGGCTGCATCACAGACAGCTCCCCGCGTACGTCCGTGACCTGAAAAAATACCATCTGGCACATCATTACCAGAATTTCGAACTCGGGTAAGTGATTCGATATAGTTCCAGTTTAGCCCACTTGACTGACTTGTCTCGTCTAGGTTCGGAGTGACATCCAAATTCTGGGATTACGTTTGGGGTACACAACTTGAATACACCAAACCTGTCAAGGCTTCCCAGTGATGGGTGGCAAGATGTTTTGATGTTGACGCATGAGCTTGTATAATATGTTTGCATTGCCGGCAGATTATGAGATGGCGTTGATGTTGTCATAGAGTGATGGGCGTGTTGGAACTTCGGCCGTTGTCTGGGATGGGGGCTTTCACATATACTTAATTCGACATCGTGCCTGTCGACTTGACTTGACGATGGAACTAATGGTTTATCGCCGCGATAGATGAATCAATTAATAATGACTGTTCACCGAGCGATCTCGTTCTGATTTGTCCAATCGATGAAGAAAGGCACTAATGATGGAAACGCACGTTGGTATATTGACTCCTAATGTATACACACATATCTAAAGTGCCCAATCCTAGCAAAACACCAACCAACTCCAGTTCGCCATAAGTCCATCAAAGTCATCATGTTTGCCTGGTCAGTTGCCTCGTATATCTAAGTTATTCATCAGGTCTCTCCTCCTTCTGGAGATGCACAAACGTGCTCCGATGTCATCGAGACAATTGAGCAACGAAACCCGCAGCCGCTGTAGCCGAGGACGACGACCTCGACGAACGACCGTTGTTGTTGTTACTGTTCCTCGTCCTCGCATTATGTTTGAGAGGATTGTTCCTTTCCCAATCATCATCGTCCTTGTAAAGAGCGACTGCAGCGTCGAGATCGCCATCTGCACCCTTGAGATAAAGTTGGGCAACGGTGTAGTCAGCGCACTTGGTGGCGACCATCCATCGGCGTAGCTTGAGTTTTCTCTCCTCCTCGGCTGCGTCGGGCGGTTTGCTGAGACTGGGCCCGGAGTAATGCGTCGCGGGGATTAACAACCACTTGCGTGCTGTCACCAGCGTGTCGCTGAATAAGTGGTTGTGTCGACGTAGAATGGCCACAGGTACTCCGTATGCAACGCTGAGTCCAGCCAGTGTGTCGGTTGGTGATAGGTGGTGGACGATGTCGTCGGTATTTTGGGGGGCGGAGGAGAAGGAGGAGGAGGCAGAGGAAGAGGAAGAGGAAGAGGGGTTCGCTGTCATGAACGATGATGAAGAGGTTTGGGTTACCGAGATGGCTTCATCGTAGCTAGGGGGTGCTGCCGTCGTGTCTCTCTCTTTATCATTGTTGGATTTGGTTCCATCTCTTCTGGTGTATGATGGAGGGAGTCGTAGCCCCTCCTTGGGCAGTGCCGACGGCCCCGTCGAGATCTGGCAAAAGGGACAGTATTCCTGGAAGCGTGGATTCGAGTTTTGACAGGTTGCGCAGATGTCTCGTTGGCAACAGTCTAAGTGGCGGGTGAAGAGGATGGGTTTCTCTGACGATGACGATGAGTAGTGGTGACCACCCTTCTTGGTGTCATCGAGGAGGGTGGCGCATGTACAGCAGCTTGCCCATGGTGCCATGGCGTGTAGGAAATGTGCTTTACGACGGCGGGTACATGGGGGATATAGATTCCCAATGGACGAACGAGAGCACAATGTCCAGAAAACGGACGTAGGATCTGGTAGGATCTGAAGTGAGATCTCGGATAGAATTGGAGTAATGGACCTTTTGTCGAGTCTGGAATCTGGTGTCATCCTGTCATCCCGTCATCCTATCAGTTCATCTCCCGCAAATCCCATGATGTCAACCTCCACCTCGAGTTCCGCATTCTCCTACACTCACTCGCCATCCTCCAGATAATCTATCCGTAGTCATGATCAATTAATTCAATGTCTGGTCGACTGTTGGCACCAATCTATCTCTGTGAAATTGTAAATCTTTTACCCATGCACAAGCACAAGCACAAGCACAAGCACCTTGATCCAATGCATCGCCCAAGTATGAACAAAATTCTCGCTCAATCGCTGCACGTGTGTCTAGGATTACATTCCACCCTGGTTCCGCTAGTTTTGTTCTGTCCGACTGCGTAATTCTCCTTCATTTGCTGTAGAGTCTGTAATCTCAACACCACTCGAGATCCCAGATCTCTCGGTTGTATCATCACGGTCCTCGCTCTTCGAGTGACTGGCTTGCCCGTCCAGGACATCATCACCACTCCCGGTCTGATGCTCTGGCTGTTCATCAGTCGCTAAAATTCCGGTATTCGACGACTCTTGTTGGGCATGTGCAGCGGCCTCCTCTTCTGCTCTCGCCCTCTCCTCCTCTAACCTCCGAATCTCTCTTCTTGCCTCCTCTCTGGCTCGCACATGTCGTTCTCCCACGCCAGGAATCAGACTGGCCAGGAAGAGAGCTGCACTCTGTTCGACTCGGTACAAGGCATTGCGCCACACACTCGGTGTCTGTTCTGCGTGTTCTCGCAACAGTCTAGCCGCGGCCTCTTGAGGTGTTATCTCAAGCGCCCCTCGAACATTGGCTGGTCGCTGTGCAGGTGTTTCTCCTGCATCATGGTCTGTCGCCGTTGGTCCACGCCGGGGTCCTGCACGTCTAGCCGGTCCTCGGGCCTGATCTTGGGGTCGAGGCGGGCCGATGAGATTGTCCATGTGTTGGCGAGCGGCTGCGAAGGCTCGGGTCAAAGGGCCATTCCGAGGTTGCAAGCAAACAATTGTAGCAACCAGGATCATGGCCCACCGCTTCCATGAGCCGGGCTCGGAGAAGACAAACATGAAGAGATATAATCTCAGAAACAACCATATACGCTGAATGAGAAAGCCGAACATGTCATCGGCGTTGGCTTCCTGACCATGTGGCCGTCGAAGTGGGCCGGGCCTTGGGTCTTGTGGAACCACAGCTCGTTCGGGGTTGGCGGCATCTGGTTGTCGTCCAGTGGGATTTGGTTGGTTGTTGACCGATTGGACTTCTGGGGCAACGTGAGAAGTATTGTTGGTTCGGCTTGCCTCATGGACAACGTTGGTCATAGTGGTAGATGAAGTAAAGTAGCCATGACCGGGGGCAAAGACAAGCGCTTCCGGGCCAGAGGGTGACGATAACAGCCATGCAATCGTGTTTTGGGGTTGGGGTTGGCTGGAAGGGAGCTGCTGGCCAAGCAGGGGAGCAAGATGAGCATGGAACAGAGATGCGGGAAAGGCGTGTTGCAGATGTGGCATCTGAGGCCACTGTGGTGCATGAGGCGCCATGGGAGCCCTTGGAGGAGGTGGAACAGGGGGAGAAGATCGGGAATTGGGTGCGGCAGAGGATTGACTGGTTGCTGGCTGACCAGGAGCAGAAGCAGGGCGGGGCAAGGGGATTCGAATACTGGTGTGATCAGTCATGACGGTCATACGCTCCCCATTTGGCCCGACAAACTCCTGTAATTGAGGGTTGGATGGAGTGACGGTCTCCGAGCCTGGGGCAAGAGGTTGTGGTCGGTATAGATTGTGGAGACCATGGTGTTGGAGGATGTGGGGAAGTTGAGATCGTGGTGGTAGGCCGGTCTGGCTCGGTTGGTGGATCTGAGCCTGTTGGGAGGGATTATGTGGTGTCGAAGCAAGAGTAGGAGGTATCGGAGAGGCACGGTGCTGGTGCTGATGCTGCTGTACAGCTATCCGCTGCTGAACGGAGCGTAGATCGGCTCTGTTGGATTCGATCGACTGTTGAATGCGAGAAAGCGCATCTTGTAAATTATTGGTTTGATGTTCTACAGCCGCGAAAAGGCTAGGAATGCGCTGATTTGGTTGATCGGTCGGTGTTGCATTGTTGGAAGTGTTTGACTGTTGTGGTGGTGCACTGGGTTGGGATGTTGGATGTGGGGATTGGATAATGATATGGAGGGTATACGGCAATGGACCAGTGGGAGTGCCGGGGTCTATCCTCAAGACATTAGACAATGTATCTTCACCTCGAAGTAGAGGTCGGCCCTGGTAGATGAGTCGCTGTTGTGTTGGAGGGGGGCGTTCTGGCAACTCGGCCTGGATTCTCGATTTCAAATCGGCCACGGTGGTCGAGAGCGGGACACTGCCAAGTGAATAGGGCGGTCTCGGATTTCCCGTTAGAAGGTAGGTGACTCGAAGGTTGACATGGTCAGGAGGAGGACTGGATGTAGGCAGAGGAGGTGTAAGGTTGGTAGAGGGGGGGGGCGTCGATGGAGGGTGGTGGTTGTTGGTTGCCATCGTCAATTGACAATGGGGATGGCCGTGCTGGGCGAGATCATGGTTGGAGGAGCTGGTCGCGGTTGGAACGAGAACGCTAAGACAGCAGTGACGAGGCCTCTAACTGTCGATCAGAGACGAGGAGGGATAGGGAGTTCGTATGAAGTGAGGTTGAGGTTGAGGTTGAGGGATAGATTGCAACAACGAAGAGAAGTTGTTTCCTGAGCAAAGGACCAAGGGAAGGAACCACCCAGTCGGAGTTGCACTTGCCGTTAGTGTAAACACCAAATGACCCTTGCCCTCCGCACCTGCCACATTCTGGGAACCTCCAAATGCCAAGAACATCGTCATCGCCAACGACTTCAACTTCCTTAGAATCATGGTAAACTGCTTCATACGATACTCAACAACCATAGCTGTCGACCCTGCCCTCTGAAGTCCAACTCGGCGATCCAATCTATTCAGTCCCAATGTCTCCTTCATCAGCGTGACATCTCCATTCACAGTCATGGCTACCTGCCAAATAGCAAGAACATGTCTCTCCCGCAGGCCCCCTCTCCCCTCTGGCACCCTACAAGCACTCTTTTATCCTCGCTCCCTGAGACCACCTCCATATCGCTCTCCAAAGCTCCAACTCCAGCTTACACAGAGGAGACCGTTCTCCAATAATCCCAGACTTCGCCAGGACCGTAAAGAGTCGGACGAGGAACCCTTTGCAACCAGATTGGGAAAAGCATGGAGAAAAACAAAAGTTGAATGGAAACCTATTCCCATCGGCTTAGGCATCGCATTGCTGGGGTTCATACAATTTCTCCGTATCCGCAACCGACCAGTTAATTCGCAGGAGGGAGGAGGTGACGCCGATGGACATGGCCCTCGCCCTCCTAAACGTCCTCGTATCTATCCTTCCGGTGGTGGATGGCAGGTCCAAATCATGTCAACTCTACCTTTAAAGGCCATATCTCGTGTCTGGGGCCGATTCAACGAGCTCACAATTCCCTATTACCTGCGTGTTCCTGGCTTCAAACTCTATGGCTGGATCTTTGGTGTCAACTTTGCTGAGATTGCCGAGCCAGACCTTCACACCTTTCCAAACCTAGCCTCCTTCTTCTATCGCGAGCTAAAACCAGGTCTGCGCCCCTTGGATCCCAATCCCAATGCCATACTCTCTCCTGCCGACGCTCGCGTCTTGCAATTTGGCACTATCGAGAATGGTGAGGTTGAACAGGTCAAGGGCATGACCTACAGCGTCGATGCTCTTCTAGGCTCTATTGTTCCGGGAACGTCTCCAAACCCTCAATCTCCAACCAATATCTTCGCTTCAAAAACGGATGAAAAGCTCAGATCTCTGCCCTCTGACGATCCTGAGGCCAAAGCCATCACAAGCGACCAAGAGTTTGCAAACATGAATGGTATTTCTTATACATTGCCAAACCTCTTCTCCGGAGCTTCTACGGCAGCCCCTGTTCACAACCAACAGGACGCTTCCACAAAATCCACCCCCTCATCCGAGGCTGCCGTTTCTGCCGATCTAGCTACCACTCAACCCTGGTGGTCGCCTTTCTCCCATCCCTCCACTACTAGCAAGCTCTATTACGTGGTGGTGTACCTTGCTCCAGGTGATTACCACAGATTCCATTCACCCGTGTCCTGGGTCTGTTCGCAGCGCCGCCATTTTGCTGGTGAATTGTACTCAGTGAGCCCTTATGTCCAAAGAACCCTGCCGGGCCTCTTCACCCTCAACGAACGTGTTGTCCTTCTCGGTCGTTGGAAGCACGGCTTTTTCAGCTATACGCCTGTAGGCGCCACAAATGTTGGCTCCATCGTCATCAATTTCGACAAAGAACTGCGCACCAATTCCCTCACCACTGATACCCAGGCCGACCGAGAAGCTGCTGCCGCCGCCGAGCGTGGTGAACCGTATTCGGGCTACAGTGAGGCCACCTATGACCATGCTAGCAAAGTCCTTGGAGGCCATGCACTGCGCCGAGGCGAAGAGATGGGAGGTTTCAAACTGGGCAGTAGCATCGTGCTCGTGTTCGAAGCTCCTGCTGGTCAGAGAAAGGCTAGTCTCGACCAAGGAGGTTCTGATGGAGGCGAGGTGGTTGGAGGCTTCAAATGGGCCGTCGAACGTGGTCAAAGGGTCCAGGTTGGTCAGACTCTGGGCTACATCACTGACCAGGACTGAAACCCAAGGTCCAGCGTCTTGATCCTACCCACTTGGTCCATTGCGCCATCTCTTGCATTCGATCTGAGCCACTTCTCACGAACATCTAGAATCTTTGTATTACCACCATATCATGTACAAAGCCATATGTGTAATGATGAACTGTCTCTTTGCGTCTCTGCCTCCCAATCTACTTGTACTGGTCTATCTGGTTGGACGAACGCTGTGTCGGCCCACTCCGCCTCAACTGTCGACCGCGGCCCAAATAAATACCCCAAGCATAATCAATAACACCCCTACCAAGATTCCTCGAGCTACCTTGACAACACGCTGTGCCAATCGAGCGTCTGCCGGGTGAACCAATACTCGAAGATGCCCATCCGAACCAGTCTCCTCCTTTGAAAGCCAGCGCATCACTTCGGCCATGGCACATTGGGACATGGGTCCACCTCTGCTCATGCTATCGACCAAAACAAAACCGCCAACAAAGTACGTCATGGCAGACAACACTATCAATAGTCGCGCTGCCCTTCTTTGATCAGACGTCCGTTCTGTATCTCGGAACACAGTTCTATTGACCATTCGCGCATGACTGAACTCACTTCGTTTGTGAACAAGGCACCACGCCTTCTCGAGAAACTCACCATTCTGGAGGCGTTCCAGACGCTCGAAAGGGGCATTCTCTATTTCACCCACTCTGAGTGCCAACTGCTCCTCAGATAAGGGAAAGCTGGGGCACTGATACAGACCATAAGAAACATGCACCGTCGCATTCTTGAACGATGTCCTTCGAGACAGCAACGAGGCCGAAGTATTTGTATACGCGACCGTGTGCACCCGCTCAGTATGTGCGCTACTCAGACTCGACAGGCTTCCACCGTGAACATTAATGGATGGGTTGCTGATGATACCAGAGTACGTCATTCTTTTGATGACTCGGACCTCATGACCTGGCTCATGCTCCTTTCCATCGGCGTGCTTGGATTCTTTCGCCTGACTGGGCTTCATGTCGGGCGTTGACTCTGATGAGTAATCTGCAAGACTGCTTCCAGTCATCTTGAAGCCAATCCCAGATCCGGGCTCACAGTGCTTTGAATAACTGTCTGCGTTACCAGGATTTGCATAGTTCAACCGACTGCGGCGTAGGTATCGAGACACTTCTCTGTCAGCATTACGGTGCTGCTCATCAGCAAGCCAACCTGCTAGATGTGACGATGAGTGAAATCTGTGCAGAAAGGCGCCGGTGTCTATGATTGGGCCCCCTTGACTTTGAGCCACCTGTGGTCCTCCTCCCAAGTTGTCGGTTGAGCATTGATACTTGAGTCGAGATTTGTTTGGAAAGTCTTGTGCATACCTTGGTTCTAGTTGAGAGCTATTGATGTCTTTTCCTTCAGAAAAATTGAGGCTGGCGGATGATGGTCTTGATTGGCGATGAGACCCACTGAGCGTTGAATCCTGTTGAACTCGAGCATATCTGAGATGATCCCTTGGCAGGAGAGAGCTCGATGGTAACACATGGTGATTCAATGGCGGACCTGATGTCGTGGAAGGTGAAGTCACTGGCTGCGAGGCTATCAAAGCGCGAGGTTGAGGAGCTGAAAGCCTTTCTGATTGAGATGACTCATGCGAAGGCGAGCAACGAACATGGCTTGAAAAATTCCTCATTGGCCTTGACTTTGAACTGGCCGCGCTCATCTCTGTCCATAGTGTATCGATTGTCTTTGGCGCCTGAATTTTCTCTGCACTAGGTCTGCGGTGTCTAGAGTTGAGCTTATAAGGGACGGGATCTTCTTCTTTGTCACTTTGATGCCTCGTCCTCTCGGGACGTAGGTGTTGTCGTGGGTGAACTGGACTGGCAAGAGGACCCCACGGGGAAGCCGGACTGCAACTGTCCACCAGGGTTGATCTTGGGATGTCCCGTGAAGCTCGACTTGTTAGCCGAAACCTCATTTTCGATGGTGTCAAGAAGCCACACCGACTACTTCGTGGAGATCTGGTCCAGCGGTCGTCGGATTCATCCGATGGCCGCTCTGAAACCACGATTGAGCTCATCTGGCTTCCAGCTTGAGTTGAAATGGCAACATCTGCAGAGTCATTGCTGGCAGGCAGTGTGAGGGCGTCGATTGGATGTTGCAACGACTCCTGATTTGGACTGGAACTCGACTTCTTGGACAGGGAGAAAAGTACTTTGTCGTCCACTGATTCGCTATCGTTCCTGGTGGATGTCTGACTGTCCACATGTTGTGTCTTGCTGTGAGGCGAGGGCTCTGCATACCAGGAAACAATGTCGTCAATTGTATTTGCTGGCATTAGATCCATAGTTGCTTCTGCTCCTGGACCGTCTTCTGAATCAGAAGCTTCGAAAACAGCACTGGATTCATGGTGACAAACAGCTTTGCAGACAATACCTTGAGCGGAAGTCACATTGTAGCATTCAAGCGGCTGCAATGGTATTGCCTGGTTCTGTGTGACGAGGTCATCGACACTTGTAAGACGCTCACCATCATCTGAATATGAAGACGCAGCGAGGGGAAACCGGGTCTTGATCCGTCTCGACATGGAAAAGCCATTGACAATGTTCCATGGTCTTCCTACGGGTGGATGCCCTGACTTGCGCACAGAGTCTCGTTGGCTTGTAGGGCGAGCACCTTTTTGAAGCTTATGTTCTAATGTTTCTTGTTGTAAGACCGAGTCAGACCAATGTTTGCCAGTTGATGGTGAAATAGATGCAGAATTAGGGTCGATTTCGCTCTCATAGGAGAGAAGAAGCGGTCTGAACCCGAGAAAGGGTGTTTCTGAAGTGGTTTCGGAGGAGTGCGCTATTGGTTCTCTCATGGTTGCCAATATCACAGAATGGCGTGGCGGGTCGAAGTTTGGCAGATTTGAAGACTGCTCGTTCTGCTGATCGACCTTTCAGAACAATTAGCGACGACTAAGGATCCTGAAGGTGAGCTCGCCTTGATTAAGGGTTCAAAAGAAGAATCAAGCGACAAAGATCTCTTGAGGCCCAAGGATGGAACCGTGTCTTCCAGCTGCTCACCATCATGCTTTCGGTGAATGTCCTGATGTATCACTGTGACTGAATTAGTATATTTGCAAAGGACGTAATCCATTTCATTGGCGAACCTCGAGATTCCCAAACTCTGCTTATGTTTGCCGAGTGTTGGAAACTGTGCGTACTTTGAAGTGGTGCAGTGGCGGGACTTCGAATAGATAGAGGACGCGATGTTGGATTTAGCGTTTGAAGGTGTGCCAGAAGAGGCGCTGTCGATAGGCTCGAAATGTGATACAGGCTCTGAGAGACTTCGGAGTTTCTCGCACTCGTGGACTTGTGACGATGGACATTCTGTCCAGAGTTATCGGTGCCATTGCTATCCTGGTCGAACAGGTTTAGGGAGGGATTTGTGGCATGAACTGTTGTCAAAGACGTCTTCCGAACCCTGCTATCCTGGACTTTCTCTGTGTTCCTGTCCTTCAGGCCCAGTTCATGACGCCACCTCAACTCGGCCAATTTCCATGACATCGCTGTGTCCTAAAGCGATAGTAAGAAACACTGCCACAGGTTCTGGTGACTGGGAAAATGTAAGTGGGTACAATGATTGCTCAGGCTGACGAGTATGTAAGATGATCAGAGAGTTGTGATTCAATCTTGATAACATTGGTGGAAGATGGGAATTGTAGCGAGAATCGCCAGTGCGAGATTTTATCATGATTGTACAGCATCGTTCTTGCCTTGTATTCGTTGCTTCATGTATCGAAACAGCAAGCGCTTCCCTTGACTTACAGAAAGCAAGAGCATCTTCGTCTTTGACGCTTGATGGACACGAGATATAGACCCTCGATCGACGCATCAGAACTCGATACTGAATCTGTTCTCTACACCTTGGTGTGCTTGGCCATGACAAATGTGTATCTCAACCCAAAGCATTCCCAAGGCCATCATCATCTCTGTGGTTCGTGGTAAAGTTGCAAGCATTAGTGCTTTCAGAACTCGAAGGCTCTTTCCTGGGGATTGGACCATGGTGATCGTTGGCTGGAAAGGGTTCGTGATGCAGTCGCGATTGCGGTGACCCAAAACAATCTTCCCTTGGATGATAACAACCACGGATTGGGAGGCATAGTCTTCGTTGCATGACGAGGTCCAATATACCCTGCTCAATGGGTAAGGGCATGAGGGCGCTCCCGCATATACGAGAGATGCATCTCCTTGCTTTGTGTCACTGCTGCTATTATTAGGCTCGACAGATCATCAAATCCTGCGGTTCTCGAAACAAGATACTTTGCTTTGAATTCGTCCAGACGGAGCTGAGTTCGCTAGCACTGGCCAATGTGAGAACAGTTCTATATACATCTATCTATCTGCGTTCTTCCGAGGCTCCGAAGAAGTGGGCCTTGGCGCCCGGGGTCAGTGTTGGCACTCGTGCGACTCGCACCGTAACGCTGATCTCTTCTCATTGTGACACAACAACATCGTCATCTTTGTTCCTGGATGTCTGACTGTCAACTGAGTCTAACTCGCGTGCCTCGCTAGGATTGGCCTTGTCAACGTCATGATTTAGCCTGGTCACCACGTCGAAACCATTCGCCTGTAATCGACCATGTTTCTCGAAGAACAACCTTGCCCTTGATACTGGAAGCCGGGAGTCACAATATGGCCGGAACATGGGAGACAATATACTCTCAACTGGTCGACATCATATCTCACCCAACCCCTCGACCAGGGTTGCAGCCAATACCAGGCACTCATCCTCTCACTCTGGGTGCTGCCGTGCTACCACCTTTGACTTACTACTGTGCACTTCTTTTTCTGGCACCGTCCCCTCCTTCTTGGGTCGATTCGCTACCCATCAAAGTCCTGAAAAACCTTCTCGCATGCATAGCCGCAATCCTGTTTTTCCGACTTGCTATAGCGTATCATGTTGCGCAGAGCATCGGTCTGACCTATCAGCTTGGCCTGGTGTCGTTGTATGGAGGTTGTCGTGTTGTTGATGCCTTCTTCATTAGCCCTTATGTCTTTGGGCATATTCCAAGGAGAGTGACATATACACACCAGACGCGGCAACCTACCACGGCCAAAGATGATGTGAAGCCTTGGTCCGACGGCGGAGTGGGAGATCCATTTAATCATGAGAGTCCAGCCGCTTGGACAGTGTTCAACACTACAGACTCTGATGCAGCCAAGATACCGCA